AGCTAAAATGTTTAAAGGTAGAATGTATAGGAAAAAATGATAAGGTAAAGAGTACGAAGAAAATAAAGGATAACATGAAACCCTGCGTAAATTAGGCCTCGCATGGAACCAAATTCGGACTTCGGTTCCGTCCGCCCTTTTTCATGAGTATAAGCGTGCGCGTGCGTTAAGTGGTCTACTCAAAGTGATGTTTTACGGTTCCTTTGGAGCGTTTTTAAACTGCAACATCTCTTCGTCATAAACTTTTTTTAGAAGAAATATTCAAAGCCATAGTTTGGCTACAGAATAGCACAATGGAATCCCTCATACACACTAAGAAATAAGGTTGCAATTCTGCTACAATACCAACACCCTCTGCCAAATACGCGTCGGTGGATGCAAATCTGCACCCTGATTGCACCCTTATTTCTTAGTGTGTATAAAGAACATAACATATGTTAGTGTATGATACACAATGATGTACAAAATGTCCTTGCCATCTTCAGAATATCTCAGTAAGGCCTACGGTCGGCTTTTTTTTTCTTCTTCTTTTTTTTTTTAAAAACCGTTTTTTAAAGTAAAAAATGTAGTACAGCATTCAAAACTGAGAAATATCAGCCCAACGAGGGAGTAAAAAAAAAAGGATTTCCGACCGACCGACCCATGTTTTAGCACCTAAAGGGTAATACAACTTCTTTGTTTAGGCCTAATGATAGGGAAAAAGGTGCGAAGAAAACCCTCTCTCCGTCCATTCTTATCTCAAAACAGAATATTTGTGAACTACACATGTATCATATTCCATCGCACATTAATAGGTTTATGCAATCCACCCTCGGGATGTTTTATAAGTTAGACAGCCGATCGAGTGGAAAGCTCACATTTCCATAAATTCAAGCTACCATGGTAACGTTCTACCGAGACTGCCATAGATCCTACTAATTGTATTCATAACAAACCTTTCTGGCCAATGCGGATGATTCGGTATTACCGAGTGTTTTGCAAAATAAATAACTTGGAAACATATGAGATCTTTTCTTTTAATGATTCGTAGCAACAAGTAACTATACCCATTCAAGGATGTTCGTGCTTTTTTCCACATGTTTTTTAAAACAAACAATATTCTGATTTTAACAACTGAATTACTACTTACGCGACAACCAGATGCTGGTAATTGTACGTCAAGGATAGATGCAGATATGTTTTGTATATTATAAAGTTCTATTCTCTTTCACGAGCTTTTTTTCAGATTTAAGAACATTCCTACTACAGTACGCTATTTGGAATTTGGAGAAATAAAAAGAGAGATGGGGAAGGATAGTACAGAAGAAAAATTGAGAGACAGAGGAGTATTAATCGAGACGGATTGTGGCAGAATGCGGGTGAAACACAATGAATAGAGATAGAGAGAGAGAGAAAGAGAGACTGAGAGAGGGGGAGAGAGAGAGAGAGAGAGAGGGAGAGAGGGAGAGAGAAAGAAATAGTCATGTAGTTTGGGAAGAAAGACAGAAAGAGAGAGAGAGATAGGGGAGGGGAGACGTGGGGATGGGAGCAAAAAGAATGAAAATCAAACCAATCTCTCAGACTAATGATACAATGTGTTAGTATATAATCAGCATGCCATTATAGTATTGCATATCGTATAAATGCTTACAGCGTACAACAATGCGATTAGGAATAGGGATGGAGACGGGCACACGCAGAATACGGAGAAATAGGAAGAAATATAGTGGAAGATGGATGGGTGCAAATAGATTGGAATGGATGTTATGTTGTCATGTAAAACCTTAGGTAAGAGCAATGCTAACTGATTGCAAGTGGCGAGCAGTGATAGATACCAATCACCTATTGGATTCAGCATTGTTAATACGTCAGGGGAAGCTGCTCAGTCATACCTCATTACAGCCGATTTATAGTGAGCTCTTATGCCCGAGAAGGTCATATCTGCATTTCCCATAATCGGACAAAATGAGAGAGAGAGAGAGGAAAAAACACAGACAAAAATAGTGAGTGTGTGTGGGTGAGTGTGAGAGAGAGAGAAAGAGAGAGGGGGAACAGACAAAAATAGTGAGTGTGTGTTGGTAAGTGTGTGTGTGAGAGAGAGAAAGATATATATATATATAGAGAGAGAGAGAGAGAGATAGAGAGAGAGAGATAGAGAGAGAGAGAGTCTAAAAGCGGGATGCCAACTTGAATAGCCCAAGGATTTCTTTTGAACTACCCATCGATTGAAAAATGAATTAATCCCGTTTTAATAAAGTAATGAATATAATCAGATTGGCCTTTTATACCAGTATTGTTGAGCATATGGCCTCGTCATCAGTTCATGATCTACTAAAGTATGATTTCATTCTTGTTGTGTGGATATGTTGCCTTGGTTATGCAATGCATAGTGGGGTAATAAAGAAATAAATTAGATATATTGAATATATATACGTCATGAGGTTTCCAATTTATATCAATGTGCAAAGTAAATCATCCATATATTACTTTTAACCTTGGATGAGAAGTATAGAACTAATGAATATGATCTGAGGATGACACTAAAGATAATAAGGTTCGATATATGGTCATTAAACTGGGAGGGTGGAATTGAGAGAGGTTAGCATGATCAAGGGGAATATGGTACAGTAGAAAATTGGAACAGATAGAAAGTGCCTCGCGAGTGAGAGTGTGAGAGAGAGGAAGAGAGAGAGAAATTTATTGGAGAGAAAGGGATAGAGAGGGAGAGAGAGAGAGAGAGAGAGAGATGACAGCTAGTTTTATCGCTTTCCCTCTATTAGAATTAACACTTCACCCCACCACCCATCCTTTCATGATTCTCATAACTCGCTCATGACTTTCCATGAGAATTGAAATAAGAGACTATGCTTCAAATCTCAAGTCTGTAAAATAATTTACATGAAAATCGCAACGATAACGTGATAATATCCACTCTCCACCGATTGGCATCCCTTTCTAAAACTGGTATCATCGCAACAAACCTCTTTTTCCTGAATAATTTATGATAAGAACCGCACGTCTGTTTTCTGGGCCAATCATGTTAATAAGACTCTCAAGTGCTCTTGCGTCGCTATATAGACGAATCAGACCGTATAATTTGGTCTCATGAATTTCGATAGAATTTTTTTTAAACATACCGGGTATATATATTTTTCATCCCACAATCTGTTAGAATATCAATTTGGTAGCAATGAATAATATGATAAAAATAATAATATCTAAGATTTATATCACGCTGGTATACATATACAGTTTCTAAGCGCTTTACAAAACAATTGAAATGAAAATTGCTTTTAATCTAAATATGTAATAACCGTTTAAAAAATATATAGCATGAATATACAGAGTGTCTTAGTATTTAGCTTAATGTAATAGTTGCGGTTCACTGCACATTTGGATACGGATGGCTAAACTGATATATTCCAATGTCAAGTATTGGAAAATTGACGTCACAATATACATACCACTGTGAGATTTCATCTTGCAAACTGTTAGAGTATCAATTTGGGAGCAATGAATAACATGAATATACAGAGTGACTTGATACTTAGCTTTATGTTGTAATTATGTTTCCCTGCACATTTTCCATCTGTCAAGTATTGGAAGAATTGACGTCATAAATACATACCTGCACGTTAAATGTATACAAAAGTAACGTACAATTAGATATACACGGACATCATAGTTTATATTTAAATCAAATCACCTACTTCAATAAGGATTTTCCTTTCAAACTGTGTATTTAGTATGAAATTTTGTTTTTGATTATTTATGCTCTACTGCCCATAAATTTGACAGAAATTGTTAGAACCTCTTTTCGTGAAATGATTTTTGACAATTATGATTTATTCTTCATAGATAATGTTTAAATTTCTCAGAGCACTGATCAATTAAAAGAGATGTAGAGTTTGGTCACTAAAGTTTTGGCAAAATTTAAATTTTACATGTCAAGAATAAACCATATTGTCATTGTCATTTCATAAAGAGAGGTAAGAAAAATCATTCCGACTTTATGGGCAACTATGTACATCTGTTTCGTTAAATTCGTTCGAGGTGAACCGAAAAAAAATGAAAGCAAGATTAAAGAAAGACAAAAAAACGGAATAGCTTATTCCCAGGTAGGCAGGTACCCATTGACTACACTTGGGTTTGGAATGACAAGTGTATCATTCCTGTTACTGTGTCATTTTCTAATGCATGTAGCACACGAGGCGTCATTCACTGACGTAAGACTGCGTCAAAGACGTATTTATCATAGTCTCTGACGCGACGTGTAAGGGTGATATTGCATGGATAATGTATCGAAAATAAACTGTGCAAATATTGGCGCATGCGCCGATTTTCTTCACAGACTTGATTGGCGCAGGTATGACGCGATCAAAGTGACGCCTGGTGTACCATAGAATAGGCACAAGAGTCTTTGAATAAAGACAACTGTGAAATAAGACTACACGAACGGTCACCGGCTTACCGCTAGATTACTAATCATTTATTCATTACCATAACGCGCCGCTTGGGTTAGCCCATAAAAATCATTCTCCGCCAAAAATGTATATCGCTCGCCTCGGTCAATATAGTATACTTTCTCTTCCGTTTAAATGGTTGTACCTTCCCCATATCCATTCCATACAAGCCACTTGATAGCCTGTTCAATGCATCTCCTTCCCCCCCCCCCCCCAATCTCTCTCTTTCTTTCTCATATAAGCGTATTAGCGTATCTCTATTGTGTCTCCATGTTTACTTTCTTAATTATCCTTTTTCGCTAATTTTCTATTTACCGATTTGTATCACCTTTATTATTTGTTAACTACAAATCATTTCCTTCCAACACTTCGTATGTTTAATTAGATGACTAGGGAGATTGCTGTTCGTCTGTCTTTCCATCTCTTTATCCTCTCAAGTTTACCAATATCATTTTACATGTAATATATTACTATAATTGCCATCATTGTCTTCTTTACTTCAACTCTTGCCCCTCTTGGCATTATTTCCACCCTCTTATATTGTGCACTGCAGATACGATGAGCTGTACGTGTTGTGGCAGAAGTTACGTAACGATGAACCTGAGTTGCTTGTCACATTCCAGACCTTCCTCAAGAAAGCGGTCCTAGAAATCAATAAGATGCACGACAGCTGTGACAATGTAGTCAGGAGGTAAGACTTGTTTTTCTTTCTATTTATCCTCTTTCGAGGGACTTTATTTGTTAATATCATAAAATGACAGCTATTTACAGCAGTGTTTATACACATAATTCATACAAGTAACATATCATATGTAGTACAAAACATGAAACTAATGTGATATAATCACTTACTAAAATAATGATTTTTTTTTTTTTTACTTCCTTTGTATCTAATTTCTTTTGATAACATTTCCTATCTAGATTAGTGCGAATTCCTACCTTTAATTCTTTTATCAAATATACAACATGTATCCAGTGCTTCCCTTCTCTAATATGGTTTCTATAGATAATAAACTGAGCAAAGTTTGAAATAAGATCGACAAGATTAATTTCTCTTCTCTCTATTTCATGTCCTATTAAAATAATTTTTTCGTTGAAAAGAATTTTTAAATTAAACAAAGTATCGATTAATTTGGATACAATCTTCCAGAAAAGCGAAACCTTTTTACAAGCCAGGAGAAGGTGGTTTTTTGTATCCGGGATCTTACATTATATCACATAGATTATTATTATTACGGAAGGTAAGACATCGTTATTTGAAAGTGACTGCTTTTTATCATCAATAGTTAGAGTTTGTGCAAATGCCCCTCTATTAAAGGACCAATTGTGCGATACCAGAAAAGAAATATTAGTTAATATTACTTATTATCCCTCAAAATAGGTTGTAAACGAATACATGTCGTAAGCATAACATTGAATCCTTTATGAAATTAAACAAGACAGCGTTTGATTTTGTGATATTAATCGAATTTTCTGGAACACGTAATTATTTTCATCCAGTATATTGTTCCTGATCCTTATAATTGTTCCAGGATAAGAAGGGTTTGATGTCAATGCATGTGGGTGTTGGTGTGTGTGGGTGGCATTCAAGAGAAATACACGAATAAAAAGTGTATATTGTCATGCCATTTTCCTGAATTACTTTAAAAAAAGCCAACATAAGCACTAAGAAGATTTTCCACAAATATATACAGGCCTGTTTTTGACTCTTCGTCTTCAAATCGATTTGCAGGACATTTTCGGATGCCCTGAAAACTTCGACATGTATCACACGAAAATGCATTTAAATAAAGCATCTATTTGTGGAACTATTAATCGAAAAACCTAGAGGCAAGTGGGTACAGATCAATAGAACACTTTTTGCAGATTATCCTAATGTTATGGCAAGTTGCCTCAATACTTATTCCCTTTTACCACCAGAGAATGAATGGAATTGCACAATACAATGTTAAGTTTAAACGTAGTTAAGCAAAATGTGAACTCTCAACATTTGTTTTTCAAAATGCAGTTAGAAGCCTGTGCTACCTTTATGAAATTACGTGATCTTTAACAATGGTTATTAATAGGCATTATGGTAACGACGACTACATGTATGATAATATTAATAGTAAAAATGATAATAATATAATAATTAAAAGTAATAATAATAATTTAAAAACAAAAATAATATGATTAATAATTACAAAAACGATAATAATAACAACAACGATAATGATGATAATGGCAACAAATGGTAACATTAACACGCACACTAAGTATATGAAATTGAAGTGCTCAAATGTTTTATCGAAAATCCACAGTTCCTACAAGGAAACATTAATAAACGTATATTCTGCCTTCTCTTTGGTGACCAATTCTCTCTCATTCCTAAGCTTGCCCCGAACAATAAATAAAGAAATCAGTTCAGGCCATCTTTTGGAGTTAATTTTTTACGAAGAAAGGATGGTGTTTAAAAATCATGCTATAATACTCGTGCTATTTTCACCATTTTCATCTTACTTTCTTTCCATCTTTCATATATTCTTTCTTCTTTTTTATTCCAGTAAAAATGGTATCCATGCTGATGATATGAGGCGACTGTATGAGGAGATGGAAGTCTTACTGACACAAGAAAGAGAGACAATCCGGAAAAAGGTATGTACTCTACCACAACACCTCCGACTGTGTAGTAAAGAAGAAACTTAAAACCTAACTCTTTCCATCTTAAATCCATAATGTATGTTTTGAATATCTTAATTTCATTTCGTTCGTAATATCTTAATTACTGTTCCTTATTTGATTGTTATGATTTGTATGTTTCTTTTCTGTTGTAATAGCGCTCTGATCAATTTGTCTGTAATAGCGCTCAATAACAATCAATTCTTATTATTATTGTTATTTCTGTACTTATTGCAGGCACAGATTATTATCAAACAAATGATGTGCATGATATAGACACAATGAGACATCAAGTTAACAAGGGGTAGCCGTTTGACGTTACTAGTAAATGATCATTTTTGATCAGATAGGAATTGGCTATTTTTGTTTTCTTCGTCTTATTACTATTATTATGTTTGTTATTTAATAGTATTATTATTTTAATTAGTATCATAATTATTGTTATTATTATCATTGTCATTTTTTTTAATTATTATTATTATTATCATTATCATTATTAGTATTATTATTATTATTATTATTATTATCATTATTAGTATTATTATTAGTAGTAGTATTATCAGTATCATTATGAACATTATCTTTTCCTTTTTATTTAGTCATAAAGATCCCTCAAAACTCACCTTTTCCCCAATGATCTATATGATATACTTTGGTGGTGGTGGTTATTTTACCTGACTGCTAAGAAAGCATAAATGCTTGTAAGTAAGCAACCAGACGGCCGACGGCTTTAGGTCCACTCCGAGGGACCTGGTAATGAAGATTAATGCCTTACCAAAGGGCACTAGCGCATCGCGTTGGTTTCGAACCCGGGTCACCGGATTACGAGACCACTGCTCTACCGACTACTTCCTGTATTTGTCCTCTTTTCATATATTTGTATTTGTAAGCGCTATGGTACTTATTGTTTTTAGCGCTCCTAAATATTCGATATTATTATTATTATTATTATTATTATTATTATTATTATTATTATTATTATTATTATTATTATAAACTTTTATAATTATCATTATTATCATTATTATTTTTTTTAATGATTTTTTTTTTCTTTTTTGGGGGAAGGAGTTCATATTGCTGATAGAAACAAAACGTCAGCAATAATGATTTGAGAAACATTAAATTATGAATGATGCTTAAATCTACCACCTTTATGAAATGGAATTTAATGTTCCCGTGTTGCCACAAAACTTCTCCCAATGTGCTGTGTTTGCATCCCTGTTTGCAAAATAACAAACGACAAACCGACCACCACAATTGTTTTGGCCAAAAGTAGAAATCACTGTCTACCCTTACAACGTAATATATCGTTGTCATGAATGGTGATGTAAATGATATCAATGTGAAACTTCATCTCAATAATCCAGATTTTTTGTTGTTATCTTTTTCTTTTCTCCAGTATCGACAAGAAATGGAGGAGGAGCTAGAAAGATTAATGGATGAGAAAGATCAAGAAGTTCATGACCTCATAGTTAGAAAAAGAGAGGTAAGAATTCGTCGCTGTTTTCACGAAGTGACGGTTACCGTAGTGAAAAAAAATTGCATTCACTTTGCGTTACGATTTTCCTCACTACCGTCACTTCGTGAAAACAAGGACGAATTGTTTACCTCTGAAAACATTCTTATTCCCAGCTTAAATTCTCAATCAAATATACATTACAACAACAAAATTAAACACTCCCTTAAAAATCTAAAGCCATGTTTACTCTTCTTTTGTGAATTTGTTTTTGTTTCAAAATTACAACTTTCCTAATACATGTACCAGAATTAACATTGTGGATGTTTATAATTATTTTCTGTACATCTCTCTTGATTTAAATACCGCCATAACATCCCTTCGCAACCTATTTGTGTAGATAACTTCTCTATGATGGAATGGGACAGGGCTAACCACCACTCATCGACGTTGAATACATATTACATATTACAAGTACTTCAGACGTAAACAACTTCACTATTTATAAAGAGATACATAGAGGCTACGTTATATAGTGATCACAACATTGGCATAACTCATTGTAAACTGCTTAAATATTATCTTGTACGTGTTTTTATTCAGGGGACCAACCTTTCAAAGATCATTACGTGGCATAATATCCCAGATCACAGACAAGAGGTCCACCCGTACTTTCAGATGATCTCTGTCTTAAATGTTCTTTTTACTCCTTTATGAAATTATCGGAAATTGTTTGGTTACCGTTCTGTGTTCTATTGCTGATATTACGACTATATATAGCTAACGTTATGACGCTAGTAGATTGATAAGGTTTGGCTGTCTGCTTTTATGAGTCCACTGCCCCCTCAATAATCTATCAATTACACGAGATCCGTGACTTGAATTGAAAACGTGACTTCCCTGTTGTTATAAGCTGTCATTATTCTCCTGTGGTGCCGCCATTTTGGAAGCAGTTGTCTCTGCATTATATTTGGTTCGTTATTCATGTCGCCTTTCCTCCTCATTCAAGAGACGTCGTCTTCTCCATCGTTTTCAGGCCAGGCGCCATTTTACATTAAGCACGCGTGCACATACAACCACATTAAAATTCGCAACCCACTGGGTACCAATTTTAGACCTGGGTGGAGAGTGGGACTCAAACCGCGAATCATGTGATCCATAGACTAGTGACGTATCCACTAGTCCACCGTGACATCTCTAGTTTACGTCTGGAATCAAGTATTAGTTTCAGGTTTATAGGGTTAACAATAATAGGGCCAACCATAATAGTGTTGATAATTTTGTTCTTGTTTTGAGCATACCACATAATGATATTACTTCCAAATGAATTAACGGAGGAGTTTTAAATGATTACCCTGGCTAAGCTCCTCAGGCCATTAATAGCACAAAGTGCATTTCAAGGTATAGTTCTTAAGCATTCGTACTCTTTAAATTAGCAACACGTCCATGATATTTAATCGAAGCCTGTCGAATCAAGTTATCAATTTTTAAAAAGGTAAAACATAAATTTTGTCTTGGTAATATAAGTGTGTCGGGGATCCTAATAAGCATAAGAGCCTTTACATTGGCAAGGCGCAGTGGATTTCTTAATCGAAGCAGGTCGAATTAATATTTTATATGGTATGGATATACATTTTATACCGGCGATGTAGGGGTGTCACACATGTGTTGTATCTGATGGCTGGTCGCCTGTAAGTTAGTATTATAATGTGGGAAGAATGAGATAAGCGCTAGACTCAGGGGTGCGATGTGTCTGTGAATGTGTGGGCGGTGGGTGCGTGGGAGAGAGAGAGAGAGAAAGAGAGGCAAGAGTAACGGCACATTCACACGCTTCTACTTCAGTGCCGGAAACCCCCTCCATTCACCCCCCCCCCCCCCGGTAAAAGTCAATGGCCCGTGTTCCACTAATCCATGTTCACCCCACCCTGGGCCTGGGATCACGTTAACGAAGAAAAAAATAGACCTCAATTGAACAACACCTTAAGGCCAAATATAAAAAACCTGTCTTTTTGACAAATAGGAAGGGAGAGGCCCCTTTTTTTCTTTTTTTTTCAAAATGGCCGCTCGGTAGATTTTCCCTGACAGTCGGGCTACTTTTCACCATGGCCGCCGGTTTTTTTTTTTTTTTTTTGCATTTTTATATCAGAAAGAGATCCATTTTAGCAGTGTTTTTCATGTTTGTTTTTTCTTTTTAAAAAAAGGAGGCGGCCCCCAAAGAGAAAATGGGCGGGGACGCTACACATGTATATATTTTTAATGGCCTTATAGCCAAGCATCGGGTTCAAATCTAAGTAGAATGCGGGCAAATAAACTTTTACTCACCCCTCCACCTCGGGAAATCACAATACTTTTGTTAAAGATAAAAGTAGAAAAAGCACCTACATTACTTTAGCTGCTTGATAAAAAGCTATGTAGTGTAATCTTAAAATGCAAATAGAACCTAAATATTTAAATGAAGGCGAAAATACGATTATGATTAGAATAAACAGGGACACAGATTTGAAATCATCCACATGTGGGATAACAATTGGAAAATGTAGGAATTAGGAAGAAAAGGAATTTAAAGTTAAATCCTTTTAAGTTATATTCTCACGTTTAAGGACACAATATTGAAATGACTAAATCATTGAATTAAAAAAGATACATATTTGTAATTGTGTACACTTATTTATTCTTACATTTTCAATCGGGCCGTTCTTTTAGTTAATGTCTTGCTAGAATATCACGAACAATGACTTCAACATGAAGAAATAGGAGGAATTATGTACTCGTGAAAATTAAAATCAAAGAGAACCCCGAATAAATATAGCGACACTTTTTTCAATACCTACCAACTGTACCATTAATCTTAAGTTCTATAAAGGTTGTATATACTTCCGATCTTTCTTTTATTGGGTTCCTTCTTTATGTCTCGTTTCCTCCTGATTCAAGAGACAGCGTCTTCTCCATTGTCAAAAGTGATGAAAAATCGATTTACCATGTTGATATCACAACGAAGCCTGTAGTACTAAACGTCTACCATTTACAAATTTGCCGTAGTGGAATGAAAATATCGACTTTTGTCCGGGCACGTTTGGTATTTGATCAGAAATGCCCCTTGCGAATTGCCATTGACGTCTACACAGAACGCTCAATACTGGGCCTAAACTAGAATCGATAGCAAGGGAGGGATATCGATTGTCTGCCCGCAGTTTTTGAGTGATTGATTCGGGTAGCGTTTCGGGAGCGAAGTCCCTGAGCGGGGAATCTTGTTCGTGTTTGATGAGACATGCATCTGGTTGCTTTGGTTTGTTTCTTAGTCGAAGGAAGAAGACGAGAGTAGGGAATTCGAGTTGAGAAAAGGCGAAATGGCAATGATGACACACCGAGGAGGACACACTTTGTCTATTTTTAATTCAACCAAAATGATTAAACATTAAAAAGCATTTTAATAAAAAACATTATTATAACCAGTTATAGATTTTTAATAATTGTTGTAATCAATACAAAAGTATATCCTTTGAGGGTAAGCATTTCGAAATGAACAGCATATAGCTTTGATAAGGTATCTTAAACAAACATTAATCGTGTTTTTAATGCTAAACAATAATTGTGAGGGGGGATCCATTTAAATCAGTTTACAATAATTAATTTTTTCGCGAGCCTTCCGAAAGATCATCTTGAGACAACTTCAGTAGCCTTGTTCATCATATTTTGAGGTGCGAACATTGCAATGACGTTTTAACCCGTTGACTACTGGGTTCTCTAATTGCCATAGGCTTAATACATGGAACACCAGGTTCCAAGAGGTGATGGGTTAGGTAACCCGAACATGATTTCTAAGGTAGGCCTATATACAAAAGCTAGGTGACTCTTTTTTTCGGACGAACTTGCGATTGTGTTAACTGAAGATGAGTTTGTCTTTAATGAATATTTATATCGTTTATACAGCTGGAGTTATCTCTCCAAGAATTGGACAAAAAGGAGAAAGAAAAACACACGCAAAATCATCAGGTTAGTTATATGTAAATAACATATTTATGCATAAAGTTATTCATTTACATATTATTTTAGTCTGATGGAGAAGGCATCATTGCTACATGTCAAAAAAAAATATGTCTATACACATTATTTTACGTATCATTGGCTTTTTGGTTCGTTTCACGAAGCATTTTCTAGTTAAGACATAATGTTAGGTACTTAACCTTTAGCTATTTAATTAAGTTAAAACATTGATCGTTTGCTTGTAAAAACTCCCTAGTAGTAGTAGTAGTAGTAGCAGTAGTAGTAGTAATAGTAATACGCTGTAGAATTAGCAATAATAATATCAGTAGTAATAATGGTAAAAGTAATAGCAAAAGTAGGAGTAGTAGTAGTATAAGTAGCAGTAGTAGTAATAGTAATAATAATAGTAATAGAAGTGCATTAATAGTAAAAGTATTAGTAGTATTAGTAGTATTAGTAGCAGTATAAGTAGTAGTTGTACTACTATTGTAATATAAGTAATAGTAGTTGTGGTAGTAGTAGAAGTAGTAGTAGTGGTAGTAGTAGTAGTAGTAGTAGTAGTAGAAGTAATAGTAGTACTACTAGTAGTAGTAGAGCGTCGTATGGCAGCCGTGCTAAAGCCAGGGTTATAATCGGGAGCGCCAGGAGGGTCTAATCTGACTGACATGAGCGCTATACAAGAACCAACTATTATTATTATTATTATTATTATTATTAATAGTAACAGTAACAGTAGTAGCATTATATTTGATATGGATAACAACAATAATTAAATTGTCTATGATCCACGCTACTTCTTGGTTTCCTTTTACAGCTTGAGCAGATGGTGATGGAGCTAAGCAGACACGAGGCTAACATCGTGGCTGAAAACGAGGGGCTAGTAAAGGTTTGAATTATCTCTCTCTCCCTCTATCTCATAAGAAACAAATTAAAACGTGACCAAATTTAGGAATGTCTCGTATTGTAATATATACATTTTGGGGGGAGAGTCATTTAATCGCTGCCTGCAGGGCTAATGAGTGTTAGTGAAGTATGATCCGGTCTGTAAACTCCAAGACTTGCCTAAATTTAAGATTTCATATTAAGCGTATCAAACATCAAACATTTATATACCATGCTCGCTGCAGCCAGCTGCACTTATTATGCGTCCGGCTGCATTTTGTTTTATTTTACACGTAGAGTATGGCTCACCCTCTACTACATGTGTAATGTGTTACACCCAAGGTGTTACAGTGATTATGAATATTCATTTGACTAAATAATTCTGCCGGCTGACAAGGGGATGGGAGATATAATTGGGGGGAAATGAAAGGGAAAAGACCTCGGGAAAAGAAAAGAATTATGATGCTAGATGGTATCAAAGTAAAGGATTTATAACACAAGATGAAGGAAACAGCTCAAGACAGGAAAAATTGAGTTTTTTCACTTATCATGAATGTGTTCCCGTGGTACAATGCGCTACGATGTATTACACAATGTCTGACAAAATCTTTTTAAATTCTTTGACATTTTGCAGGAGAATTCACAACTTCGATTCCGTCTGGACCAATCATTAGCTGGCCTGAACGAAACGCAACAACTATGTCTTCAACTTCAGGAAGAAACAGAACGAGAGAGGGCGTTCATCGAAAGGTATGTCGGCAGGTAATGAATGTTATAGTATCTCACTTTCAAGGGTTGTTCTACCGATACACACGTTATACACATACATACATACAAACATGAACAGTACACCCAACTTTGGTACATTACCATTTCACAGTTACCATCTGTGTGACGTTGAAAAAGGTTAATTTTCAAGTTTTACTAATATTCTGTCCACTGATACTTAATTCACAATTTATCTGACACGGATCACTGAAAAGCAGCGTTTTCAAAGGTATTGTTGAATTCCCCTTTTACCAAGTTTGGGATGAAGCAATGAATGATGGTCAAATGCATTAGTTATATGCATTGTTATTTCAGTCCAAAAACAATTGCTGAGTGATTCTATAGATTTGTATTGCATTTTAATTCAAAAAAAGGGTGACAATATCAACCCAGACTAACAGAAGTCGCATTGACAACCAAAAAATGTTTTGATGACACAATCGTGGCTTCTCTCGCATCCCTTGTAAAAAAAAAGGGGGGCCGGGCAGGTGGAGCATGGCAAATACTGGCTAACGCCATCTACGGATTGACAAAAATAGGAACTATGGAAGCAGTATAGCCCCACTGCACTACTTATAGCTACTTGCGCCCTCTATATAGCAAACAATGCCTAAGTGGTGACCGTTGGTCCCCAATGGTCCCCTTTTTCTTATGTTAATTGAGAGCTCATTTGATAAGATAACCACCTGTCAGTGACCATGCAGGGAGGGTTAATTCCTCCTTGACAAACTAGTGCAGATAGGCTTTAAATAGATACAATGTGTCACCTTAAACAAAGAACTACTGAAGCAGGTAGCAGAACTTAGATTTTCGTGGTTAATGATTTAAAATCCAAAGTAACACATGAATATAGCGTGACCTAGAAGAGGAGTTGTTGACAGCGCTTTATTGAAGAAAAAAAATTGTGCTCAGATTTAAAGATATACATGATCGGATAAACGATATTTTATCCTTTGTTGGATTTCCTAAAACAGAACCCTTCAAACAGCTTTTAATGTCGCTTATCATGAACTCCAAATATCGAGTTTTTCCACTTTCAGATGCGGCGATCCCGGTGGCGTCCCAGCCCCCCCCCCCCCCCTCTCAATTTAAAAACTGTAAAACAAATGTATAGCAAATACTGACAAAAGACTGCAACACACTTTTAGGCTCTGGAGGGCCCAAAAGTGCAGCGTTTAGACTAATAAAAATGCAAAGATCTTCTCGCTTCCTCGCATAATATCCTTCAAAATGTACGAGTAAATATTGTAGAAAAATCTGTATTCCGTCGGTATCACCTGTGAAGGGTAGTGACTTCCGTCACCTTCGCCCCTGTCGTTCATTATGCTCCCGCGTCCCTCGCATTTCGCCCCCACCCCCCGGTCATGACAAGAAATCGCCTCTTCACTTTCTGCTCACAATCATGGCGAATAATCGTTCAGGTATCGAAATGATGTCTGTTTCTTCACCACTTGCATGATACATTAAAATTATCGGTAAAACAACCCTGTCACTCTTGCATTACACATTTAGTAGATGTTTTTTCATGTTTAGTCGTCACTTGTTGCCTGACTTGTCGAGGGATGTGTGTAGTTGTAATTTATCATGCCACATCACTTTAGTAATAGTTCCATGTTTTAATATCATGTTTTAGGAGTGACTTTGCCTTGGTAGCTTGTAAGAGAGTAAATATGTTTACAGTCAAACCTGTTTAGTGACCACCTGTCTACAAAGGCCACATTTGATGCTTCCCTTGAAAATGGTTTCTCATTGAATCATATACTAAAGGAACCTGTCTTCAAAGACCACCTGTCTTCAAAGGCCACTTTTTGTGTTTCCCTTGGGTGGTCACTATAGACAGGTTTGACTGTATATGACAAGTTAGTTCATGCGTTTTAGTGTGTGTTCTAGTCTCCTTATGCAATATAGGTCATGTCGGACACAAACGATGTTTATAGCACGTCTTCTTTGTGGTGTGTAATATCTAATCACGATTTACGTCTTAAGTCAGTGACGTCTCATTATAGAATACTCAAATGCTAACATTTACAACCAATTTTCATTTTAGTCTATAAAACCAGCGTATTTTCAATGCTTAACTATTATTTGTTTCTTTTCATAATCTGTTTAATACCATAGTTTTCCTTACGGACCACGTACATTCTGTTAAAAATAGGCCTTATAGGTCAAATGTGTTATACCCCTACTCGTTACATTTTAAACACATTGTACTATTCATTATAAAGAAAAACATAACAAATACATTTTTATTTTATTTTCAAATGTCATGCTTCGTTTCACTGTACTCGTTAAGTTGCATGTATTGTTTCAAATGGTGATTTTCTTTCTAGAGAGTACGCAGAAGCAGTAGTGGAACAGGACAGGAAGTCACGTGATAGACACAATCTGGAACTACAACTCGAGAAATTAAGGTAAAAAACATTTGTCTAAACTATAATGAAACTATCGAAAATAATATCGCTATTGATATTCGTTTGTCTCGCAACAAGGGATCTAAAAGATCACGACGCTTCGTGCGCCGCTGCAACACTTCGTCAGATGATAAAAAACTCTACGGGCGGATCCGTCTGTCATATATCTATATTTTGTATTTAACTCTATGTTAAATTTCAAATAAACACAACTCATTCGTAACTTTGAATTAGAAAAAAATTGAACTCCCCGCTTTTTTTGTTAAAGTAGCTTCTTGTTTTCCTTTTTTTTTAAAACATTATCCTTTTTGTTAAACACATAAACAGTAAGTTGTATTACATCTAATTTTACATATTGTTGTACTATGTTCAAATTAATTTCTATGTATTTATAAAGAAACGCATACTTTAAGATGTCATTGTAAAAGTTACAATTTGAAGATGAAGGTCAACTCACTAACCCCTCAACTCATCGTACCCATCCAGTATACAATGTGTCCTACTAATAAGGAAGTCGGATTTCATTGCAGAAATTATTATCATAATTATTGTGTTGAGATAATAACGTATGGAAAGCTCTGATTTTCCTCTCCATTATTTTGATTCAAACCACAATTCACGCATGATTAATTTAAAACGATTAAAAGTGGGACTACCAAAATTTAATTTGCATGTTCAAATTGCAACTTGGAGTGGGTCTTAGGATAGTAAACATAATTATTTGAATAAAAAGAAAAACATTGTAAACTCATGATCATCCCAGTTATAGGACACCTTATGCGTAACATGAATGACGTAGGCCAGCAGAGAACATGAACTAAAAACATGCTTCATACCTACACAAATGAGTGGATAGTTGAGTAAAACGCTATTTTAGTATCATAGTCTGACTGTGTTCATTCTATGTCATTGTCATTGCATAACCTTCCATAGTTACCCAGACAATGTTATGTTATGAGTTTAGTTCCCCCCCCCCCCCAAAAAAAAAAAATAGATGAAATAATGAATAGTCGCCCTGAAAATTAGGCGACAGTATAAAATCTGTCAATATATTCCTTGTACAAACAGGCAAAAAAGCAACAAAGTACAATATTTTTTTCTTTAACGTTTTTTTTTATAGAGAGAAGTATGAACAGCTTGTGGAAGATAACTACAGCGTCAAAGAACCTAAGAGAGTCGGGGTGATGCAGATGAGTCGAGTCAGCTCTTATAGTGACTGCGAGTGCGACCAACAAATGCAGGTAAATGAATGTTATCATCATTATTCAATTCAATTGAATAAATAAAGCTTTTTTAACAACGCCTAGCTATTGTAAACTAAAATATTATCGGCAAAGCAATTTTAAATCATTTTTTTGTTCATGTGACAGTGCTCGGTGCTCTATGACATTATTCAACAAAGTAACAACCAAATTCAATTATCGCTAGAAAATCAGCATCTTCTTTTACATTTTCTCTAAAGTGAATACTTTTACCCAAGACACAAGATTAATATTAGATCTCATCAATGATTTTCAAAAGTTCTATCTTTTCATACAATATCCTTCAGATCAATACTTATAATATCACTGCATTTCCTTGTTAATATCAATATTTCATGCCAGTGCCTTTACGTATCTTTGCCTTTACATTTTTTGTTTAAATGATAATGATACTACCTCACATTTATAATGCGCCAAATACTTTGTTTCTAGGCGCAACATAATGTATGCGAATTCTCCACTCCCTGGGGAGCATTCCGACCAGTCGCCATTTTACAAGCGCCACTTGCTCATCCAACCACATTAAGTTTCGCATCCTACTGGGTGCCCATTTAACACCTGGATGGAGAGTGGCAAAATGTAGATTAACGTTTTGCCAAAGGACATTACTGACGCGGCGGGACTCGAACCCCGTTCCTTGCGATATGCAGTCGGGTGACCTAACCACTAGACCATAGCACTTCAATGTCACTTTTATAAGTTTGTTTATTTGATTTGTTTTTCAAATGTTATTTACTTACTTCAGTTCCTTCAGTTACGGACACCTGACAGGTGTTTCAAGGTTGTAATGTGCGGCGACTCAGGAGTCGGTAAATCAAGTTTCGTCCAAAGATTCTGCCATAATACCTTCACAGTGAACACTCAAGTTACGATAGGTAGGTCATAAGCACTTTCACTATTCTTAATCACTATGAATATGACGGACAAAGAAAGAGGACAAAATATACATTTCCTCAGGCTCATTCTACCCTCAACAATTGTTGTGGTAGACAAAGGAACATCCCTTCACTGCTATGTAAAAACGTGTAGAACAGGTGTCACATGCATATTCACCTGTTCTACACATTTTTACATAATAGCAGTGAAGGAATGTTCCTTTGTCTACCACAGCAATTGTTGAGGTAGAATGAGGAACTGTATATATTGTCCTCTTTCTTTGTCCGTCATGTTCATAGTGAATGTTATGTACACTCCTTGATTATTAAAGTTAATCAATTCTCCAAGACGATAGCCACAATGACGTTCATTTCATACTTGTTACTTATTTCCTTTTTTGAATCCCAAAGGGAAATATATAGCAAAGTTAATGTTTTATTATTACCATTATCATTTCATATCTGTATATTAGTACAGCACTTAGAGAAATTTATATCAAAGCCTCACTGTACTACGTGTAGCTACTTGCTCCCTCTATATAGAAAACAATGTCTAAACGGTGACCATTGGTCCCCCATGATCCTCTTTTTCTAATGTTAATTGAGAGCTGAGTTGATGAGATAGCCATCTGTCAGTAACCAGCCTAGGTGGTCTAATCCCTCCTAATCAAACTATTTCAGACAGCATTTAAGCGCTGTATAAAGGCGGAATATTATCACCATTATTATTATTATTGGTATTATCATTATTATTATTTACAATTTTACTATTATTACTATTTATTGTAATTATTATCAACATTATTTTTATCATTACTATCATCATAATTATTTATCATTATTACTATTATTATTGGTACTGTAATTATTATCAGCATTATCTAATCATTATTATTATCATTATTATTTACATTATTATCATTATTACTATTATTATTATAAGTATTGTTATTCACCTCCTTACACTGTGTTCGTATGTTTTTACAACATGTACCTGGCCGGCTACAGAGATTGGATTCCACATGAAATCATTAGTGCTTGATAACACAGTAGTATCACTCCAAATATGGGACACAGCAGGCCAGGAAAGGTAACATTTCTTCTTTTTCCCCCCTTTTTTTTTGAATTAATTTTTTAATATGTCTTATTGAAACAATCAAATACAATCACAATATTTACAAGTGATTATACATATATTACAAAAAAACATAAATATATGTTTTAATGTGTCTTATTGAAACAATCAAATAGGCCTACAATCACAATGTTTACAAGTAACTATAAAAAAAAAGATTACACAAAAGTAGTACAATGTAGATCAAAATCTCACGAAAAGTAAATTTACACTAAGATGCAGGCAACTACATGCACATGTACCTATACAACATTGTAAAACAAACTTCCATTTTTTAAAGTGCATGGGCATTTTGTTTTTCTTTTTTGCAATACGATACTCAAGATCCTTATTATAGTCAATGTAAGTTCTGAAACCCTGAAAATGGGTACTTTACTTTTATACTTGCATAAATAAATGTAATATTTAAGCATAAGAAATAAATAGGTCAAAAACATATCCTTTTCATAGTCAAACATTCGTTTTTCGATAGTCAAAAGAAGGTCAATAATGTGGCTATAGTCTACCAGGAAAGCTGTTTGTATAACATGGCAATAGTGACCAGGGGAAGTACACTCTGATATCAATTTGGTTTTAATAGATGTAGAAAAAATGAGAAAAAGAGGTCAGTGAAAGTTCGAGCAAAGACCGAAAGACCGAAAGATTTGAAATGTTAAAGGTGCAATCAATACCAGTTGTTATCAATTTCATAAAGGAACAAGACGGTTGTGCAAAGTAAACTAAACATTCATCATAGTTTTGTTTCAAAACACGGGTTATTTTTCCCCCATTTTTCATACAAACAGGTTTCGAAGTGTTCCCTATGCGTACTTCACCATTTTAAGATTGTCAAAATAAACACAAATCTGGCTATCTACCAGGAAAGCTGTTTGTATAACGTGGCAATAGTGAAAGGGGAAGTACACTCTGGTATTAATTTGGTTTTAATAGATGCAGATTTTTTTTTTTTAAGAGTTCAGTAAAGATTCGAGCAAAAACCGATTCTAAACACGGTTATTTTTCCCCATTTTTCCTACAAACAGGTTTCGAAGTATTCCCCATGCGTACTTCCGGAAAGCCGACGGTGTTCTTCTTCTCTATGATATCTCATGTGAGAAATCTTTCCTCAATGTACAGAGCTGGATAGCTAGCATCAGGGTAATAACTTCATTTATCAGTAATCCTCATTATCAACAAAGGAAATAAAACAGTCCTGATCATACATGCATGACCATTAGAGAAAAAAGAGATAATAAAAATAATGATAATATTTATAGGCATTTCTATAGCGCCGTTTATCTAGAAATTTTATTCAGAGGCGCATCAACGATTACTCTGGCTTTAGTCTATAGCTGCCATTACAGCGCTCCAGCATTTCAAGGAATCAATTCCTGCCAGTTACCCTTTTACCTCACCTGGGTCAAGTGTACCAAATGAAGATTAATGCCTTGCCAAAGGACATTAGTGCCGTTTCGGGGATCGAACCACGATCTTTAAATTTCGAGTCAAGTGCTTAAACCACTCGACTACAACACTTCTTGGTCAAACTCATATCTAGTTATTGAGAATGCAGCGTTATTAAGACTCATTGCCTCGGATAGAAGCATGATTAACTTAGCAATATAAAACAAAATAAACGGATAATGTTAAATGATTGTTTTTTTAAAGATCCAAAGAATATTTAAAACGCTACTATAGTTCGTCGCCAATGAGCATCGTTCAAGATTCTGTTGATTGTATATAAATAATAATAATAATAATAGCTCACATTTATAATGCGCCTAATACTTTGTTTCTAGGCGCGGAACATATTATTACCCCGGTCATCGGATTCAGGCTTACCCGCAACACAATGTATGCACATTTTCCACTCCCTGGGAAGTATTCCAGCCAGACGCCATTTTACAAGCGCCATTTGCTAATCCAACCACATTAAATTTCGCATCCTATAAAGCGTATGTCGGTCCCAAGATACTTTCTTATTGCATTCCATATAAGTATCATGAAACAAAATTAATATTTGGAGATTGAGTATTTGCATGCGCAGGCCCAACCTGTGGAATAACTTGTCATTAGAAATTAGAGAAACACCATCGTTAAGTAATGTTTAATCAAAGGATATCTTTTCATGTACCGTTATGTTGTAGATTTAAACACAGCAAAGACTTTCGCAGCGCAGTAAACTATATTTACATATTGTGTAAGCTTTACCAATGTATAATTGATATTATTATTATTGTTATTGTTGTTTTTATTATTATTATCATCATTTTTAGTGTTATTATTATCGTTAATATTATCATTATTATTATTATTTTATAGCTAGCTTTCAATAATAGTATTTTCTTTCTCCCAGAAAATGAATCATTATAATGATTGTTGCCGTCAGGATTTTAAATTAGTTCATACCAAATAATAATAACGATCAGTGGAAATTCTAAATTTGACTTTAAAATTTCGCTCCATATTATATCAAAAAGCTGATGACACCAAATGAGAAAGGTTACCTGAATAATTACTTGAAAGGAAAAGAGGATATTCTGTAACCTCTTAGAGTGATAACGAGCTGTCATAATCATAGCCCTTGGGGTGTTTCACAAAGGTCCTAAGTCAAACTTAACTCTAAGCTGCACTTAGACATTATGGAGAGCCATTCGTAGCCTTAAAATAAAATATATTCAAAAGCAAAAATTGAAGTATTTTAGACTTTTCATAAATTCCACATCAAGAACGTGAAAACCCCTTGCCAATAGAAAATATGAATGATTTGAATCAACATTTAATGCCTTTTAAAATAACTTTTACAAGATATTTTCAGAGATGCTAAAGGCTTTCCATAATTGTTTAGTGCAACTTAGAGATGAGTTCAACTTAGGATCTTTGTGAAACACCTTCCTTTTCTTCTATATTAGGAGCATGATGACAATGCAGTGATCATGTTGACTGGAAACAAAGAAGACCTCGCATCGCCTTACAGGGAAGTCCCTAGAGAGGCGGCTCTCAAAGTCGCAAGGGTAAGGACAAGTTCGAGCTACCTTTTTCTTTCTTTCTTTATGAGTTTGAGTTTGAGTTTGAAGTTTATTAACCAAAACAAAAAGTACATCAATATAACAATAAAATGTGAATGATTAACATTGAAAGGATAAATGGGACCAGAAAATAGGATTTAATGCTAATCGTGTCTGGTACCACTAACACACAAAAGTATCACAGCAATAAATGAGAATGTAATGAATAAATATGAATAACTATAGAATACATACTTAAGCTACAACCTATTCTACATCTAGGGTAAATATGTTCTGTGCTTATATACAAAGCTTTGGTATTTTACACTAAATAAAAGATAAAGAATTATATAACATAATATTTACAAAAAGGCAAGAGCCTTGGTTCAAAGTTAAAAAGTTAAAAGCGTGTAAGGAAATATTGAGATCGTTAACTTGGAGTTGATAATGTAAAATGGAAACAATAATGATTGCAAATTTGTATTACAGCTTATATAAATATATAAAAGAAAGTGATGAGTTACAAACAAAGAAAATGGAGAAAATCAGATTTAATAATGCGTAAATAGACCCCAACTGAAATCATAAAGATGTGAATTATTGAACTTATGAAGAACCGAATGCAAATTATCAACTCTGTGTCATACCTACATCCACGGAGGCCATCTCACACCCTACCCTCCTAGTACGAACTGAGTTCTTTAACATATGCTACAGAATTAGATAGTGAACATTTGAAATGAAAAGCTCGTCATGATTAAAGTTTGAATTGACCATATAACTATAGTGATATCTTGAGCTATTCGTTTAGCCTTTCTAAGCAAACCTATAATAAATATGTCATTTTGTATTTCGTTAATTTTTTTTTATACTGATCTTGAAACGTTGCTTTGACCTGTTTTTTATATAAAGGAAAACAACGCCCTGTTCATAGAAACCAGTGCCAAAAATGGAACAAATGTTTTCGAGGCCTTTGGACGACTAGCAAGGTAAAGAAAGGCCTTTTGATTCCTTATCTTTCGTTTTTTTGTTATTATTTCATATCATTTGATTCCCAAGAACATGAAGATCATTATTCTTGAGAATAATACACGAGATGTCATAGTAAAATAACTTCGGATCCTGTAAACTAACACAAAATGACGTGAGATATTCTGTTATCATCTCGTTCCCACTATTTTTTTAAATCTCGTTCTCGATAATCATATTTCCATTTGTAAAAAAACCTTTCCTACCTGTACTTTGTAGGAATATAAGTTGCAAGAATGCTTCATCAATTAAATTTTGCTGAATGCATGCAGATAGAGAAAAACAAATAAATTTGTACTTGTGAAATACCATTTTGAGTATTCTCATTAAAACATCTCATTGTATTTTTTTCAATAACGCAACAACTCTTGTTAACACTAATGTTATTGGTGTTATCAATAGTATTATCACCATTAGAATTATAATAATGATGTCGATGATCATGATGGTGATATAATTATTATTATCATTATTATCGTTATCATTATTATCATGATGATGATGATGATGATCGAAATCATCCCCCTTGTAATAATCAATATCACCATTATTATCATTCGTATATTTAATTGTCCTTATATTATGTTCATTATGTTATCAATAATTACCATCACCGGTACCATCATCAGTCCAAATATAAGTAATATTGATACAATTGTTTTTCATTGTATTTTACCTAACCCCAGGGAGCTACAAAAGAAGGAGGACGATACTTCGAGTAGGGTGTACGAGATGGACGTGGAAGAGCAGAATATCGCCTTCGCTCCAAAGAAAAAACGGAGATGCTGCAACTTCTGAAATCTATCCGACCCCGGTGAAAATTCAAGCGCCAATCATCTTAGTCTCACCGCAGGAAAACATTTTTACCATTCTATAGGCGGTGTCAGACAGAGGCAATTATCTAGATAAAAGTTATCGAGATAATCCGTAGCCTGTCTGTCACCTGCCTGTCACCTACATAAGTGAATTATCTGGATAAATATTATCTAGATAGTTCAAGATGGATCGGGAAAATTGTGTCTGCCATCGCCTTATGAAGAACTTCAAGAATAAAAGCTACATGACAGTGACAGCATTTTTTATTTTAATGAGTATGATAATTTGCGTGCACATTCGTCACGATTGAAAAGACTTTTAAAGCCTTACTGCACTACTCTATATAGAAAACAATGCCTAAGTGGTGCCCGTTGGCCCCCCCATGATCCCCTTTGTCTTATGACAAGTGAGAGCTGATTTTGATGAGATAATCAACTGTCAGTGACCATGCAGGGAGGTCTAATCCCCACTTGCCAAACTAGTGCAGTGGGGACTTAAGAGGCTATTCCTTTGGAGAATATTTACACAAACTAATATTTATGTTAAAATCGTATAAATAAAACATAATTTATGGGGATGAATAATTTGAACACTATTATTTTTTCGTCTGACGTTTTCTTTTTTGCTGATTTTAATTACGTAAAATTATGCTCACTATTGATTTCATTCGTTATTCATGTTCTTATTTGTCAATATCAAATATTGATAAGATATTTATTTCAGTTACTTAAGGCAAAGGAGGTAAATCACTTTGTAAACCTCTGCATTGAACTTTCCTGAAGCTTCGAGGATTATTGTAAATTAACTCTAAAGTTCTTTTGAAACAATGCATTCCTTAAGCAAATTTTAACATAGCACAAGAAATGTATAGCTATATTATTTATTTGCCTTTCAACAAAGTTTATATATTTTAACGATTTCTTTTTCATTCGAAATTAGTGCAATCGCTCTCGATATGAATTCCACATTCACTTTATGCCCACATGATATTATGTTTACATTTCGTTATCACCAAATGATACAATAACGACAGCATCAATCAGCATAGCATACAAATAGGTTCATTATGCGACCTATTCATGCATACTCGATTGAGAGTAGATTTGTTAGCAAATCGGTCTGCTGGTCAAACTGAACCTATTGTAAACCTGTATCATTACTAACCGTCACTATATTCGGACTGAAACTTAAAGGTAATACAAAGTTTTGGAAATTTTGAAAATTGGTTAGATAGTGGTTCTTTACGATTTTGATATATTTGGCTGCCCATGTGGATGTAATATAAGCACTAAAAAGGTTAGCCTCTAAACGCTTCTGCTTTCGAGAAAAATTGAATATAACAATTTCAAATAGCGCCTACGGTCGTACAATGGTAGCTGCGACCAAGAAAATCTCAGAATATGTAGTTGTGATATATAATTTCCAAATGGGAATAGAAAATCGGTCGATTTTAGTCAAGAAACATTGTTTTATAGCTTAATTAATATCTTGACCTTGAGAGGGAGCTATACAACATAAAGAGTTTATTATTCATAATTTCATAACTTAAGACTCGATTTCAACCGTAACAACGATCACTGAATATTGTAGGATCGCATATGCTTCCAATATGTTCATTTGAACCAATTTCATGACCCCATACCAAAACTTTGTATTACCTATAAGAAAGTGTATTTATCTGTATGCAATCACTCAATTGGGACTACTGGGCCTTATGTATCATACTCATGAAATATATATATATATATATATATATATATATTTACACGTCTTGTGTAAAAATGTAAAAACAAATCTTTCTACAATGTATCTATATAGAAGTATGTATAGGCGGTGAGGTAACTGTACGTACTATAAATGCAAAACGATTTAAAAATAAAGATAAACAAAATGGCCCAGGCGAACCTCGATCCAAAGCATCAATGTTTTTTTCTTGCCATGTACACGTCATTTACGCATGTCTTGCCAAAGGACGTTAGCGTTTGCCGGGCTATAATTCAAACCTTTAAACCTTCGATTGAAACTGAGAGTCCAGTGAATGCACCATTATACGGAAGCAAAAAGATGCACACCCTCTTTTGCTTCATCATGCAGGGGCGGATCTAGCTTTTTGCTAAGGGGGGGGTTGACCAAAATAATGACGATGCGGAGCATCGTCCACGAGCCGCGAAGCGGCGAGCCGATTTTTGGGGGGGTGTTTATTTGAACCCCGTAAGTGATGTTTTCCTGGCATCTATTAACACAATGGAGACCATAAAAAGCAGTGCATGATAACGTCTTTTTAAATCAAGTAATAATAATAATAATAATAATAATATTGGCATTTATATAGCGCTCTTACAGACATAACAGTTTAATACATAGTTATATCCAGAGTTATCATGTGTTTGGTTAAGTTACCAGATGAGTTGAATATCTTCTCACAATATTTGCACTTGAAAGGGTTTCTCTCCAGCGTGCGTTCTTTTTTCTTTCTTTTTTTCTTTCTTTTTTTCTTTTTTTTCCCTTTTTTTTTTTTTTTTTTTTTTTGGGCCGCCCAAGGGGGGGGGTTGCAACCCCCCCAACCCCCCCCCCCTGGATCCGCCACTGTCATGCAATTCCCTCAATATTTTAAAAACACGTTTTGAAATTGTCGTTCCAGACAGGACTTTACACAAGTTTAAACTTTGTATGCCATAATGCTAATAGAACTGCCAATAATAATTCTGTATCAAAAAGGAAAACACCTCGGTTACCGTCTTGTGCGGAGAGCCGACAGTGGGTATTATGAGTATTATTGAGAAGTCAAAACCAGATCAAGTGCGATTCATATAGTGACGTCACGTCAGTCGGTTGACTGCCTCTGATTTGACACGTACATGTATAATTAGCCGACAGGATGACCTGCAATTTAAATGACTTTGCAATATTTATTTCATTTTACAATTCATATGGCCCTCAAGAAACCTCTATTAGAAAGGTTTTTATGTTAAAATTTTCGCATCTAAATTTTTTTTTTTTAAATTGGGGTCTAGGTCCAACCGACTTGGACCCAAATTTCGATTTGATTTGATTTGACCAATGGCAGTACATAGTTTAACTTTAAAAAGCTATGAGATCAATCCAAATAAATTGCAAACCTTCAATCAGTCGCAACATTACAGTTTACTGCCATCTCTTTAACGTTTGCTATTGGTTGTACTTCAACGAAAGGTTGTGACACGAGAAACACGCTTATAGAACCCACAAAATAAAAATGTATAGTGTTATCAGAAACAAGGAACCTATATAGTATGAAGCTAGTAAACAGATGTAGGTTTGCTTTTTATTTTATGTAGGCTTTATCTTACATTAAAATGATCCAAACTTTCATTCAGATATATCAAATAAGAACTTTAAATTTAAGAATATACTAGGCATAATTAATTTACATCTTTTCGTGTCACTGTAAGCCCTTTTTCTTAAAACAACACAGGAACTAAATTTAAACAATTTCAACCTAACTTTAAATTCATTCGGATGAACCTAAAGACGACAAAAAAAGGCGAAAACTTATTTTAAACCGCCATAATGCATGTACGATATTGTAAAAAGACTGTTAACCATTATGTAAAAAGATTATAACAAAGAACGATAATTTGGTCTATCTTAAACCAATTGTGTGCTGCCTTGTTTTTGTTAAAAGGATTAAGAGGAAAATGTTTATGGCTTTGATGGGGAAGAAAGTCAGAGACAGTGTGTGAGATCGAGAGAGAGAGAGAGAGAGAGAGAGAGAGAAAGAGAGAGAGAGAGAGAGAGAGAGAGAGAGAGAGGCTAGAGAAAAAGACAGAGAGGATAAAAGGGAGATAGGGAGAGAGAGAGAGAGAGAGAGAGAGAGAGGAAGAGAGAGAGAGCTAGAGAGAGATAACAAGAAAACTAACAAGAGAGAAAGTAGAAGAAACATACAAAGAAAGAGGGAAGCAGGGAGGCCAAGAGACTTTAACTACATGCCCTGAGGGAAGGGAGCCAACGGAAGCGAGAGAGAGGGAAGCTAGAGTCGAGAGCTAGATCGAGAAGGGCCTGGGGGCGGCTGAGAGGGAGGGGGCGTAGACGAAGGAGATGAAATAAATTAAACCAACGTAATTATCAGTGTGGCCTTTTGACACTGACGCATATAATAATCCTAAAATTTATTATAAAATGATATGGATCTGAGAACGCCATCTACGTTTAATGTGCTGACAACGTTGCAACATGGCGCTGCACATGAAAACATTTCTCTTTATTATCATTACAGTTTTTGTCACCTTTAATGACTGTAATGCTATGATAGATAGCTTGTACTGTGGAAAAGAAAACTGCTATGATGGTAGGTGTATTTATTAATACATATTTTGCTTTCTTGTGACTTTTACTTGGGTTATCTTTAGGTGAATAAATTGTACAATTTTACTACAGTCCCACTCGTAGCTAAATTAGTTTGCAATTTGCGTAGCCGTCAACATGGATTTTCGGCGCTAGTTCAGAAGTCTAGCCAAAATTTGAGATACCTAACTGAAACATATCCAAAATGAAGTAAATATTCCTCAAATTTTCAAATAAATATCATGAGTTAAAAGTCGTTATGTTTATTACTTCCTGTTTTGTGTCCTAGAGTCTCGGTCTAGTTTCGTGTCAATTTTCTTGTTATTTTTGGATTATTTTTCAGAAAACCGTTGATATTAGTATAGATCTAGTCTACACTTTTTCACAGGTTTCACGGCAAACTGCTGCACAATATAAAGCATACTGGCGAGCGCGCACCTGTGTTAAGTTATCTACCGTAATGAGGATCTGAGACATTACGGTAGATAACTCAGATATCTTGGTAGGGAGGCCAATGCCCGGGCGTAAGGCTTCTACGCCTACGATTTGTGCGCTCGTCGTCCAAGTCAGAAAATTACCAGAAGAAAATAAAAGGGGAAAAAAAAAGAAAACAAATATCTATGGAATAAAATGTATAACAAATACACAATTACACACTCCACAACATACCTATAATCACGGATCTGTAATGGTCTTTCACCATTTGTTGACGATCTTGCAGATTTTGATGTATTTTGATCCAATAATTGCGCTAGCAGACGAAAATAACGGACGCACGAGAGAAACTAGACGGGTCCTAGAGGGCGATGAGGTTAGCTCACTAAAATCCTTCTCAATGACTGAAGGTAGCGCCTAAAAATATGGAATCAATTTAATATCAAAGAACTTTTGATAGAGATTAACATATCAGTTGTGCACAAATGTCACTTTTAACAACTAGAAAATATAACGAAAAAGGATTATATCTTTTTAATTGCAGATTTTTACAAACTGCACAATCAAAGGTAGATAGAGTACGATGTTTTTGTCAATCTTGCGTTGGTTTGAGCCCCATAGCTAGAGCCATCTCAAATTGGGGAGCAAAACTGTGACAAAGACGTCATTGTTCCAGCCCAAAATAGAAGTCTTGCGACATCATAATATGAATATGTATGAGGTCCGGTCTCATCGCGCGCAAAACAAATTTGACGTAGTCTCACACATAGTACCTTTTTCTCAGCACTAGACACCAGTGTCGTGCAGTAATGTATGAGAAGTGTAAAAAAAGACATTTCAGTAAAAAAAAAAAAAGTCTACGTGAGCAGTCTATACTCCAATTGAGAAGTGTAATGAATGCCATGATTTGAACGTGTGTGTTTTAGTGTATGATATCATCATGGTTAGTGAGAGAGAGAGAGAGAGAGAGAGGGAGAGAAATATCTCCGTCTATCAATGCGTGCAGTCCTATTGACTATGTTTGATTCCGTATTGTGTTCGCTGCAACTGTTGGATTTTGCAGTGTCAGATTCATCTTTACTCATGAGGAAATAATTGGAATACATATCAAAACTAAGGTAGGCCTATTTATTTATTTCAATCATTTTCTTAATTTACAATGAGTGGTTTTCGAGCTTTCTCTCATTATGGCATGGCTAGCATGGCTCGATTGCGGCTTGCATGCAATTACCGTACGTGGACGGCCTGTAGTACTGTGTCGGTGTGTACGACTAATTCAAGGCTAGCCGGTGATGATGAATGCACTTTCGCGCGAAGTTTTGAACTTGTTGTCCGGGCAATGACCATGATGACACGCCCATTCCCTCGGGCCTGTCTAATTCTCGACGTAATTTTTGGGACCATGAAATTGATTGTTTCAAGGCTCTTGCGTACGGCCAAGCGTAGAAGGAAGGGAGTGCTTAAAAGCTGGATATCTCCTATTTTATGGAACTTCTGGAGTCGGCAGATGGGTGAGTTTTCTTAGTGAAAGTAAATGCTTTCTTTTAATCTTTGTTTTATTTTAAACAAATTCGTAATTAAAAAGTTAGATTTGGGCATTGGCCTCCCTAATCTTGGGCTTGAGCATGAGCACTTGCTGAGTTTTGTGCTCGGTGCAAAGAATTGTCACAAATCATCATGGTGATTTTGGTAGGTGTTGCAATGAATTTTTTTCTCCCAAAATTAGTTTATTCATGCATGTTCACTATTTCACAATCAAATCATTTTCAATTTTAAAATCTATTTGAATTGACTTCACACGAAAACAAAAATTAATTATTTTTTTTTATTTCATAGACAGTTTAAAGAATGAACAAACGAAGGAGATGAAACATAAGCAAACAGATCTTGACTTGTTACAACACCATTTAAATATATAATATATGACAAATAAAATACCTGAAAGGGTTGTTATTTATTTACAAAGAACAAGGAAAATTAAAAAACACCAAAACGGAGGTACATGTAGACCTATATTGTTAAGTCTAGTAAAATGTCTCGTAGATCATAAAGATAATTTGATTCATGTACATAAATGTACATGTATATATCTTCTTCTTTTTTTGTAGACTCTATAAAGATACTCTGATCAACCATTTTGTCATAATTGCATTTTTTTCATGCTTAAAATCAATGTTGATAAATCTTTCATTTACTTTTGAAAGTAAAACAATGTAATTCACTTATAAATTCTCCATTACTGTGCTACCAACTTTGTATTACAGCTAAAGATTTAATCATCAATGTAACATGTTATGAACCTGCTTTTATAAGTACACCACTTTTTCTCTGTCTTTAATGCTTGATGCACACATTTACTCCACAATTTGCAGTTTATGTACATTACATTTCATTCCATTTGTTTCGAAAAGTAAGAAGACAGTCAACTCTTTTTTTTTTCTGAACATTATTTTTGGAGTTCCAAATTGTGTCAATGGCCCTGAATTTAACTAATTGATTTCATTATTTCACCTTTTCAGTTCTTGGTGTCACTAGAGATGCAGCCAAGGTAAGTCAAGATGCATTATCTCTTTTTCAGTTTTTTGTTTTTGTTTTCAAAGTCTTTGTATTCATTGATTATTAAATAGTCAGTATTATTGTAGAATGTAGATATTAATTTACTTGTTAGGAGGTATATATGGGGAAGAAGGCAACCCAGAATCAACACTCAATGATGAAATCATCACTCATGGATTTAGATAAAAGAAAAAATCTGATTGTACATAGATCAGTGTCTTATCATACCTTGGATATCATACCTTGAAGGAAAAAATTTATTTGCCCCTCGATATCCGCCAGTAGGTTACTCTTGCATTTGGTGCTGTGCAGTTATGGATGAACATTGACAGTTGAATAATTCATCAGGATTAAACTTGTCTTTCTTCATACATGTAGCATGCAGAGTATACACTGTATGGTGCATAATATTTGCTGTGTGTATATTTACATGTAGGTACATGTGCTTGTTACTGCGTTTTACAACCAGTAGATGCTTTAAAACCCTCCAGAATGTATGTAGAAGAGAAGTTCTTCATGTAACTTTCATTGTAGTATACCATATAAAAAAGTGAGTACAGTAATCCATTGTGAAATCCTCTAAAGATGTAAACTTCGTAAGGACCTTGTTGATTTTGAATGTACATGTAATTGTAATATATAGTAACACACATGTTTCAAGTTTGCTTAAATTCAAGTATTTTTCAGCAAGTGGGTTAAAATTTTCCCATTTTGATTCTTCAAATTGGCAACTCCAGCATTTTCTTTGCATTGCAATATATTTGGAATAAAATTCTATTTACATGAAATATGAGCTGGACAGAAACTGCCCGAATTTGTGACACGCAAATTTGTACCATGCATATAAAATAAGAATGGCAACTTTTCATTGTGTTGCAAAACTAATATATAAAATACATAATAGATTGACTTCTTTGATTTTGATAATTGACCTATTCCATCTGTTTCTTTTTAACTATTGTATATACAGTCAGAAATTGCCAAGAATTATCGACAGTTAGCCAGAAAATACCATCCTGATAAGAACAAGGTAAGTCTTCATGCTGTTAATATTCATGTTGGTCTCAACAAAACATCCATGCTAAAAAGAAGGAGTGTTTCATGCACATAGAGACATATTAGTGATATATGCTCTGTATAATATGGTATATTACTATGAATATAATGAATGTTGATCTTTACTTTAAAGAATGGCACCACAACACTAAAGGAATGTTAAGTAATATATTTTTAATAAGTTTTTGATAAGTTTTTTTAATTCAATTTGTTTGTTTACTGAATTACATGTTTGTATTGATTTCCTTCCCTGATTCTCAACAATTTCTTTTTTTCTGCTCCTGTCTCATCACTCCCTTTTCTCTCTGTCTTTCTGTCTCTTCTCCTCTCCTCTCCTCTCAACTCCTCTATCTCTCAGGTATCTACCCCTCTCTCCTCTTCTCTCTCTTCTCCTCTCTTCTCCTCTCCTCTCCTCTCCTCTCCTCTCCTCTCTCTCCTCTCTCTCTTCTCTCTCTTCTCTATCTGCTCGTCTCCCTATATCTCTCGGATCCCCTCGACCCCCCAATCTTACTCTCTCCCTTTGAATTGTAAGCTAACTGCAGAAATTCAATACATAAATGATTATGTGTGCATGTTTCATGAAGTACGAATAAGGAATTGTTTATTGCAATCTCCTTAATAAGTTGTTCATTGATTGTTTTGAGTAGGATGCTGGTGCAGAGGAAAAGTTCCAGGCTATTGCCACAGCCTATGAGATTTTGAGAGATGAGGACCAGCGAAAAGATTATGATTACATGCTGGATAACCCAGGTAAGAAATCTGTTTTTAAAAAAGAGACATTCTTCATAAAGTTTAGCAAACATCATACATATTCATGACTAAACAAATTATTTCTCATTACCTAAAATTCCCAATGCAATCTTTTGCCTTCTTTTTTTTATATCATTGCTTAATAATTGCATATAAAAAAGAATAGTTTCTTTCATTAGAAGAAACCAATAGGACTTTCCTACTGCAAGTGCTTACAGTGACATTAAAAAAAAACTTTTCTTAGTGGTTCTAAAATTGACCATCATAAATATAATTAATTTCTGTTTTTCTCATATTAAAGGGCCTTTTCAATCGGGGTACTACTGAACAATATGTTATGTACATACCACTGTTCCTGTATACCTGTAGCATTATATTATAATACCTCTAAAGATTTTTAAAAAAAACATCCTGAGTCTGTATATATATTTTTGAAAACTGTAAACTTAAGTAATAGTGTGTTTTTAAACAAATTGGAAAGTTGTCCACCACTAAATCACAGAGACATTACCAATTCAGGCAATTTGAAGAGCCCATATCTATAGTGATTACAACAGGAATTCATAACTTTCTCATTCAAACTTTACAAGTCTTGTGTAAGTTTTTTCAAGGTTGGATTGCCTTTATACAGGAATGAAAAATCCAGGAAATTAAGAACTTTTACTTATTTTACTTTTGTTTGCTGTTAGAGGTGTATCAGCCCTAACCTTAAAGGGATTGGGTAACTTTGTTTCAGATTCTAAAACAAAATCCTGGATTTAGCTCATGCTGCAATTATTATTGTAAACCTTTATGTCAGTCAGGAACTCCATGACTTTTACAAGCTGATCGCCTGTCTGATTATTAAGAAATTTATGATTGGAAATTGAAACCAAATTTTGCGTTTTCCTAACGGTTTTCGTAAAACAACAGTCTATTGGAGAAAACGAGTTTGGTAAACCAGTCACTCAAAGATTTTTACTTTTTTGAGGCATTTCTTGATCATTTTGAAGCGCATTTTTTTTTAGGGCTTGAATATTACACCATATCACAGACACTGATTACATGTAGGGCCATGCATCTCAGATTTAACATTGTTAAATGATGCCTTTAATCCACTTAGAGAAAATTATTTATTGAATTATTTTCTTGTGCTTGTAGATGAGGTCTATAGGCATTACTACAGGTACTACAGAACAAGAGTTGCCCCTAAGGTGGATGTGAGGATTGTTATAGCAGTCTCCATCACTGTCTTGTCTGCAATACAGGTATGTTGTGTAATTCAGGGGAGTGTTTCACAAAGAATAAGATCGACTTTAAGTTGGACTTAACTATGGCAGGCTGTTCATGCCACTGGTTGCTCTCACCATTGGTCTCTCAATTATGATCTTTAGATAATTTTTTTTTTACTTCAATACTGATCTATCAAAAAATGTTAGATTATGTAGATATGTGATCATGGTTATCACTTTCCGTGAGCCAGTAAATGGTGAGAAAATACAGTGGCATGAAAGGCCTGTCATAGTTATGTTTAATTCAAAGTCGATCTTAGTCTTTGTGAAACACTCCCCAGATTCATTCAGATTCATTTTTTTAATTGGTCCATTTGGCAATTCAGTTTGTCTGCATTACATAAAGCACATGAACAATATACAATAGAAAATAATGTACACGAATAAATAATACACAGTAGCAAATTTATAATGATGCGGTCATATGGAAGCACAGATATATATCGTTTTTACATAGTGGAATAATATAAGAAAATAAATGGACTTTAACAAGAAGCATGCTAGACCCCTGATTACGCATAAAACAGTAAGGCCCTTCAAAAGAAAGGGGAAACAGCAGAAATAAGACTATTTATTTGTGATTAATGCAAATGTAGGGTGCAAAGGAAGAATATTTGCAGGTAACAAAGGGCCCTTAATAGAATTCATGTAAATACACACTTACATGTTTGTGCGGTCAATTGCAGACGTGTGATTCTCACAGTGCGTATTCGTTTTTAATTTACTACTTCTATATTAAAAGTGGTTCATTCTGCTCCGTAATAGAGTAATTACATATTATGTTGGGATTTATAATTTGAAAACTTGGCATATACATATTAATAGACTATCCTACAAATAAGCACATGAAATATCATATCTAAATCTGTATATGGGAATTATAAATGATTAATAATTCATATCTTCATGTATTGGCATTTTTGCTTTGAATGAGAAACATACATGTATGGGTGACATGTTGATTTTGGCATGTTTTGGCACCTAAATGGCAATACAAACATCTTTTGTCTTTAGGTCTTATGTACATGTATCATGTATCCAGTCCCCCCCCCCCCCCCACATCCCAACTCCTCTTCCTGGAGCCACAACCAAACCAACCATCAATATGTATTATACTTTGATTCATACAGTCACTGTACTTTTAGTTGCTCCTGCTATGTGTAATTATTGCCTTTAGATATAAAATGTATACTTTTGCCTCCCTTTTTTCCCCAAGTATTTTAGTTGGTGGTCGAGGTATAACACAGCTATCAAATATCTTGTGACTGTTCCGAAGTATAGACTCAGGGTAAGTGAACAGATGATGAAATATTGGCTTTGGGGGTGTTTCACAGAGGTCCAAAGTCAAACTTAAGTTAGACTTAAAAATGATGGAGAGCCATTTGTAGCCTTAAAATAAAATATATTCAAAAGCGAAAAATCAAGTATTTTAGACTTTTCCACATTGAGAACATGAAATCTCCTTGATAATAGAAAATATGAATGATTTGAATCAACATTTATTCCGACAGGCTAGTACTTTCCACAATTTCACAAAATTAAAATTTTGACCATAACAGATCATTGTATTTACCAGACTTCAAGAGTAGTCAACTGTGTACAGGGTGAGATTAATCTACACTGGGAGTGTTTCACAAAGATCCTAAGTTGAACTTATCTCTAAGTTGGACTGAACAATTATGGAAAGCCATTAGCATCCTTCAAAAATATTTTGTAAAAGTTATTTTAAATGGCATAAAATGTTGATTCAAATCATTCATATTTTCTATTATCATGGGAGATTTCATGTTTATGTTTTTGGAATGTATGAAAAAGTCTAAAATACTTCAATTTTTGCTTTTGACTATATTCCGAAATAAGGCTACAAATGGCTCTCCATAATATTTAAATCCAACTTAGAGTTAATTTTCGACTTTGAATCTTTGTGGAACATCCCCCTGGTATCAAAAGGGTTGTCATGGAGTTAAGCCATAAGTGCACAAAGCATTCCTTCCGTCAATCAGTGCCTATTGTTTTAGTGCAAAATTACATGTGCAGCAAACAAGCGACTATGCAGAAAGATGGAGGAAGCAAGCTAAGGGTTAAAAAAATACAAAATACAAGTTACAAAGCTATCTTCCTGCTGAAGTTAGAAATATCATGTTAAAGCATTAGAAGGGGAAAGAGAAAAAAAAACTGATGAGCTTTCTCATTTTTTAACCATTGACTACTGAAGTTGATAGGTTCCATAGGCTTAACACAGGGACCACGCGGTTCCCGTAAGCAAAGGGTTAACATTTCATATGAAATACAAAGAGGAACATGTTCTAATGCTGGATGATGGAACATTACAAATGCAATTAGTAATGATTGTCTATATATGTGTGAAATATCACCAATTTTCAAGGTCTATAGTCGATTGTTGATTTTGTTTCTGTTTTGTAAATCATATTTTAGGCACAAGACATTGCCAAAAAACAAGGTTTACTGAACGACTCTGTCAGAAAACGAGGGAAGCGGAGCAAGGTGAGAACATGTTATAACTTCTTAAAGGTATAGACCAGTTATGGTCATGCGATTGCATTGTGAAAGAAACATTGTGGAATCGATCAGAAAAGGTTGATCATCTAGCATATATAAGTATTGTTGTGTACTGCAAGGTTCTGGAATCATCAAAAAGATAAGAAATTTGGCCCAGTCTTGGTAAAGTTACAAGCACTACACAGAAAGATGTATATGGGACTACGTGATATCTATCCAGTCCGGGTAGATATAATAATTTACCAAATATATCAATTAGAAGGCGGTTTCCCGGCAATATTTATATCATCACGTATTAGTTAAAACATATTCTTTCACACGATTGGTAATAAGAGCTTCCATTTCATTTTTTGAGAGGGGGGCGTTTCCAAAACTGGTCTATACCTTTAAAGTTATATATTGCATAAATTCAAAATGAAATCAACAATATGTAGACCAATTTCAGTCATATAATTGAGGGGAAAAAAAGGAGTTGAAAAATGACAAGCTTTTTAAAACAGTTGTTTATTGAATACATTGTTGGCACTGAATGTATAAATACAAAACTAATTAAAAACTCAGACTGAAATCAGATGTTTGAAGAAGAATATGCATTGGAAGTTAAATGTGTTCTTGATTAAAGGAGAACTACATGTAACATACCCCAAATAATGAGTGTAGCTATTCTGAAAAACCAGATGAATTCCTGCCTTTTGATGTACAATAAATCTTACAAACGTATACAAAAGATAAATGAAGATTTCTTGGCATAATGTAGGCCTAATACTTTTTAGCATGACATGGGTGCAGTTATATTCTTAAAAATGTGAGGTACCAGACGGAGTTGTACATGTATCATGCACCAAGCTTTAATTGGAAAGACTTTTTAATTCAATAACAAAACCTTTACTATTCAATGATGGAAAAAAGGGCACTTTATGCATACAGAACTACATACACCTTAAAATATGAATATCTTGGAGACATTGATTCAGAGTGTAATATGAGATAGCAACCAGAAAATGATGCAGACTGCTATAAAAAAGAACCCCCACCCCCCCCCCCCCCACCCAGAAATAAAAGAGGAAATATTGAATTTCTAAAAACTTGTTCTTGATTTTCTCCTTGTTCTTACAGGAAGCAATGAGAGAAGAAGAGGAATCTATTCTGAGACAAGTAGTAGAAGAAAATGCTGATATAAGGTAAGGAGCAGAGTGGTGTGTTGTTGTATACACCTGACCCTCATTATGAAGGTTGAGGGTTCAAATATCTGGCTGGTGCATACATGTTTGTGATTGTGAGCATGCTGTCGGAGCTATTGTGTTGTCTCGTCTTGACTATGCCAATTCATTATTGTATGGGATCAAGTCATCACAAATGAGCGACTCCAGAAAGTTCAGAACTTGAAACTCGAGCTCGAGAAATTAGCTCGAGATATTTTGCTCAGCGTTCATGCATAATGCGAGTCTTAGGGCTGGTGAAGCGCACCAGACAAATAGGGGGATATTTTGCAAACTAGCCCAAGATATCTTGGGATGATTATCTTGACCAAATAACCCGCTAATTGCAACTTCGGGCTGATGAAGTCGCAAATTAATTGGATAATTTGGGATCGGATAGTTAAAATAGCAGGATATTTGGCAATCTTGAGCTAATGAAAACAGGCCTCATAGACCCTACTGGTAATTTCTCTATCAGTGGTCAGTGCTCCATGTGTCTCCCTATCAGATCATGGTATCACCAGGATAAGTGTTGAACTGGTGAGCTGAGCTCAAATGAGATGTTTTCCGAATGGTACAATCTGAGCCCTGTTTCATAAAACTTGATATCAATAACAAGTTACAAGGTACAAGGTACACCAAAATTACACAGTTACAAGGTACTGTTATTAGCTACTGAAATCATTGCATGTGATTGGCTGAGAGCAAATTTGTCATAGAAATTTTGCATTAGTTATAGATAACAAGTTTTATGAAACGGGGCCCCAGACTGCAGTCTGAGTGAAATAGAAATATCATTAGATCTGCGAAAATCTTAAAATTCAGACCGTTTCTTTATTTCTTTGTTTTGTTCTTTTCAGGGGTGGGTACAGTAAGCCTAAAATTACTGATATCCTGTGGATCCAGCTCATCTTGCTCCCGGTCACGATAGCCAAATATTTCTACTGGTACGCCCGGTGGACGTGGAAATTCAGCATTCAGAGAGAGCCCTATGGGCTGGAGGAGAAACACTATGTCATCAGAAAAAACATGGGTGTTACACATTTACAATATGAGGTAAATAATAATAATAATAATAATAGGCATTTCTATAGCGCCGTCTATCTAGAAATTTCATTTCCGAGGCGCATGTATTATTATCCCGGCTTTAGCCTAGCTGCCATTACAGCGCTCCAGCATTTGAAGGAATTAACTCCTACCCATTTACCTCACCTGGGTCGAGTGTGGCAAATGAAGATTAATGCCTTGCCAAAGGACATTAGTGTCATGTCGATGTCGGGGATCGATGGTTCGAGGGGTGACCCAACATTTTCTCTAGGCTTTATTTCGTAGAGTTGTAATTGGGTTTTAAGTAAGGCTTATTATTAGGGTGATGATTTGGTATAGTGTTCGGTCAATATTGAAGTATAGAATTCACTTAAAGCCCCACTGCACTACTTATAGCTACTTGCGCTCTATATAGCAAACAATACCTAAGTGGTGACAGTCGGTCCCCTATGATTCCCTTTTTATCTTATTTTATCTGAGAGCTGATTTGATGAGATATCCATCTGTCAGTTAACATACAGGGAGGTCTAATCCCTCCTGGCCAAACTAGTGCAGACAGGCTTTAAAACTTGTTCAGATATGACAACAGATAGTCATACTGAATGGGGTTACTGAAATAATTGAAAGAAGTGAAATAGTTCTACCTATGATTTTTTTTATGAAATGGTAAGCGATCTGAAAGAATGACTGAAGTCCTTTGTGACTTTTTCATTATTTCAGATTTCAATGTATAATCCACTCAGTTCAGACTTGTTTTTTGCATTTTATTACAAATTTTCACACAAATGTATTCAGTACAAGTTTGTGTATGTATTTCCCATAGGAGGCTGTTGGGGCGACAATGAAATAGACCTTGAGAAACAGGGGCCTGTTCCTCGAAACCGTCATAAGTCTAACTGTATTATAGGATTAACACGTGTTTCAATGGGATAGTCAAGAAGTTAGACTTATGATGGCTTCGAGGAACAGGCCCCAGGTTCTCTGTAACTTTTCTATCTTCAGCTATTCTGGTTAGCTTTAAAATGACATTCCCATCCACTGTTTGATGTTACCAGTCCAGGTCCTAGTTGGTCTGCCCCTCTTTCTCCTCCCTTCAGTTCCTCTTTACAAGATTGTGTTCGCTATTCTTCCACCTAGTTACATGCCCAAACCACTGTAGCTGTCTCCTTCTCACATTGTGATGAGGTGATCATGTTCCCCTATACAACTCTCCATTATCTCCCTCACATTCTTGTTGGATATATGCGAAGTGTAGGGGATATACAGAAGTTCATCTCAAAAGAATTTATTTATGTTTTACAATACATATACTCTGGTAATTATGTGAAGTAATTGCTTGAATGTTGATGACACTAGTCCTACATTTTTTTATATCCAAGAACTGTAGTACATGGTATTGTATTGTATATTGCTGTTACTGTACTCTCATTTATGTTCTGTATTTTGATATGCTTTTATTTTATAGGGTTTAGAAGAATCTGACAAGGCGATGTTTTTGAAGCAGGAATTATGGATACCTGAAAACTTCAAGGTAACTATTAAAGATGTACAGTAGGCTTGCGGATGCACCATGTGTGAGAGAGAGAGAGAGAGGATTGAGGAGTCCTCAAAAGGACTCTCGGTAATCTTTCATGAGGGTGTGTAGTCCTGAAAAGGACTGTTTGTGTAATCTTGAAAAAGACTGTTGGTTATCTTTCTTAGCTTATAGTTCTAAGGAGAACTATAGATATATTGACTACTATGAGAGACATAGCTGTTTCTGTAGGCTCAAGGGGACGTTACATGCTGTTATGATCCGGAGGCTCGCCGAGGGGTCTTGGCAGGATGTAACGTCCCAGGGAACCAGTATAGAAACAGCTATGCCTTGATTATTAAAGCAGTCCATATATCTTTAATAATTCTTGCCTTACTATACTTTTCTTGAGTAAAGATTGGTAACTATTATAGATATATTTACTGCTATTTAATAGAAGCATAGCTGTTTGTATAGGCTCAAGGGGACATTACATCGTGCTATGATCCAGAGGCGCGCTGAGGGATCAAGGCAGGATGTACATGTAGCGACCCCTGAGAGCCAGTATAGAAACAGCTATGCTTTGAATATTAAAGCAGTCCTTATATCTTTTATATAACAAATTCACAAAAAAGTCTACAAAGAAGTCTTTCCTTATCATCCTTTTCTTGAGTAAAGATTGGTTAAAACATCACAGATAATCTGAGACCCTGTATGTCTGTTAATCTTCGCTAGAAATTTGCCTGAATTTTACGATTATTCGGGAATTACACACACACTGTATGATATCCGAGCTCGCACAAAGAAACTTTTTACATGTAAACCAATGGGCATCTCAGCAAAATGATGGTTGCCTGGGCAACGGGCATCTTTCTCATTAACTATTGACCGAAACCGGGCACGTTAACATACAACTCGGGCTTCAGTCATCCACCTGGGTTGGAATCGAACCCCCCGATCTTTGGTTCGACAGGCAGACGCTTTACAGACTGAGCCAACTTTGCCTCGTCATCATCATCACCTGTGCAACAAACCTCTTCAGTCTATTTGATTGTTTTTTTTTTTCCAGGTTTATAAGCAAGAGAAAGAAGAACAGATGAAAGCCAACCTGGCAGAGAATAGCCGATACAAAAGTTACAGAAGGTACATGAAGACCCATGGGAAAGGCAGTATGACTTTCCAAGAATAGAGCCTGGTGTGAAGTCTACCCTGTCATATCATCTCACAGTTCCACCATGGAAATGGTAGAATAACTTTCCAAGAATAGATACTGGTGTGAAGTCTACCCTGTCATATCATCTCACAGTTCCTTGTTGGAAATCTGAGAATAACTTTCCAAGAATAGAACTGGGGAGTGTTTCACAAAGACTAAGATCAACTTTAAGTTGGACTTAACTATGGCAGGCTGTTCATGCCACTATTTTCTCTCATCCTTCACTGGCATGGTCTCTCAAGCTAATCATGGTCACAAATCTACCGAATTCACATTTTTTGATAGCTCATTATTGAAGGAAAAGATATGATCTAAAGATCATAATTGGGAGACCAATGGTGAGAGCAACCAGTGGCACTAACAGCCTGCTATAGTTAAGTCCAACTTGAAGTCGATCTTAGTATTTGTGAAACACTCCCCAGATGTGTTTTCTTTTCTATCATATATTTTCTTTGCCACTGTTCAAATACATACATTCACAAAGCACCAGTTTTTCTTTTCTTTTTTCTACTATAAAGCAAACTATAAGATGAAGAACATCAATTTATTTATACATGTATAAATTTGTTACATTGTTGTTGTCATTTTTACACAATTGTAGGGCTTTTTCCAAAATCGTTCTTACACTTTAAGAGTGCCTTATGAAAATGTTGAGGTATTGATCAGAGGAGATGCAACTATCATGGAATTATCTGGCATTGAATCCCATTGCATTTCAGAGTTTAATTCATTTCTAAATTAAACAGTTTCGCCACCACATATTGGCAACAATTAATCGTACTTTCTAATAATCCTTCATAGCTCAATAAAGTAAGTATATTTATTAAATCAATCATTGTGCAAGAAAATTGCAAAATTTAATCCAAAAGATTGCCAATTTGTAGATGAAAAAAAGATTTTATATTTTACACCATGTTGCCAATGTAGAGACTTTAGTGACCATTAAATCCCTGTTATTCGATGTGAAGAAAAAAATACTAGAAGGAGACACTGTACTAATATGGGTTAACTCTGCCATATATAATTCCCAAGTGATTTAACATTTTAGCAGCTAGAGGAAGGGGGAGGTAGACAACGTCTCTAAAAGACATCAGAAAAATCAGGAAGGTAAAGTGATGAAAGTTTCAGTTAAATGTGATTAAATATAAGAAAGTTATGAATTTTTGAAAGTCAAATCACTTTACGTATGGGCACTTCTAATTGGCTGAAGCGGTTATGTCATTGTGATGTCACTATGAACATGACGGACAAAATATACAGTTCCTCATTCTACCCTCAACAATTGCGATGGTAGACAAAGGAACATCCCTTAACTACTATTTTGTAAAAATGTGTAGAACAGGTGAATATGCATATGACACCTGTTCTTCAGATGTTTACATAATAGCAGTGAAGGGATGTTCCTTAGTCTACCATAGCAATTGTTGAGGGTAGAATGAGGAACTGTATATTTTGTCCCCTTTCTTTGTCCGTCATGTTCATAGTGTGTAGTACCGGACCACTTTCCTATCTGTTCCAAGTTCCAACATATAAAATGACTGAAATTTGAATATTTCAAAAAAAAATTGCTCAGGATATATGGTCTGTTCTTTTTAGAGGACCTCCTATAATTTGCTATCTATAATATATGTGCACCTTTAAGAACTATGAATATGCAGCTTTGCAGCAATGGTGCACACAAACATTACTGCGGCAGGTATGATACATTTGTGAATTCTGGCCATTGAAATCATCATTCAGCTAATCAAACTCAAACCTCAAAGAATGTGACGACTGTAGTATTCAACATGATTGTATTCACGGCATTTCAAATTTTTGTTGTCTGGCGGTAATCTAGCGATAGGCCTTTACAAAAAAGATGCTGTATTGCCCTTTGGATGCCAAAACATGGGTTGGTTGGTCAGAAATCTTCTCTTTTTTTTTTAAAGTCCCTCTTTGGGCTGATATTTCTCAGTTTTTAATGCTTTGATACATTTTTTTCTAAAAAACAGTTAAAAAAAAAAAAATTTGTAAAATGCCAACCGTCGATTTCACAAAATTTGGGTCGGTCTCAAAGGGCAATATAACATCTTTTTCTGTTAGGCCTTATGCAAGTGGAATTAAGTTTTGAGAGGAGCTTGCTTTTATCAATTCTGATTCATTGATTTATCATGCAATCAGTGAGCTGTTTTGTCGTGCAGAGAAATAAGTAATATCACATTCTTTGGAGAGAAAAAAAAAATCAAGTCATAACTCAATATATGACAGGGAAAAAATAAATGCTTTTCGTTAAGGATTTTTATATCAATTACTTTATCTTCATTCTCATATGATTACAGGTACTGCATCATCCTCATTACATAGCTATAGAGTGATGAAGTGTGACGTCATAACAAATCTAATTTGAGAATTTCTCAATTCTTTCTTCATTTTCCGAAAGAGCATAAAAAATAATGTCCAAATGTTGAAAACCAATTGAATATGTTAAGTATTGGCTAAGATATAACCATCTGATTAAATATACTCCCCATAGGAGCTCAGTGTTATATGCTCTAGCTCCTAACCACCAGGAGCCAGAGCATAACACTGAGTTCCCATAGGACATATATTTATTCAGGTGGTCATATATCAGCCAATACTTAACATATTCAATTGGTTTTCAACATTTGGACATTATTTTTTATGCTCTTTCAGAAAATGAAGAAAAAATTGAGAAATTCTCAAATTAGATTTTTATGACGTCACAGCTTCTGTACTCTATAGGGCATTTTTTATCAAGATTATTCAGCAGATATTATGTATTTGTAGTTGTGTGTGATTCAGAATCTAGTAATGCAAGCTACACATTGTAATGTTGTGTTCTCTACAAGGTGAAGATCATTTTATAATGTTGTAATTCATTGATGAAATGTTAGAATTTATTGAATTGAAATTTAGAAAATTAGGATTATCAATTCTAGGAAGCTCAGGTTAGGAGAAAAGAAAAAGAAAGATGAGGAAAAGAAATACATGAAAATATCACGGCAATTTTTGTTTTAAGTTGCTTGTTTCCCGCAGGAAAGCAATTGTTACCATCATTTAGTCCAAATTAAAGAATAAATACAGACCTCAAGCAACGGATTGTTATCTTTGAAGTATGTACAGGTGGAGTCGGGCTAACTCAGCTCAAAGACAACTCGGCCCATCTGCAAAAACAGTCAGTTCTTGCAGGTTTAGGGTTATAGTTAGAGTTATGGTTAGGGTTAGGGTAAAATTACCAAAACTGACCGTTTTTGTAGCTGGGCCGAGTTGTCTGAGCCGAGTTAGCCCCGGATTTGTACAGGTGTATGTGCATGCATGACTCTCATGTACCTTTTGTCCTTAAGCAATAGCAGTTTAGAGATTTCTTATTTAGTATAATTATCATTTTCCATCCTTAAATTAGCAGCAATTAACCTTATTTTTCACTCCTTCACAGTTTGAAGAAAAAATAGGTTTAATATTAAATGAACCAGCACAAAAAATAATTGCAAAATTTAACTGAAAAATTGACTATCGTATCGCGATTTTACATGGCATTGCCATGTTAGAGGTTTTAAAGATTAGTTACAATAAAATAGTTCTTATTTAAGAACAGTACACATAGTGCATTGGAAATAGACTCAACAATTTCTGTGATTTTGGCTCTTTCTTCTCATGTAATATTCATAATTACAGAGCATTCTGGATCGAAAAATAAAAATAAAACTTCACTAAATGCTGATTCTGAAGACTGCTCACTGTTAAAGATGTTAATTTTCTTGTACACCTTTTTACAATCGAATCTTAAATATTGTTAATCTTATGCATATTTATGATTATGTAAATGTATGCACATTTGTTGGTGAATGGGAGTCAATAAACCAGCAGTCTCGGGTAACTCGTTTGTCAAAATGTTGTTGTTTTGAGTAATCTTGTGTTGTGTAAGGGGAGAGAGATAATATGCCAAACATGCGTCTCGTTGTAATAACCAGATTTGTAATTTTCCTGTAAATCTTGTTTTCTTCTTTTTAACTACCGTAAAATGAATTATCTATGTTAAAGTTCTAATCTTCTCAGTTCTTTGTTAATTTTTATTTTATTTTTCTAGCTATCAACTTTTTTCTGTTATTTCTTCCCATTTCTGTGTCTATCTGTCTCACTCTTTTTTGGACATTTATTTCTCCACCCTTGCATGTCTCTCAACATTCTTTTTATCTTCATTTTTCATACTTGTGTTTCCATTTCTCTATTGTCTCTCTTTCTCGCCCTCCCATACATAGTCTTTCCTTTCAATTTGTATTTCTTTATTTTTCTTTCCCTCTCTATCTCTTTCTCTGTCAAAAGGCAAGTACAGTAGAAGGAATATAATAATAATATATGGTAACATTTCATTCAAAAATTACATTTTTTTCCACTAACCTTCAACAATGTTACCAAGTCACTTTAATCTTCACACATCTCTTATTCATGTTGTTCAATCAGCTGTACATCAAAGACTTCTTCCTCAATTCAAAATAACAATGGCCCTAAGTCACAAAGGTTTAAATTTAACCCATGGCTTATGTCTCCATTTACATAACCCATGGTCTAAAATCAGCACAAAATAAGCGTGACACAGTCATGGTACGCTTAATTTTTGCTAATTTTAAACCATGGGATAGGTAAATGAGGGTTTAAACCATGGGTTAAATTTAAACCTCCTTTGTGAATTTGGGCCAATATGTTCATCTTCAGTTCAACACTAAATACAAAGATCCACACATTATTTAAAACATTTTTGTTCATAAAGATATCTATTGCCAAACCTGAATTGCGTTCAGTGAATAACATACACCTTAGAGCAATATGTACATGAATTGATAAATAGAATATTTCCACTCAAATATTTATAATTTCCATTTCATGTATAAAAAGATAAAATTGCAAACAAATCAACAAACAATCACATACATGTATAAGAATTGGACTATTCAATTAATCCATAGCCTTTAGGAACTGGGCAGTCCATGTATTAAAGGGAATGAGGGACCTTGGTAGTCAAGGGTTAATAACCCTTGGTACAAACTTAGCAAAACGTAGAGACACCAAACGAAGCGTCCAGAATGACCTAAACCCACAATGCATAGTTGTTGGAGATCATAAAACTATCACAAAGAGGTAGAAGCTGGGGGGGGGGGGTGTTTCACAAAGATTCCAACTCGAACTTAACTCTAAATTGGACTTAAAAATTATGGAGAGCCATTTGTAGCCTTAAAATGAAATATATTCAAAAGCAAAAATTCAAGCATTTTAGACTTTTCATAAATTCCACATCAAGAACATGAAATCTCCCATGATAATAGAAAATATGAATGATTTGAATCATCATTTATGCCTTTTAAAATAACTTTTACACAATATTTTCTAAGATGCTAACAGCTTTCCATAATTGTTAAGTTCAACTTTAAATAGGATCTTTGTGAAACACCCCTAAGGTCTATCTTGATTACGATTGATGTTAACCTTAACTTTCATTCAGATATATCAAAAAGAACTTTTAATTCACAAACATCACCAGCTACTCATATTTTGCCTTTTGGATTCCAAACGCCTCTTTTCCTGTCTACATTTAGCACCAAATATGGTATCAATTTGGCAATGCTCCTGCAAGCTTTGACAGAATAATTAAAGACCAAAGTAGCTATAGCGCAGTGGGGCTTTAAATGACAACCAGAAACACAATGTCCATTGAAATTACTGTACAGAGGATGAGGTAGGTCATACATATAGGTGAAAGTCATTACCATAGCTTCACCCCACCAACACAGACACCGTTATTCCAAAGAGTCTCCGGTCTCTTATTCCTAAGGGTTTATTAAACTCGTAAGATTTCAATGTTGACATTAAAAAAAGGATAAGCCACTTTCATGGTGCTTTTCACTTTCAATTATACATTGCGATAGTTGTTTCTGTGTAGACTCTACAACAGTAACCTTCAGTTGGTACGATTTCTTAAAGGCATCGTTTAACAATATTATTTGGGTGTTTACCCAATAACGGGTCAATCATTAGTATTAGCCTTCAGTTTTATTACATGACCAACAAGCTTTATGTACTGCCCTGTCTTTTCTACATGTGGTTAAGTCCTCATCTCACATTTGCACCATCAAAAGACTCTTCGAGAGACTCGTGAGGGGGTATTTCTTGATTGGACTACCAGTTTACTGTGTGCAGACTTGTACATCCATTTATTGTATTTCCACCAAGTCTGGTGTTAGTGAATTAAGACCTTCTGCACATGGAAACTGCCGACCGACCCACCCACTTTAACCCCTTGCCTACTGGAACCCGGTTGTTCCTGTGTTAAACTATGGGCAATGTGAGGATTCAGTAAGCAAGGGGTTAATGGTCATGAGAGGCTTGTCTTTGCACTAGGTCTGCATACATGCCTTTCCTCTTCATTAGCTCTGTATGGCTGCCAATCTGAAACAATACAAACAGTTAGATTAATAATAATAATAATAGATAATCATCATCATCATCATCATCATCATCATCATCATCATCATCATCATCATCATCATCATCATCGTCATCATCATCATCTTTTTAGTCCACTCCAAATTTTATTAATCCGAAACGAAAATTCTTTTTGCCCAATTGATCGTGAGCCCGGCAGCCACTGAGCAGCGCCAGATCGACGTTGCTCTATCCCTTATTGTTGAATGCCAATTACACAGTAGGCTTGCGGGTGCACCATGTGAGAGAGAGAGCATTGAGGAGTCCTGAAAAGGACTCTCGGTAATCTTTCTTGAGGATGTGTAGTCAGAAGTTAGTTTTTGAAGTTAGATTGATTATGCAATAGATACATAAAGAGCGGTCGAACCTTTGTAATAGATTCAATTGTGTGAATTAAAAGAGTATGAGAAACAGAACTGCGGAAAGTTGAAATAAATCAGAAAAATAATTAACAAGTTATGAATTTTTGAAACATGAATCTATATGAAAATCAAACTTGCAATTCAGACAGTGGATTGACTCTCCTGGTTTTAGTACAGGGACCAATTGATTTTCCTCTATAATTGATATCTTGTTATATCAGAACGTACATAAAAATGCACATATGGGACTGTATGTACATGTACGATAATGATCATACCAAGTTTTTTTCTGCTCTTATAAAGGCTATTAAAACATCAATACTGTACATGCAATTTGTTGATCTTCTGAATCGATTTGTTGACAAAATGTCGGTTCCTATCGGCAAAAGCATTCAATGTATTTTATTTAATAAACATAGTAGGAAAGATATATGTTACCTCTTGAATTCTGCCATCTGACAGGACAGCTATGACATCAGCATTCTGAATAGTGCTTAGTCTATGGGCAATTATGAGTACTGTACGACCTGTACAGAAATATGAAAGTGGAGTAATGTTAGAACAAGGTCATGAACAAATGTCTCACACTTCCACACCCATGAAACAAAGTGTCGCCAGTTTCAGAATTCAGTTGTTAATTCCTAAAAGATTGAGAGCTTCTAAAGGAAGTTTGCAATAATTTCACAATTAAAAATCACGAATACCCTAGAAAGAAAAGGAAAATCAAAAAACATGTGGGGCCAACTATTCTTTACTTTAAAAATGAGAGATATTGGAGTAAGAATATATCAATGAATCCATTACCTGGGGGAAGAGAGAACTAGGTAGTCAATGGTTTAAAGCCAGTCAGTACAAGTTTGGCCAGGGGGAGTAGACCTCTCTGCAAGGTAACTGACAGGTGGTTATCTCATCAAATCAGCTCTCAATTAACATAAGAAAAAGAGGATAATGGGGGACCAACAGGCACCGATTAGGCATTGTTTGCTATATAGAGGGCGCAAGTAGCTATAGGTAGTGCAGTGGGCCTTTGATGCATTTAACTCGTGCACAGTTTATTACTTGGATATGGCTATGATTATCCCAACATAGTTAGGACACCAGGGGGGTGTTTCACAAAGATCCTAAGTCAAACTTAACTCTAATTTGGACTTAAATAATATGGAGAGCCATTTGTAGCCTTACAATTAAATATATTCAAAAGCAAAAGCGAATAATCAAGTATTTTAGACTTTTCATAATTTCCACATCAAGAACATGAAATCTCCTAGTTGAAAATAGAAAATATGAATGATTTGAATCAACATTGCATGCCTTTTTAAAATAACTTTAACAAAATGTTACATAATTGTTAAGTCCAACTTAGAGATAAGTTCAACTTAGGATCTTTGTGAAACACCCCCCAGATGTGGAAGTGCATTAGGGTCATAATTCAGTGAAAGACAAAATACATAGTGCGAGAGATACACATTCATCTTAGGTATGGAGGGAGAGAGATATAGAGAGAGAGAAAGGAAGAGAGAGAAAGAGAAAGAAAGAGAGGGAGAGAGATATATATATATATAAGAAAGAGAAAGGGAGGATAGAGAAATATAGAAAGAAAGAAGGAAAAAGAAAGAGGGAGAGAAGGAGAGAGAGAAATATATAAAGAAAGCGGGATGTTGAGGACAGAGAAATATATAAAGAAAGAGAGGGAGAAAGAGAGAGAGATGGAAAAGGGATGACAGAGACAATATAACAAGAAAGTAAGAGGGAGAGAGAAAGAAAGAGAGAGGGAGAGAGAGGGAGAGAGGAAATCTGACCTTTGGACACAGCATTGATAGTGTCTTGCACCAGTCTCTCTGCTTCTGCATCCAGTGCGCTAGTAGCTTCATCTAGAATCAATATGGATGGCCTCTTAATCAAAGCCCTAGCTATTGCTATCCTACAACAGCAAACAAAGCAAAATAACAATTATAATAATACATTTATAGAGAGCAGAAAGTATCCAACATTAAAGGTAAAGTTGAGTTCTGGTCATGCGATTGCATTGTGAAAGAAACGGTGTGGAATGGATCAGAAAATTGTTCATCTAGCATTAAAGTATTGGTGTGTACTGCAAGGTTTTGGAATCATCAAAATGATAAGAAATTTGGCCCAGTCTTGGTAAAGTTACAAGCACTGTACACAGAAAGATGTATATGGGACTACACGAACGTGAGGCATAAAAATCTGCATACTGCCGGGGGGTACAATAATGAAAAAGAGGAAGTTATACTAACCTCTGCTTTTGCCCGCCTGATATTGTAGCTCCTCGCTCACCTAACACTGTATCATATCCACTCGGGAAGTCTTGGATAAAACCATGAGCATTCGCTAACTTGGCTGCTTCCTCAACCTATGAATTCATGTACAAATGTACAGAAAAGTGTCAAAGCAAACACGGGAAAAGATTAGTAACCAAATTAGATCACACTGAATGGTGCTTATACAGTCAAACATGCTTTAGTGACCACATATCTAGAAAGACCACCTGTCTAGAAACAAGCACATTTTTTGTTTCCCTTGAAAATGGTTTCTCATTGAAACATGTTCCAAAGGAACCTGTCTACAAAGACCACTTTTTTGTTTCCCTTGGGCGGTCACTGTAGACAGGTTTGACTGTATCTTTAAATTCCATCATGGCAAGAATGCTATAGATAATTAGATCTCTGTCCTTTTTAGGTGGGGGGGGGGGGTCCACATACAAAACTATTTGTTTTTGTTTTTATTAAGCAATACAAAACAAAATAGCAAAGTTTCAAATTCAACGGTAGAATTGCTGATTAATTTCAGCTGGTTGAAATCCTAACCTGCAGAAGAGGTCTAGTTATTGTTCAGTTTCCCTACTCAGTCTCTCGAACTCCATGCCTCTATCACTCCATTCAGCTCTGTCTCTCTGCTTCCCTCCCTAAATCCCTCCCACTCTTCCTCCGTAACTCCTAACATCCTTCTCTCCTCCCTCCCTCCCCCCCCCTTCTGTCCCACCCACTCCCCCTTCCTCCCTCCCTCTCCTCCCTCCCTCCCCCACGTCCCTCCCTCCCTCCACCCACTCCCCCTCTCTCCCTCCCTCCCACCCACTCCCCCTCCTACCTCCATCACACCCCCCCCCCCCCTCCTCCCTGCCTCTCTCCCTCTCACTCCCCCTCCCTCTCAAAGTTTATTTACCTCTACGTCTGTAGCTTGTGGGTCCCCATATCTGATGTTTTCCCTGATTGAAGTAGCAAACAATGTTGGCTCCTGCATGAGGTACATAAAACAGTAGACAGTTTATTACCAGACCTCTGAACCAACTTTCAATAGGCAACGTTAATTCATTCAGCATTTGAAGAAAACATTTTAGTGATGAGTTAAATAAATAAACCAATAAGTCTTTCTAAAAGCTAAGTAGATTAGCTTTGCCGTCTAAAGTAATTATTAGGCACATGTTGACAAGTTTAACTTGCATTAACTATTCATTTGACAAGTATTGAAACTCTTGACTTCTACAATGTTTGCAATTTATTACACATACATATCATAAGTGTGTCAAAGGTCAAATATGGCAGCCAACAGTATCAAAGCAGATAGTAATTCATATAATAGCCCACCTGGTTGATGTAGCCTATAGTTCTTCCTCGTAACCAGCTAGGGTCAAGTTCAGTGACCTCTATCCCATCAACCTTTATACTTCCTGCAGTGACATCATAGAACCTCTCCATCAGAGCGGTGACCGTTGACTTGCCAGCACCAGATGGTCCACAGATCGCTATTACTTTACCTCTCGGACAACTGAGGCTGAAGTCCTTTAGGACCGTCTGAAATTGAAGAAAAAGCCGTACACAAATAAATGCATATGGGACTGAAGTAACTAGGAGTGAACTCTTCTTGGGGGGACTCACCACTCGGAAACTAGAACACTACCTGTATGTCTGGATTAGTGTTTTGACTTAAAGGAAAATTTGTCTGTCATCTTTAGTTTTAAAAACGTCATTGTTACTATTATTTGTGATTAGTTCACAAGCACAAATCGGCACCTTAAACTGTACCTCGCAGTTAAATGAATTTCTTTCACCACATGGTTTTCTAACACGGACCTGGCTTGCTGCGGACAGAGTCGGCAACAAAATGAAAAATTCTTGGCCCCCAAAATAGGGGTGCGTCTTATACACAGAGATTTACGGTACATATATTGACCTACCTGTTGAGGTCTTGAAGGGTAGCTGAAGGTCACACCATCAAACTCTACATTAGCATAGAGACTGTGGTATAGGATACACTTGCCTCCAGTCAGGGGGATACTTGGCTCCATCTTGATGTACTGAAAACAAGAGAGAGAGACGAGAGCACAACTGGGATGAAAGTCAAGGAGATTACAGTCAAACCTGCTTTAGTGACCACCTGTCTAAAACAAGCACATTTTTTGTTTCCCTTGGGCGGTCGCTGTAGACAGGTTTAACTGTATATTAAAGGGTTGTGCAAATCTCAATATTTCACAGTTATTAATGATACAAAAAGAATGTCTTGTTATCCTGCGCTATACACTAAATTGTGTGCACTGATGACAAGTTTTGTGAAATGGGGCCCAGGAAAGGAGCTCAAAAGGTACATCACAGAATTTCAAAATTGAATTTGCTCGATTATAACATTATAAATTACCAAGTTTCCCTAAAATTGTATGTTTTTCTCTCAATATTTTGTCTGGTTTTGATAATTAAACCAACATCATTTCAGGATGGACTTTGCAATTGAAAATTAGCAGCTACTTTACACCCTGGTAAGGCTTTCAACAACCTACCTCCATTACTCGACCAGCAGCACTGACCCCTCTGACCGCTTGACCAAATAGAATTGAAATGGCTGCTAGTGATCGCTGGACATTCTGTGATGCGACCAGAAAGGACATGAGTTGACCGGCTTGGACCTCGTTGGATGCCAAAAGATAGCCTCCATAGTAGACTACACTCAATACAAGACCTAAAACACGCAAAAGGGACAAGAAAAAAACTGTCATTTGTCACCGATGACAAGTTTTGTAAAATGGGACCCTGGTCATGCTTTGCAATGTGACCAGAAACTTTGTGAAAGCCTGTCAGTGACCTTGCAGGGAGGTCTTATCCCTCCATGCCAAACTAGTGCAGAGGAGCTTTTAATGATTAGTTACAATCAAATCACTCTTAAAGGTAAAGACCAGTTTTGGAAACGCCCCAATTTCAAAAAATGAAATGGAAGCTCTCATTACCAATCATGTGAAAGAATATGTTTTGACTAATACATGATGATAAAAAATTTGCCGGGAAACCGCCTACTAATTCATATATTTGGTAAATTTGTTTCTCTCATGGTCTGTGAGAGATATAGGGTAGTCCCATATACATCTTTCTGTGTATAGTGCTTGTAACTTTACGAAGAATGGGCCAAATTTCCTATCATTTTGATGATTCCAGAACCTTGCAGATGCTAGATGCTAGATGATCAACCTTTTCTGATCGATTCCATAACGTTTCTTTCACAATGCAATCGCATGACCATAACTGGTCTTTACCTTTAATTGAGCATTGGAAATGGACTAAATCATTTCTGTGACTTGGCTCTTTCTGATCATGTATAATGAGTAGTTCCTAACATTCTAGCTCAAAAGATAATACATAAATGTGAGTTAATTCTTTATAATATGTTCTTGATATTCTTGTTCGCTTTCTTTTCTACTGCCCTCATATATAGGTCTACATGTTGATATAGATTTTTGCTGCTGCTGCAAGAAGTGTACTTCTCTTTTTTTCCTTATTTATATTAATGTTCGATGGTGATTTTTTTTCTTTTTAAGTATTGTTGTTGTTGTTGTCTTTTCTTCAATTTGGTGGCCCCTTTTATAAGCCCTGCTTTCTCCGGTGTCACCAAACCATCATTGTATTCTTCTAAATTCTTGATGTAACTTATTTTGATTGTATATATATTTTGATGGTTGAACAAATAAATGACTTGAATTGAAAGTAAATGAGACACTGTACACCGCTTTGAGTTACATACTAACCATTAAGAGCTAGGTTGGTAAGCCCTTGAAACAATCCAATTCCAAAACCAAGTCTAGACTGAAGACCACTTGCCCTGTCCAACTCCTGACTGAAGAGGGCAGCCTCCTGCTCCTCCATTGCAAAAGCCCGGACAGTTCTCATGTTAGCCAGGGCTTCGTCTGCCACAGACATTGCCCTCGACGTCTAGAGCGTGACGGGTCAACAACAAGAAAAGAAGGCAATAGGCGGTGTCAGACAGAGGCCAAAAATCTGGATTTTAGTTATCCGGTTTTAAGTTATCCTCTTAATTGGCTGTCTGTCATCAATTATCCCTTAAAAAGATCCCTTAAATCCCCTACAAGGCCGGTGTAAGGTCAACGTTTGACTTAATGATTGGCTGGCATATGGTTTTTAACACGCTATCATAACCTGCGCACAATTATATTAGCGCGCATTTAATGAGACACGTTAATTGCGCATTACTTTTGATTGAACGTGTGATGTCACAATGGTTATCTACCTAAACGGCACATGCGCAATGGCCCATCTAAAATCTGGATTTTAGTTATCCAGATACTTTGTAATCTGTCTGTCACCAGTCTGTCACTGACGTAAATGAAAAAAACTAGATTTCTCAAATCTGGTTTATTCAAGATGGGTCAGGATTTTTCTGTGTGACACCGCGTAATGAGTACACTTCAATATTGTAATTCAAGAAATGAATTGATACGCAGTGAAAATAATTCAAATTCATGCACCAACCTTGTTTTAAAAAAAGAGAGGTGATAGGAAAAGGAGGGAAAAGAGGAGGAATTAAATGTAGAAGAAGAAGAAGAACCCTGATTCTTGTGGAAATATCACCAAACTGTTCGCTTTTAAAAACATGCAGTTTTGGGAAAATGCAAAAACCACTATTCATAACAATTGCAGACATATTAACATTTGAGTACAAAATATGCCCTTCTTACCATCAGCGTCAATTATCCTTTATTTTATGATGGCACTACTTTTGCGCACGTTATTCAAAAGCACATGAAAACAATCGTTGAGCTTTAATTTTGTGTTTCCTTCAGGCCATGTTTGTTAATGTTCATGAATGACCCTTAGAACGTTATTCACAGTTTTAAACAAATCTGGCACCAACAGATTTTGACATGCCATTTTCAAAACAATGTTGATCAGTTAAGTGTGTATGTATTAATGTAAAATGATCCGTTTAAAAGCATATTTCTTCTACTTTATGAAAAACAAGGAGTCAGTATACACTCATAGTTTGATTACGACACCCCCACTACCGATGCTCTAAAACAATAAGGGCCATTTTTTGCTCTGATATGTGGTGAAATATAGACTGGTTACCTGTTCTTGGGCATCCCTGGCTAGCTTCCTCAATACAGCACCAATGGCAGCACCAGCTAGCACTATGATTGGTAAAGTGATCACCAGTACACCAGTCAGCTTGGGTGAGAGTCCATACATACACACCACTGAACCAGCTATCTGTTACCAAAAGGATTGAGGTACATTATTGGCAAATTGTACTGGCAAATAATGACGTGTCCAGAGTGCAAAAAGGCCAAAGGTGAATTAAAAGATGAATCTGACACATCTCAATGAAATTTGTTGGCAAGACCATTAATGGTGTTCAAGTCTGCACATAGCAAGCCTGTAGGCCAATCAAGAAGGATGCCTTGTCTCTCGAAGAGTCTTTGGGTGATGTAAATGTCAGATAATGACTGTACCATATGGGGAAAGGCAGAGCAAGCCTGTTGGTCATAAAACTGAATAATCCTGGTGATTGACAACACCTGGTATAGGGTAAACACCTGAAATAACGGTGTCGAATTCCCCATGAGAACTAAACAAGCAGGCTCTCATACCCACAGACAACCCTAAAACATAATGCCTCCGGCTACTGGAAACCACTGCATGCTATATCCTGGAAAATTCTGGTATAGTCTCAGTAAATAAATCACACTTGACAATGTTTGACTAATCATTTGATCAGTATCTAGGCTTGAGTTGTATAATTTTAATTGTGAACTCACTTGTGTTGTTCCTCTTAGGCCCTGAGAGATGCATAACTTGAAGGAACTCTTGAAATCCTGAACATCAGCCGATAATCTATCAGAAACAACAAAAAATCAAAAAGGTTAAATAGACATCATTGTTCTAGAAACTCCTGACGACGGATGGTCAACCTGTTCGAAACATCGAGCCACTCATCCTCTCCAAGCGCTATAGTTCTCCTTAGAACTATATGCTAAGAAAGACAACAACAGTCCTTTTCAGGAATACACACCCCCAAGAAAGATTACCGAGTTAGAGTCCTTTTCAGGACTCCTCAACCCTCTCTCACTCTCACATGGTGCACCCGCAAACCTACTGTATATCATTGTTCTAGCTATACAAATCCATTTCATTTTCCTTTCTTTTGTGCCTTTTTTTTTGGCGGGGGGGGGGGGGGCTGAGGGGGTTAAATTGTAATGATTTCTATAAACAGTAGCCACTTCAGCTATCAACAGATACATGAAATTGTATCTCATCAAATGGGAGTTAACGAAGATGATGCCCAGAATTATAAGTTTTAGTGCGTTTGTTTATATTTCACTGGTTCAAACAACCAATCAAAGCAATTTTCTCTCAAAATAGGATTCCCATACCAGGGGGGTGTTTCACAAAGATTCTAAGTTGAACTTATCTCGTAGGCGTGATAGCTCAGTTGGTAGAGCAGTGGTCTCGTAACCAGGAGGTCCCGGGTTCGGAACCAAGGCGATGCGCTAGTGCCCTTTGGTAAGGCATTAAACCTCATTACCAGGTCCCTCGGAGAGGACCTAAAGCCATCGCCGTCTGGTTGGTTACTTACAAGAATTTGTGCTTTCTTAGCAGTCAGGTAAAATAACCACCACCACCACCACCAAGTTGGACTTAACAATTATGGAAAGCGTTAGCATCTATGAAAGTATTTTGTAAAAGTTATTTTAAAAGGCATAAAATGTTAATTCAAATCATTCATGATTTCTATTATCAAGGAGATTTCATGTTCTTGATGAGGAATTTATAAAAAGTATAAAATACTTGAATTTTCGCTTTTGAATATATTTTATTTCAAGACTACAAATAGCTCTCCATAATTTTTAATTCCAACTTAGGATCTTTAGGAGTTAAGTTCAACTTAGGATCTTTGTGAAACACCCCCCTGAGCTCAAGATTGGCTTTAAAGTACATTGTACATTTACCTGTTAACCAGTTCCCCTGTATGGTGTATATCAAAGAAGGCTATATCTTGTTTGAGTAGAGAGGTAAAGAGAGCCGTCCTGAGCCTGGTAGCAAGTTGCTCCCCAACGGAAGATAGAATGGCAATGTAGCCACATGTACACACCGCCTGCAACATAAATAATAATAATAATAATAATAGTAGGTCCTTGTATAGCACTCATACTTGACACTCCTGGCACTCCCGATTATTACCCTGGCTCTAGCACGGCCGCCATTATGGCGCTGTAGCATATCGAGGAATTAATTCCTGCCAGGTACCCATTGACACACATGGGTTGAGTTTGGCAAATGTAGATCAATGTCTTGGCAAAGGACATTTGTGCCCCGGCGGGACTTGAACCACAGACCTTGTGATCGACAGTCCGGTGACATATCCACTCGACCACAACACAGAGATAATAATTATCATTATGGTACATACTTGTACAACGCACACAGAGAGAGAGAGAGAGAGAGAGAAAGAGAGGGGGCGTATAATATGAATAAACACACTCAAAATCAATGTACAGTATAGAATATAGAAAAATTGCAAAACCTTAATTCAGTATACTAATCAAAATTCCTGTGGTTTATTTTTGTAAACTTATGACGATTGCTTTAGTCTTTATTTTGTCAACAGTATAGGGTTAGGGTAAGGGATGTAAATGGGTTTTAGGATAGGTTTAGGATTAGGATTAGGGTTAGATATACTAATGTTTAGTCCGGGGTTGAAGTTAGGAGTTTAGTCAGAGTACAGAATTCCTGCCAATCAGTCGTGGCAAAAGCATCAGCACTTCCAATACAAAAGTAAAAACTGCCAATCTTGTGCAACCAAAACTAGATGGAATTTTGACTGCGCGCAGTCGAAAATGATGCCTCCGTCATAGAGCAATTTTACAAACCAAAACAGAAGAAATTGTTCAAATTCAAGTTCGATTGTAATCCATTAACAGGTTCTCAGAATATTGTGATTACAAGCAATTTCTCATATACATATATGACTCTTTGATCTTTGACCTCATGACCCTAAAATCTACTCGGTTCATTGGCTCTGCCAGATGTCCCGAGTTAAATAGTAATCCATCTGTCAGTTCTAATGAGAATGCGTTCACAAGCTATTTTTGCATACATAATGAGCCTATGACCTTTGACCTTTGACCTCATGACCCAAGAATCTACTTAGTTCATTGGCTCTGCAAGATACATTCATGATCTAAGTTTGGCAGGAATCCATCAATCTGTTCTTGAGATAACGTGATCACAAGCTGTTTTTGCATACATAATGAGCCCTGTGACCTTTGACCTTTGACCTCGTGACCCCAAAATCTTGTCAGTTCATTGGCTCTGCAAGATACATACATGACCAAAGTTTGGCAGGAATCCATCAATCGGTTCTTCAGATAACGCGATCACAAACTGTTTTTGCATACATAATGAGCCCTGTGACCTTTGACCTTTGACCTCATGACCCCAAAATCTTGTCAGTTCATCGGCTCTGCAAGATACATACATGACCAAAGTTTGGCAGGAATCCATCAATCGGTTCTTCAGATAACGCGATTTGAAGTGTTCTATTGAAGCAGTGATTTTTAGGACATTTGGTTGACATGCTGTGTGAACAACAACAACAGCAAAAACAACAGCAAAAAAACAACAACAAAATATATATATATATATATATATTTTATGGAGAAAAAACGTACTACCATATTTTGGAGGACAAAAGGTAATAATTCTGGTAAAAACGTAATGGTTGGCAGCTCTGAAAAAGGTTAATGTAACTTTTCTTGCAAACCTGGATGCCATAGGCCGATATGAGTCGGAGGGCTGGTCTTGTAACAGCATCGAGGTAGTTCCCAGCATGCTCTCTGACTGTGAACTCTGACACGACCTGTACAAGGTCACCCAGTAGGAGGGGGATTTGAACATTGATGAAGGCTGCTAGCATGGCACTCTGTCATGTACATGCAGACAAAAAAGAAAGTTTTAAGAGATAAAAATGAATTGCAAAATGTGAAATTATTTTTAAGGTCGACAAAATCTCCCAACCTCTTTCTCTTCTCTCCCTCTGTCTCTGTGTCCCCCCCCCCCTTACCTCTCTCCCTCTCTCTCTCTCTCTCTCTCTCTGTATCTTTCTTTTTCTTACACAATCTTACTCTTAGCATCCATTTCCCTTGAAAATATTTCCCTCTCTCTCTCTCTCTCCCTCTCCCTCCTCTCTCTCTCTCTCTCTCTCTCTCTCCCTCCCTCCCTCTCTCTCATCGATCCTCACAAACTTACCGCGACGGCTGCTAGGAGATACCAAACATCCTCCCTCAAGAATCTCAGCACCTCCCAGAAATGCTCCCCATTATTGGTCTCCAGATCGGATCCCTTCTTCACCTCCAGGAGCCTTGTGGCTCCGTTCGCTTTCACTTTGCATTCTGCCCTGTTCATCTTAGACCATCCCGTATGAAGAGCTACACCAGCACCAACACCAAAGGCTAATGTCTGTGAAGGCTTCCATAATCCTGAAAATGTAAAAACAAATTTGCCAGATTATAACCTACTACAGTCAAACCTGTCTATAGCGACCATCAAATGTGGCCTTTGTAGACAGGCTCCTTTAGTACATTTTAGGTTTTTTTTATTTAGGTGTTATTTCCACATTAACTGCATATGAAAAGAATTTACAAAGTAAAGCATATACATGTACAAGGTAACAATACATGTACCGGTACATAATATTCAATTGATACAACAGTAATAGCAATTTCCAAACTTGATTTGAAAACAGAAGACTAGAAGTAAAGGATTTACTCTCATCAAAATTTTGAGTTAATTTCCAGTTCCCAAAGTCCTATAAGACAATGCTAGATTATCTTACAAATGAAAAAAAAGAAAACCAGAGTAACAGAACTTTCAAGCATTTCTTCAATGAGAAACCATTTTCAAGGGAAACAACAAATGTGGCCTTCATAGACAGGTGGTCAATAAACCAGGTTTGACTGTCTTTGAAATGCTCCTGCATAGTTATTCCTTTTAGAATTCCCTAATATATTTTGTGTGCATAATGCTTACAGTGTAGTTTACATTTGCCCCGGTTGTAATGTATGTTTATTTGTTTGAACTCTGCGAAGCACTGTAAAACTGCTTCATATGTGTAAGAGCCCTATATAAATGAATTTGTTATTATTGTAATATTACATGAGACTCGCTGATTCAGTCAAACTAGCAAAAACAAGACAATGTCTGAATAAAAAGTTCTTTACATGTATAATGAATGAAAAGCAAAATACACTGGCACCAAAAGGCATGTCTGGAACACAAAAAATATAATAGTTTGTAAATAAAAAGTTCTTTACATGTGTATGAATGAAACTTTTATAGCGTACATTATTAAGACTTACTTGAGTAATCTTCTACCAGCTCCATATACTAAAAATGAAGTTTTTTAAATAAAATAATGATTTTAAACGAATGTGCAGTCTGAATTTCAGACACATCTTTTCATGCCACTTAATTTAGCTAGTATATATAGCTACCTAAAGGGTAATGTCTCTGATAGCACAGATGGGAACTTTGCTTAAAAGTTGGAAAGTTGCCAATTTTGATTGAAAATTTTGTCCCACTTTTTGCCAATTTAAAGATTTGAAAGCTAACATACTTTACTTTTTAAATTATTGCTGTCAAAATGCAATGTGGTTAACTGGTCATAAAGCTGTGCATAACCGTGTAATGAGGCGAATACTCAAATACTCGGACGCCATGTTGTTTTTTTGTTGAATTTTTTGTTTGCCACCACCATAGTGATCATGCAACAAAAATGGACAAAAAGTGTGTTTCTAATATGGCTCTGAATCAAAGGTCACTGAGCCAAACCACAAATTGAATTGAATTTATAGTGACGGGGCGGTTATTAGACAACAGGGCCTACTATTTAACTACGGAATACTTCTTAGGATTAACTACTAATAATACTATAATAATGCCTAGATCCTACCATAAGCTGTAGAACTAACTGGTACGTCGAAGTCTCGATAAAGCACCGATGTGTGGAGCTCCACTAGACGCTACGTAGACTTGAGATCAGGGGAACACAGCAGACGGCTAGTTGTAGCGCAGTTGCAGTTCCAAGTTCAATCTGCCATACCCAGTGATGAGTATGATCGCGGAAACTACCGCGGGTGTCGCCAAATGCGGGACTTGCGCGCATATGGGTTTATACCCGCCAGAGCCATATTGGCTCAGGCTGAATCACTACAAATTGAATAGATAAGTTACTCTAAAGTAGTTATACCTTTTGCTCTACTCTGGTTCTTGAAGACAGACCCTTGGACATGGTTGCGGACCCTCTGAATAGATTCTCTAAGAAGCTGATGAACGGTGGGCGGGGTAGATCGAGGAGGCGGCGCCCTGACAACGTGGTGAAGAGATCTAAACCCCAACCTTTGCATAATTTAAGCAAGAAAAAAAAAAGTGTCACCCAAATATAATCGGCGCTAGTGTAGTTGCGTATCCATTTTTTTAGCAGCTTAATATCCATTCTTGGCAAAGGAGTTTTAGCCCAATTTTTTACTCATTTTAATCATAATCATATATTGCATTTTCCACCTCAAATTGGATCACATCCGACATCGGTAAGCCTCCGTTTAGGTCTTCGATGTCGACGTCATCGCTCAGTACCGTCTCTACGCTATAGCTCCACACCTCAAACTGAAGCTATCAGTCCAAAATTATGCAAACTTCTCGTATGGTTTATGGTATCGAGCATGCTAAAAAAATGGATACGGAACTACACTAGCGCCATATAATCATAGGGTCTAGATCTATCATCTAGATCTATTCTACAATGTAGAGTCTATGTGATGTATCGACCCTACCATCTCACCAACTAATTCATACCAAGTTTGGTGGCACTTCCTAAAGCAGCCAAACAAGACTGCATAGATCTATTCAATTCAAGCAAGAAACTCTAGACTAATCTCCAGGCATCCCCATTCAAGTTCTAAATCTCGAGTCCTACTTAGAATAGATCTAGGCCTAGACCTAGGTCTAGATCTAGAGTCTAGTTTTTTTTCTCTCTCTCTTCTTCTTCTCCTCGCATAATAAAGGTAGACCTAACTCTAGACCAAAAGCTTTAGCCTCTTTATATCGTCGGTTGCTCCACTAGACCTCCGATTATAGTGTATGGGGAATGTCAACAAATGTCAGTTTTATAAAGAAATGACCCATACCAGACGGTTATTTCTGTCTAACCTAACTCCAGGGAACTCCGACGCCGACGCTTCGGGGTCGGAGCTCCCTAGAGTTAAGGTAGACCTAGATAGATCTACATCACTCACATGGGCACTTTCTTGGCATTCTGTCCAATGGTTAGTGGAGACTTCTGTTTACACTTTGTGCCAGCTGACATCCATTGCCATCCTTTCTCTATTTTACTCCTTACAAGAATTGACCCCTGGAATTTCCCGGCAAAAAGCATCGTATTTTTCACCAATTCCGTTTCCCAGGCTTCTCACTCCAGCAAAGCATTAAATGCGTGGCTCTAGCGCGCTAGTATAGTGCATGCACTGCACTGCACTATGGGGGGCCAAGTGTTACCCTAGTTTTTCGATATAAAATCACGTCATTTTGCTACAAAATATGTACCGAATTCAGGCGCGTAGCCAGGGGGGGGGCGGTGGGGGCGGTCGCCCCCCCCCCCCAAAAAAAAAAAACGCCGGCCAAAAAAAAAAAAGAGAGAGAAAGAGAAGAAAAAAGGAAGAGGACGTAGGAAGAAAAGGGGAAAAGGAGTCGAGAACGGCCCATACACTATGAACATGACTGACAATGAGAGCGGACAAAATATACAGTTCCTCAGGTAGACAAAGGAACATCCCTTCACTGCTATTATATAAAAATGTGTAGAACAGGTGTCACATGCATATTCACCTTTTTACATAATAGCTGTGAAGGGATGTTCCTTTGTCTACCTGAGGAACTGTATATTTTGTCCGCTCTCATTGTCAGTCATGTTCATAGTGATAGGAAAGTGAAAAGTATGCCGCAGACCTGCCGCAGATCTGCCGCAGACCTGCCGCAGACTTTTAGTCTGCGGCAAAGAGTATGCCGAAGTATGCGGCAGAAAGAAATTTTGCTGCAGACTTGCCGCATACCAGTATGCCACAGGAACAGTCTGCGGCAGATCTGCGGCAGGATGAAATTTTGCTGCAGACTTGCCGCATACTAGTATGCCACAGGAACAGTCTGCAGCAGATCTGCGGCAGGATGAAACTTTGCTCCAGACTTGCCGCATACTAGTATGCCACAGGAACAGTCTGCGGCAGATCTGCGGCAGGTTGAAATTTTGCTGCAGACTTGCCGCATACTAGTATGCCACAGGAACAGTCTGCGGCAGATCTGCGGCAGGATGAAATTTTGCTGCAGACTTGCCGCATACTAGTATGCCACAGGAACAGTCTGCGGCAGATCTGCGGCAGGATGAAACTTTGCTCCAGACTTGCCGCATACTAGTATGCCACAGGAACAGTCTGCGGCAGATCTGCGGCAGGGCGAAACTTTGCTCCAGACTTGCCGCATACCAGTACGCCACAGGAACAGTCTGCGGCAGGTCTGCCACAGGAAATCCCATTAAAGTCTAATAGGGCCAATTGAAACCAATCATCTCATGCATATTCATTATTACTTTACACGTGTGACAGAAAAATACATTTATCATGATTTGTTAAGCAAATTAAGACAATGCACATCATTTTTGTGATTTCTATTTTCCTTTTGCCATTATTTACCAATAGATTATTTTGTCTGATCATGTTACAATTACATTCACGTTTAAGCAATAGATATATTGATTACTAACCAAGAAACTATGATTACTAACCAAGAAACAATATACATATTTAGTATATATATGTGTACGAGCCTGTGTCACTTTAAATGTTACTCTTAAATACACTTCAAATGATCAATGTGATGAAGTTACTACAATTGAGAATAGAATATACCTAATTGGTAATATCGACATACATATTGGTATTACCTAATTGGTAATATCGATATTGCCAATATCGATTATGAAGTATCAATCAGTTTATCACTGGTTCTTCTACATGCATACTTTATTGCCACGTACTGGATATGAAAGAGTATGCGGCAGGTCTGCAGCAGGTCTATATGAGATATGAATATTCGTGACGAAGAGTCTGCGGCAGGTCTGCAGCAAGTCTGCGGCAGACCTGCCGCAGACTCTTCATCATACTGAAAGAGTATGCGGCAAGTCTGCAGCAAGTCTGCGGCAGACCTGCCGCAGACTCTTCATCATACTGAAAGAGTATGCAGCAAGTCTGCCGCAAGTCTGCGGCAGACCTGCCGCAGACTCTTCATCATACTGAAAGAGTATGCGGCAGGTCTGCAACAAGTCTGCGGCAGACCTGCCGCAGACTCTTCATCATACTGAAAGAGTATGCGGCAGGTCTGCGGCAAGTCTGCGGCAAAACTAATTTGCATGTGAAAAAGATGACTGTCTGCGGCAGGTCTGCTGCAGATCTGCGGCAAGTCTGCCGCAGGAGTATGCGGCAGGCTCATTTCTTTCCTATGGGGGTACAACGAATCGTCTTCTTTCTCTAATAATTTATTGAAACGTCAAAGCTTCCGCGCTTCGCGCGTATGGGGAAAAATTGAGTTCAAACTAAGGATTGAGAGTCGAGAACGGAACAACGAATCGTTTTCTTTTTCTAATAATTTAATGAAACGTCAAAGCTTCCGCGCTTCGAAACACCCCCTCTTAGAACTGAATACAGATAAGATTTAAGGGTAGGGAAAGGCACAATTAACGAATCGTCTTCTTTGTCTAATACGTCAAAGCTTCCGCGCTTAGCGCAGGAGAAGGGGAGGGGGAACTGAATTCAGACAATGATTAAGAGTCGAGAACGGTACTTCGAGTCGTCTTCTTTCTCTAATAAATTAATGAAACGTCAAAACTTCCGCGCAAGCGCGTGAGGGGGACTGAATACAGATAAGGATTAAGGGTCGAGAAATGAATCATCTTCTTTGTCTAATAATACGTCAAAGCTTCCGCGCTATGCGCAGGAGGGGCGGACTGAATTCAGACAAGGATTATGAGCCGAGAAAGGTACAAGAATCGTCTTCTTTCAAAGCTTCTCTTTTCCCCCTAGGGAGCGCGCTACGCGCGCTCTTTAAGTGATTCGCACGCTTCGCGTGCTTACTACCGCCCCCCCTAAAATAAAATCCTGGCTACGCGCTTGACCGAATTACCGGTAATATATTTACAAAATGATTTGTACCGAATTTATTTATTTACAAAATGATTTGTACCGAATTTATTTTGTTACAAAATGAACTAAAAACAATTATTTTGTAACAAAATGTAGTGAGTAAATCTACATATTTATTTTTGGTCCTCGAAAATTTGCACCCCGCCCCCTTGAGCGCCAGGGGGGAGGCGTCCCCCCAAAAGCTAAAAATCACGTGTTTTTATATCCCCCCCCCCCCCCCCTCTATCCGCCACCGCTCCTACCCCCTCCAAAAGTAGGGATCTTTTGCAGTTTGAGAACCACATTTGGCGCTTCATAATGTCCACCAGCACTTCCTGGAGAAAAAAACGAGGCCTTCTGATTGGTTAGAAGTTAGAGAAAAGTGATATGTCACGTCGAGAGACGTTGTGCACAAGGACAGTGGTCTGGTACAGTAGGCCTACTTGCGAAAATTATCCCGAGTGTTAACTGTGTTGTTATCACTTATCAGGGGCGTCGCTAGACCTTTTTCAGTGGGGGGGGGGGGGGGGGGGGGGGGGGGGGGGGGGGGGGGGGGGGGGGGGGGTAGAGTCCACCAATTACCGACAAAACTAGCCACCAATTACCGGAAAATATATTAATGCCAATGTCCCAATCATCTACAAATTTAATCCTATAATCCAGGGGCTAGGATCGATTTTCCGCCTTTTCTCTCATCTCTCTTCCCCTTTCTTCCTTTTCTCTCCTCCCTAGCTCTTTTCTTCTTCTTTCTCTCTTCCCTCCCTCTTTTTTTTTTATTACCCCCCCCCCCCCCCCCCCCCCCTGAATCCGCCCCCGATATTGTTCGGCAATTCATCTAAATATAGCATGTATAATGCGTAAATAGATTTTGACTACCGGTAGGTAAAATAAACAAAGTTTGCTGGTAAATGTACATGATCGCACAAGTGTATACGTTTCGTTTGATTACCGGTATTTTTCTTTTCCGTTTCATATTCTCCTTATTGTTGCTACTTCTCTCACAATCCCTCTCTCCCTCCCTCGATCCTCTCCATATATCACTGACTTCCCTCCCCATCTCTCTCTCTCTCTCTCTCCCACTTTCTACACCCCTTCCTACCCCCTCTCTCTCTATATGTCTCTCCCATCATTTTAGTACAGTTTGCTACTTTCTTCAAAGATTCTATTTTACCGGTGTGGTATTGTTTTTTTGTCCATATATGAATATTGTACCATGGTGTTCATAACCCATTTTTATGATTTCTTTTACATGAAATGAAAATGTTGATTATTGATACACATTGTTATTGTGTTCAAAGACTGCAATGATTGTATACTATATGAAAAATAATAACAGATATCATCCAATACCTATAAAACCGTATCTGGACACCTACCTCCTGGACATCCAGCCCTGGATAACCACCCCAATCAACTACCACTATGACAACGACCCCCAAGAAAAACTACCTCCTAGGGCAACCAACCTAGAAGGAAAACCTCTAGGACTACCCCGCGGGACAACTGCCCCTGGATAACTACCCCATAGGATAGTTTTCAGGGGGTAGTTGTCCTAGAGGATGGTTGTCGTAGGGGGTAGTTGTCTGGGGGTAGTAGTCCTAGGGGGTAGTTGTCCTAGGGGGTAGTTGTCTGGGGGTAGTTGTCTGAAGGATAGTTGTCCAAGGTATAGTTGTCCAGGGGGTAGTTGTCCTACGGGGTTGTTGACTGGGGGTGGTTACCTGGGGGGGGGGGGGGATGTCCAGGGGGTAGGTGTCCTAGAACCCTATAAAACATTAAACATGCTTTACTTTTCATCCTTTTAATTACACAGTGTCCCACAGAGCAACAACTAGAAACAATAAACAGAGACATGAGATCGAAAAGGACTTGGCTGTTTATTGACTGTTTATGATATGAATTATCATTAAACTGTCATTTAATATGAATGGCATACACATACTAGTTGAGCCCAGATGGTTGTTCAAAACAAGAAAATAAAAACATTCACAAAGGCAAAAAGAAGAAAAAATGTGCATATTATATTCCTACTTTTGATACATACTTTGTTCTCTAAATAGTTCACACAATGTATATGTCAAGTACCTCATTATTTATTGCTTCTTTCTACATACTCACACAACTTTTGCAACATATTAATGTTTTTGATCTGTAAATAAGCGATTGGCAGTCGGATCAGGTTTCACAGATTATTAAAGACGGTTCTATATTGTCAAAATATTAGTTTATCAAAATGCATATTGAAACATGATAGAAAACATATAGCATAAATATGTATATCAAGTTCTGAACATGCTAACCTCTCTAATCGTCTACGTATTCATGCTATCAAACGAGTTTGCTGCTTTATTGTTGAATGGATTTTCAAAAAGAAAGAAAATCTTAAACTGAGTATAAGCATGTGCAAGAGAGTAAATGGATATCATCAATTCTATGAAATAAAAAAAATCACTTTATGAAGCTAAATAAATAGGTACTCCATACTATAATCTATCATTAAATAATTTGCACATATACATGCATTCTTAATTACAATATTACCACGACACAGAAAATAATCTTTAGAGAGAAAACTACCAAATATGAAAACTATCCATGATAATTCCCCAAAATTTGTTGCAATTAATATATAGAAAAGCAGTGTATACATCATAGAAATATTTCTTTGACCCAAGTTGCCACACCGTTACTAATAAGAAAATAGATATTCTGAGCACTTACCTAGTAGAGATATAAAAGAAAATGATGTATTATAAAGACTTGGCAAGTTAGTCATACAAAAACTACTAATGTAAGAAACAAAATGGTTTATAATCTCAAAGTAACAGATAATCTGAAACATTGCAGCTTATGCCATGACAAAAGCATTACCTCCAACAAGTGTTGCCGTCAAAATGGCACATGTTTTCTTGAAATACGTTTAAAGGTTTTTCTTGATAAACATAATCAAATGAGTTGAAGTTACTATTTTATAAAAATGGCTACATTTCTGAATGAGCTAGACAGCTATGTAGTTATTTATCTAAAAGAATCATACTAAAACTCCTGATTCATATGAAATGAAAAGTAAGATTTTATACAACACCAAATTCTTCCCAACTTTTGCAATTATGCAACAGAGCAAGAGATAAAATAACACGCAACTTTCAAAACATACACAATATATTAAGAATTCCTCTTTAATAAGAGGAACAAAATTCTACTTCTATACAAGGAAGACTCTGACACCCTTTTGAAACTTGATTCTGATTAATAATAAACCTTATTGCGCCATCAACCTAGGCAATAGATACATAAAATAGACAATTACCACCCCCCCCCCCCAAAAAAAAAAAAAAAAAAAAAAAAAAAAATCAGCAACAACAACATAAACAAAACAGCAAATATATACAAAAACATACAAACATAAGAGTGCACTTATTTTCACTAGCAAACTGACATACATGTTAATACAAATATATAAAAGTTAATGTCACTGATATACATGAATATGCCAATAGCTTTTGTTCCCAACAGATCCATAAAAAACTGTCTTTGTATAATTCTGCCCATATCAAGAGTTACAAAGAGTGGGCAAAAAGTACATTTCCTTGCAGTTTCTCAGAAATAAACAAGTTCTCCTAAAATCGACCATTAATTGCTGCAAATAAGAAATCTTTAAAAAACAAGAAACATACATGTATAAGAAATGCATAGTCATGACCCATGAGCAAATCAAATGATGACATTAAACAAAATAATTAAAACTAGTGCCACAATCCAAAATTTATATCAGATGCGCTCTCAGGCAAATACATAGATATTCATTACAATATCAAATACTGCCAACTGTTTGTGATTACAAAAAATTGTGAAACAGTGACTTGTTAAACAGTATCTGTTTGTGACATCTCTACCGTATGTCCTTTTCATGCATTTTTTTCCTACAGAACACAGGGAAATTTACAGTGAAACCTAAAAAATATTGTTTTTCATCATTTAATATTTAAAGGTATTATAACTATGTCAAACAAAAGGCATAAGCACCATGTTCAGTATATACAGTGCCAACACTCGAATGAGTATGACTACTCTGTGGTGGTAGCTCTCAGTGATTTTAAAATGCAATGACAGAACATTACGAGGACCATGTAATACAGCCTGACTAACATAACTGTGGACAGCATTTACCTTGAGACAAGTCAGTATTCTAAATTGATAATTCCACATTTTGGCGTCACAATGGTACTTGTTGATCAGGCATGTCGCTGTCCGATTACATGTATTATTTTCAGAGCTAATACATTGCATGGTTTAGTGTGAGAAAAACTTTAGGCGCATCAAAATATAACAAATCAAATAAAACACGTCCATATCGATGACACTGCTTGTGTACCTTTACTAATCAAGGTTTATCATGTTTATATGCTCAGACAAACCACATACGTCTACAGCCTGGAGACAAATCTGCTTTTATGAACACTGTTACAACCATGTACACCATAACTTTTTGCTATCAGATTTATTTTTCAGATGAATAGTCAGTGAACGTTGAAAATCAAACAGTGAATAAATCTGAGATATTAATGGTTTTACTACAACTTTAAAGGAGACATCAACATGATGGAGCTCCCTACATGAGGATGAAGCCTAAAAGGCATGAAACAGAGAAATTAACTGGGTCTAATATGAGGCAAAGCCTAACCTGGCATCCCTGACATAGATTGATTAGCATTCCTATATCCTTCAGTTATGGTAGACGCAAGGAGGTCGAACCTGGGGGTGTTTCACAAAGATCCCAAGTTGAGCTTATCTTTAAGTTGTACTTGACAATTATGGAAAGCTGTTAGCATCTATGAAAATATTTAGTAAAAGTTATTATTAAAGGGGTAAAATGTTGATTCAAATCGTTCATATTTTCTATTATCTAGGAGATTTCATGTTCTTGATGTGGAATTTATAAAAATTAAAAAATACTTGTATTTTCGCTTTTGAATATATTTTATTTTAAGGCTACAAATGGCTCTCCATTGATGTTAAGTCCAACTTAGAGTTGAGTTCAACTTAGGATCATTGAAACACCCCCTGATCAGCATATATAGCATCTTGACAGGGCATTCCAGGGGGAGGTTTCACAAAACTAGTCATCAGTGACAAATGACAGTTGTTGTTATAAGCTACTGAAATCCTTGCTTCTGATTGGTTATCAGCAGTTTTGTCACTGATATTTGTCATTTGTCATTGAAAAAAGGCTTTGTGAAACCGGTCCCTGGGCAGTGGCTTCTTGATAGAAGGATCTATCTACTGATACCAGGGTCTCTGGCGGACCCATCTCATCTTGTAGCCAGCATCCGTCCTTATCTTAATGGAGGCAGCCTTGGCGGCTCTCACCGTTTCCTTGACGGCCTTCATCAGGTTTTGGGCGTTGCCGACGAGCATCTCAGTAGCTTCCATATCCTCCTCAGACTCTGTAAAATCACAAAAATGGAAAATTGGGATGATAATGATGTCTTATCGCCCGCAAATGCGGTTAATGTATGCATTATTCTTATCTGACAAGTTTGTTCATTTAGGACATACTCATAAGCTACTCATGAGGGACCTTAATTCCACAAGCCTAGCTTTTAACCAAGGTCACCTCATCTTTCTATTGTAAAGCCATATTCTGTTAACTTGTTATATTCATGTCATATTTGTAATGTGTGTTATGAAAGAAAGATAAATCAAAGTTGAAATTGAACTTGAACTTATCAAAGAACGTTAATATCCGATCCGAATTCGAACTCTCAATCATCAGATTGAGAGTACAGTAAACAATTATACTACACCTCCACTTGAATGTGTGTGTATGAACAAAACAATAGCACACAATCACATCACTGCCAACAAACTGGTAACAATGGAGAACATATCTATTCCTGAGCTGCATAGATTTTGTTACCATGTTGTATTACTGCTTTTAAATCGTGCAATATCACCCTGGCTCTTGCCTAGCTGCCTTTATAAGGCGATCAAGCATTCAAGAAACTTCTTCCTACTGGTACCCATTTACTTCAAAGGCCTTGACATTGCTTAACCCGTAGACTACTGAATTCATTTGTTGCCATAGGCTTAATACAGCTGTCACCAGGTTCCAGGAGACAATGGGATGATAAAGATTGGTGTCCCGCCAAAAGGACATCGGTGGTGTTGGAGCAATTTGAACCCTGTATCTTGTGTTCCCCAGTCTGGTTATGTATCCACTACATCACAACACCTATACGTGTAACTTGGATTACATTTGAATAGAGTACCGAAGCTGTGACATCATAAAATTCTAATTTTGGAATTTCTCAATTTTTTCTTCATTTTCCGAAAGAGCATCAAAATTACAAAAGTCAAAATGTGGAAAACCAATTGAATATGTTAAGTATTGCCTGAGATATGACCATCTGAATAAATAGATTTCCTATTTGATAGGAATTCAGTGTTATATTGCTCTGGACATTATTTTTGATGCTCTTATGGAAAATGAAGAAAAAATTGAGAAATTCAGAATACAGATTTTTTATGACGTCACACTATAGAAGTACGGTAACATTGAACTTTCACCCCTCACCTTGTGACCCAAGCATGACGGCTTTGACCGTGGATAAGATCTTGAGTTGAGTGCTAATGGTGGGGATCCTCTCACAGACTTGTAGAAGGTTCTGAAGAAAAATGACAAGACTCAAATGAATGCCAACCAAATGGAAGAAGGTTTCCTCCCCTGAGAGCTCAAAGGGTCATAACTTGTGGGTGGTATTCTCAAAAGCAGACTAACTTTAGTCCATGGTTTAATCCACCGACTAAGTATGGAATGCCAAGTGTCCATATAAATATATTTTTGAATTATTTGATATGTCCCTAAATTACCATGATAACATAATTATATCATAGTTATATTGTTGTTTATTAATTATGTTATAACATTCTGTTTTAATTTAGGGATAGATTAAATTATTCAAAAACATATTCATATGAACACTTGGCATTCCATACTTAGTCGATGGATTAAACCATGGACTAAAGTAAGTCTGCTTTCTAAAATACCACCCTGTATGTCTTTTGGCTTTCAGTGGGGGATCTGATCATTGTTTAAATAGTTTGGCAAATTATACAGGCATCAAAAGATGCATCCAGGATGCAAAATGCAGTTGTTTCTAATGTAGCAGTATTAAATTTGCAATTTGAAAAATCTGAATGTCAGTTTTGAAATCATTAAGTCTAATCAATTCCAAAGAGTATTTTACCAGGTTCAAGCCCTAAATACAAATTTCTCTTGATGTAATCAAACTATGATTTTTACCATTATTGCTATTGTGCTCTTGAGCGGGCCACTACATTTTGCCATGTATATAACTGCCTTTGTAAATTTTTCCCTTGCAGCATGCATTGAAGTGCAACAAGCCTATGTCAAATATTTGAAAAACCCAACACCTTACTTGACTTTTAACTGTACAATGAATACCATTTGTAAAAACTGTTAAACTGAACATTTGTTCAATGTGATAATAAGTATTGTTAATTGTGAAGACATAGAAGAAGCTTCAACTCATTATTTTTTGTGTAGGGTTGTGTTCTACCCTAATGATACATGTAATTCTGTCTAAAAATTAAACCTTAAAGGTAATGCAAAGTTTTGGTATGGGGTCATGAATTTGGTTCAAATGAACATATAGGAAGCATATGCAATCCTACAATATTCAGTGATCGTTGGCACAGTTGAAATCGAGTCTAAAATGACAAAATTGTTAATAATAAACTCTTTTTCCCAAAACTTTGTATTACCTTTAAAAGTTCTTTTACTCCTTTAATTATTACCAATAACAAAACTTCAATCAATGGATATTAATGAATAATAAATACAAGTAACATAGAATATATTCATATTAAAAACTTTTTTCACAGATAAAATCAAATCCAATTACATCTACATAGATACCATATATCTATTTATAAGGATTATTTAACATGTCTGTACAGTCATAACTACGACCATTCAATAACAAAGATAATTATAATATAATTATATAAATATGTTGCACTTTGATTGACGGCTTCCACCATTCTTCCAAATGTTGGAAGATGCAGTTCTCCTCTGGAATGGCATCTCAGTCAAGCGATTTTGATCTGGATAGAAGGAATCCTTTCATTAATGAAGACATCTCGAGAAAAGGTTCAATGCCTACGCACATACGTGTGTTGCCACTTTCAATGTTATATCAAATATTTACACTTAAGCGAGCACATTTCTGTCGTGTCGGCTACTCCATCAGTCCGTTCAATATTCCATTTTGTTTGTGGCTACTTTTTTGTTCGATGTGCATTGCCAATTTGAATATCAAATATTTACACGTAAGCGAGCACATTCTGGTCGTGTCGGCTACTCCATGAGTCCGTTCCATATTCCATTTTTTTCGTGGCTACTTTTTTGTTCGGAGTCGCAGCAAAGCAGTACTGACGGATGAATTAGTCCGAACTCACGAATATATATACACACACAAAAAGGTTGTCACACAAATCTAGGTTAAAACAGGTCAGGATACATTCACTATGATGCAACTATACATCATGTTCTAAATATGATCATGCAATGAACAAATGTTAGCTGACGATCAGACATAATTACAACACTGCAATCGACAAGGGATAATCGAACGAGATGGAACTGAAAATTAACAAACCTTTGGTATTAAAAAATTAGAACACTAATTTCAAAATCATCTTACAATAATGGCATCATGTCATCCATTTTGGAAATGAAATCCAAAGATCTTGTTATTGATATATCCATTCTAAAATAATCCTCAATCTATCAAGCAACTTAACAAGCATACTTAATTTCTATATTACTGATTGGACTGAACGATCCAATTGTTACTCATACTTCCATTTAACAAATTCTAACATTAATAGTTTTAACCATACACAGGCTATGTTTTGTACAACCATTGCTTTATTTAAACATTTCTAATATTTTTTCCCTAACTTTTACATACTTCTCTTTCTCATTTGATAAAAATGATTAAATCAAATTAAGGAAGTTAACTTATCTTGTTTAAGATGACCTGTCAAAAAGTACATAATCCCAAAGCTATATATATGTACATTAGGTACCTAGCATTTAAATATTAACATATTTGATAAATTTGCCTTTCTGATGATAATACTCCTATCAAATTTCCATGTTTATTGTTTAAACACTGAAATTTAATGAGTAGTCAAATGTTCATGTATTGTTAACCTCTTGGGTGTTATACAACAGACCAGAATCACAAAATATGGACAAAGACCTAACGTGTATTACACAAAAACTATGGTTGAATGAATTATCATGAAAACAGATATTTTAACTCTGATTCTAAAGACATAACAAAATGTAATGAATGAGCATGATGTGTACACAGTGAATATTGTCGACAGAGTTAAATCTTGTGAATTCAAGAAAATAGATTTTGATGTTAACATATGAATCTCAAGAGATAAATCTATTATACTAGGATAAAAAGTAATCTTAATCTTATTCTAAACAAAGACCTTACAATACTCTTAAGAATCATTAATTAACATATTAAACAAACAAGTGTTTATAATTATTCTAAACTAATAGTAATATCTTCATTTCAGATTTAATGAGTAAAACTACATTAGAATAAGTATCTGGGAAGCGTCACATTATTCTCATTACAGGTGCAACTAAGGAAGGCTGTAAACAAATTACTTTTAATCTTCATTTGATTCTCTCTACCCCACCATGCTAAAAATAAATATCATTATTACTATGTTTTGTTGATGATTCTGTTGTTGATTATAATTTATATATATATACATATATATATAATTTTTTATATATATATATATATTTTTTTTTTTTTTTTTTTGGGGGGGGGGGGCTTTCATTTATTGCAATTATTAATCTTGATTATTTACAACCATAAATCATTAAAACAATGTGCTTTTTACTTATTTTTTCCTTCAGTTTAAGAGCAAAACAACAAGCATACTGTAATACTATTAGTGTACGGCCATTCATTAAAAACAAATACGGTATTAACAATTGTGCAATAATTCATTCCTCAGTTTGCTCTTCAATGTGTGCAAGACTTCATGCATGTTCATTCACGAACAGATAAAAACAGGTGCACTACTGCAATTTCAACATGCAATTTTGGCCAACAAAATGCTTAAGCATTGACATCACAAGAGAGACAAATAACACGATACATGAACAGAGTTTTAGTTTCTATCTGTAAAGTCCCTTCAAATCAATATTTTTATAATGAAAGTGTATTGAAAACTGAAACAAATCAGTCATGTTAAAACAGGATTTTACCAAAAATATATAAACTTAATAATAGTCATATAATCTGGTATTTTTATCAAACAACAAAACAAATAAAGAATTTTCTGGGCTCTCATATGTCCACTTTAATTGAGGCATTTTGCTGACATTTTTTATTAATTTTTTTTAATTCAAATTGTGCAGTGGGTCAAACAATAACTGTTTGTGCACAAAATATGAAAAGGAAAGCTTATTCTCATTGTGAACAATTTTGAATAAATTCAATAAGAAATAAAAGTGATATCCATAAAAAGGCTGAATTTACAGTTTATTTGTAAGAAAAAAGAAAAAGTTCCAACAGAAAAATGAGGAGGAATGAAATCGATTAGAAAGGAACATAAAATAGAGTATACATAACAAAACAATAGACAAAACAAGGAGTGATGACTGAAGAATATCTTTAAAATTGACCAGGGGCCTGTTTCATAAAACTTGTTATCTATAACAAATGCTAAATTTCTATGACGAATTTGCTCTCAGCCAATCAGATGCCATGGTTTCAGTAGCTTATAACAGTAGCTTGTAACTTGTTATTGATATCAAGTTTTATGAAACAGGACCCAGGGTTGAAAAGATCAAAGGTCTATAGAACCACAGTGGAAAAATGGTTCAGTAGAACAAAGGCCTTTAAGACCACAGTTGAGGGTTGAAGGGGGAACTTTTTCTGGTGTGCCTATACTGTGTGAGTCAACAAAAAGTTTACTCCTAAAAAAACAGTAACTTATTACACATCTTAAGAAAGAGCATTTTATCCCAAATCATTTGGTTTCATTTTTGTGGGGTATGTGTTCACGCTTGGATGAAAAAACCCATTAGGATTTGGGTATTAATTCGGTCATTGCAGATCCAAATAACATCCCTAACAAAATAACATGCCACACATATCAAATATAAAATATCAACAAAACATTTGTGCGTGTGTGTGTGTGACTTTGCTTCTGCAAAAAAGCATAAGCAATTAATGCATCTCATTTGTTACATGCAATTCATTCTCTAACTTTAATCCCAACATATCACACACTGTAGGCATCACTTTGGCACAAGTCGATTTTTGCACTCTCGCAAACAATGCCTCCTGTTTATCCAAGCGTAAACACATACCACACAAAAATGATACTAAAAGATTCAGGATAAAACACTCTTTTATAAGATGTATAATAATTTACTGCTCATATATGATTTTAAAAATAAATAGCAAACTTTTAAGTGTAATTTTTTTTTACTCACACGGTATATGAGCTAGCAGACCTTTGATTAAGTGACCTGTAGCCATTAAATCTCATTGAAGAATTAATGAGGAAATTTCAAGAAGAAATCTTACAAATTACTGATCTCTGAGAAGTGTCTAACTTTTTTTTAAGTGGCCCAAACATTGTGGAGCATGTGTGCAGCGCTTTGTAACTGCAAGGAAAAGGCACTATAAATAAATATCTTTTGGATTGGATTGGATACCAGACACAAAGAACTAAGAGAACAAAGGATGATAGATAAATGCACAACAAGAGGCATCCAAAATGCAAAACATGACAAGAAAGTGACTGTATGGGAACACAATGGAATGGGTGTTACATGCTCACATTTTTCATGCGTTTGTCAGTACACTGAGCTGCTATTTCTCCTGCGAGTCTCACGACTTCTAGCGATGCTTGAGCGATCTTCTTAGCAATCTCGATTAATTCCTTCTTTGAAGTTTTCTCGCCGCTAAATATGAGATGGAAATTTATACATCTTCAAATTAGATTATTTCTGTTACAAGCATTTGGTTAGTCCTTTCGATAAACCTGGATTCTCTTGGACACAGTGCATAATGTAATCAAAGATAAGAACTGCAATAAGAAGAATGGAACTCCTTGGTTACTCAGGTATAAGGAAATGTGTATGGAATTTTAAAAAATACACTAACTCTCGAGTTAGGTGTTCATTTCGGTAAACATACATTTTTGATGAACGGTAAGGAGTACAATTAATGATATCTGTTGCAGTAAATCTTCAATGATTACACTATGCTCCTGTCCAGCAGGTTGGATTACAAATAGCATTGCTTTCATATACATAATCAATCATAGCTAGCTTGCCCTCTCCCCGGTATGATGTGATTTAACAATCCCAATAAATAGTCTGAGATAACTTGGGCTAGAGGTTAGGTTATAACAAAACCATATCATGCCCAATATTAGGTTTACAATAAGTAAATGGCCCAAATTCACACAGGAGGTTTAGATTTAACCCATGGTTTAAACCTTCATTTACATACCCATGGTTTAAAATTAGCGCAAAATAAGCGCAACAAAGTCAAGAGGTCCAATATTAAAGGCGCGCAAGGCAAGGTACGGTTATTTTGCGCTAATTTTTAAACCATGGATTATGTAAATGACGGTTTAAACGATGGGTTAAATGTAAACCTCCTTTGTGAATTGGGCATATGTGTCTGAGCTTTTGATGGGGCTGGCTAACATGAGCCAATCGTTTCCCAGTCTTAGTGCTGTATCTTCATATGCTTTGTTATACGGCCAAGTTAGGCATAATTCTTTGCGTTAAGGCATACAAGTGATATTTATATCACATGATATGCATGTTTAACATAGCATTGACAGCAATATTATTGCATAATGGATTTTTCATTAGTTTTCATGCAAAATATACAAGTATACTTTGCTTCGAACTCAACTCCAAGTTGGACTTGAAAATTATGGAGAGCCATTTGTAGCCTTAAAATGAAATATATTCAAAAGCAAAAGTCCAAGTATTTTAGACTTTTCATAAATTCTTCATCAAGAACATGATATCTCCTTGATAATAGAAAATATGAACGATTTGAATCAACATTTTATGCCTTTTTAAAATAACTTGTACAAAATATTTTCAAAGATGCTAATGGCTTTCCATAATTGTTAAGTCCAACTTAGAGATAAGTTAAACTTAGGATCTTTGTGAAACACCCCCCACGTATAAAGCCTATAGAATTGATAGAATGCACCAGTCAACAGATTAACTAACAATGCTCATTTGAACACACAGTCAAAAATGTATGGGAGATGTGCTTATATTACTTCAACAACAATCTTCTTATAATGGCAATAACAATATTTCATATGGAAGTATAAAATAATTCATTATCAATGGAGGGAGAGAGCAAGCTAGCTACATGACAGGTTATCCATGTTTTTGGACACCCTGTACACACACATATAGAGGTGTCCATCTTTTGGGACACCCTATACCTACCACTCTCATACGGATATCTGTGCACTGATTGGCTATCTCTCGTGTCAGCCGGGTCACCAGTGCTGCCACCTTCACAATCTCCTTGGCTGTGTCAATCAGATCCTTCTTATTACCACCCTCTCCACTGATAAGGTCATGGGTCAAAGGGTCAAAGGTTAATGGGTCAAAGGTCAAAGGTCAAAGGTTAATGGCATATGGACAAATCATGTATGAACTTGTGCAGATGAGGCTAAAAATAATATAGGATTTAATTAAATACATAGATTTCAATCTTTTCAAATGATCAGAGGTTAGGGGTTATTGGAATTGGACAAGGACAAATCGAACATTAAGTTGTGAAGGAGAGATTTAAAGGAAAAATTAAGATTGGTATTTACAGTGTTATACTGTTGGGACTAAATGAGAGAAGAAATATCACCCGAGGACGTTCATACTTGACAACAAAATATGGTCAAAATGAAATATTAAGGTCAGTGACACAAAGACGTAACTCCATTTTGGCCATTTTGAGAAAAGGTGGTTCATGTGTCACTGAGCACTTGGGCCTTAAGGAGTTAAGTCTATGTTTCACTAGCCATTGACTTCAATGGGGTGTTGGTGGAGTTAAGTCTTTGTGTTTCCTGGAAAACACCCACATTTTTCTGAAAATTTCTATATCAAATACTCATTTTTTGCAAAATATGGAATATTTGTGTCACTGAACCTCGATATGGAAATTTGTTAATAAAATTAATTCAGTCTTGGTGCAAATAGGAAAAAAAAAAATTTAATTAAAATTAGCTTCAAAGAAAGTGTTAGGAATACAGGCATAACAAACCAGAATGGATGCTTTGCCATCAAAATTTCGTATTTTGTATTCATATATAGACTCTCTGTTAGTTTTAAAATTTCCTCAACAGATCGTACACATTCCACAATTAGGAAGAAAGAAGAGTAGCCAGAATTTGCTACAACAAAAAACTGATCTTTTATAATCAGCAAGATAGGAAATTCAGGAAGTAATACTGAAAGAGTCAGAAAATAATAAATAATAATAATGATGATAATAGTAATAATGATAATAATAATAATAACATTGAAAATAATAGTGACAAAATAAAAACTAGAAATATTGAATCTCCATTGCCGCGCAATGCGAATGTATCCCCTGGCAGTGGCAGCGATATTTGTATCCTCCTTATGTAAGGAGGGAAAAAGATCTCCTCCCCTCCCTGAAACAAAAGGATGACGTAGAGATCGCCACTAGTGGAGCGGACTATTGTCAAGACTAGGAGCAGCATCACAAAACGCTAAAGATGTCTAGATATAACTAAAACACACCTCCATACAAAATTTGAAAGAAATCCGTCAAGACATGTGGCAATTTGAGTTACAGCGCATCGACATATGACCTTTGACTCTAAAAAGGACAGAACAACGAGGGCAGCATCACCCAAAAGTACAGATGTGTAGATTGTTCAAAGATACATCTCTGTACAAATTTTGGAAGAAATCTGTCAAGAAATGTTGCAGGAGTAGCGCACAAAAGGGATAAATGACCTTTGACCCTATAAAGGACAGAACAATGAGGCCAGCATCACCAAAAAGTAAAGATGTGTAAATAATTGTACCAAGATACAACTCTATACAAAATTTAAAAGAAATCCGTCAATGAATGTGGTGGTTAAATCGCGCACAAGAGTATGATGCGCCGGCGGATGCAGACCTAGCGGCGGCGTGCCGCTGTTGGATCCAAAGTATCCTCGGCAGGCAGTTACGGGGGGATACAATAAGAAAAAACAATAAGAAAAAGAAGAACAAGAACATTAATACTACAAGGTTTAAGAATGTAATATAGGGTAACCCACCTGACGTGTTTGCTCATGGCAGCCATAAGTTGTGCCATCCTCTTTGCTGCTGCGATGAGATCGTTATCCTTGCTGGACCATTGTTCTGTCTCAACGTGAAGATCATAGGCAGCTTGCTGAAGAAAACAAATGCAATTATAAAATGCTCAAAAAATGGGTTCTCTTGGAAAATCTAAAACAATATTTTTGCTATTCATTATATTATATACCTCTAGCCATCTGATTGGTCGAAAAATTGGAGTCGTAATTTTAGCCATGCCCCACCTACCGGTTAATAGTCTTTTAAAAGGTGCCCGCATTCCCGCCTACCGGTTTAAATGGGGTGTGTGTGCGATTCCCAAATGATTGTAACATTCAGTCATCTTTCCAGCAAAGATTAACAGACAGTGTCTTAGATTTTCTGTTCAACAAAATGATAAGGTAAGGATCAGGAGGAGAATTCTTGGTATTTTTTTTGTCACTCCGGTTAATAAAAGATATATCGTGGACGGCTTTAATATTCAAGGCCTAGCTGTTTCTATACTGGCGCGGCCCCCCCCCCCCCCAGCCCCCGAAACAGTAAAAAAAATGGGATAGTAAAGGAAATTTAACCTTTTTTTAAACAAAAAACAAAAGCCTGACCCCCTCAGATGTGAAGGAAAATGATTATTTAACTAAGGCGAGCCTAGCCTTAGTCATCTTTACTAGAAAATAGAATGTGAATGAAAGTGATAATTTGACTAACCATAATGGGTTGATGAGAGCCTTGCTCTGGGAGGGGTAGCGAAGTGTCTTCGGGAGGGGGTGGGCGTGGTGGAGGTACATCACCGGGTAGGGGTGGCCTTGGTGGGGCTGCTTCTGTAACGTGAATGGAATCAAGCAGAAGAGAAAATAGCTGTTAATGCATTCAATTACCGGTATACATTTGCTGTCATCTGAGAAAGATAAAATCCTATCATTGGCTAATACCTAGAATGGTGTTAACTCTAAGATACAGCACTTGGCTTTCCACTCGCTGCCACCCAAAAATATAAAATCTTCTTGTTTGCTGGGAAACCAAGTATGCCAAAGTGGAACACGTGCAAGCAGCCATGGGTGATTCTTGGTCATGCTTATCTTATAAAATTTGATGGCTATGAGTGGAGTGCAGAGAATTCTGTTCGGTCTGAAGAACATGACACTCATCCCTCGTTCATAGACTTTCTTTGAGTCGCATGATTGCAATCGAACATCAAAGCAGAATGTACCGACACCCTGCTGACTGTCGGAAAACGCAACATTTCTGTTTTTAAACTTCAAAGCTACAATGGCGTTCATTGCTAAGATATCCCACCGCTGCCACCCAAATAAGCTTAAAACATTTTTTTGATAGCAGAAAGGTCGTCAACTCAATCTAAAATGATATAATGTCATTTGCAACTCAATACCCAAGAGGGTAATGTGGACCCGGTAGGATGACGAAAGCATTGTGTTAGAAATTGCCTATGCCCTCACGGTGGGGAGTGGAGATTGTGCACATTGTGCGTGAATGAAATCGATGACCGGGTTAATAATTTCTGTAAAGCGCTTAGAGACGGTATTCCGTATTAAGCGCTACATTAATCCAGATTATTATTATTATTATTGTCGGATGTAAAACAATAACTAAGTACAGTTTAAACATATTTGTGGCTTACACCCAGTGAATAAGATCTGTAATTGAAAAAGCATTACATTTATAAAAGTTATTGTCCTATGGCGGACTAATGAATATTAATAAGTCAGAATGAATCAGGAGTGCTTTGGGTATTTGTTTCTAGTTCATCGCGACTGTGCCATGGACCAGTGATGGCCTAGTGGTAGAGTCGCTGCCCGGCAAGCAGTAGATGGCAGGTTCAAATCCCGCTGGTTCCAAGATTTTTTCTGACTTGTTTTTCAATTACAGATCGATCAATCAATCTTATTTACTGGGTGTTAGCCACAAATATGTTCAAACTATTGAAATTTCTCCCAGGAAGCATTACATTTATAACAAAATAACTTATTAAGCAAAAACAAAGTATGCATCTGGCGACTCGATATTTGTCTTTCCTTTACACTTTTCTACCAAGAGTACAAATACAATACAAACTACATGCAATTTTACAATCCCCATGGCTACTCCAAAACAGTTCTATGCCAAATAATCAAAAGATGATTAATTATAATCCAGACACCATTTTTTAGGTTAAAAAATGCTCTTTCTCAAAGGTTTGGGTTCAATTTAATGCACAATATATACCTTCCAACTGAAGTCTACTCATATCAGGAGGGGGTGGCATAATCGGCTCCTGGTTGACTGTAAGAGCCTGGCGGACATCTCCTACATCTGATTGCACCTGGTATAAGATAATAATGCAATGGGAGTTCACAGTATTACTTGTAGTACTTGTATAAAACCCTATGTCTGACTAAACCGGGTATAAGATAATAATGCAATGGGAGTTCACAGTATTACTTGTATAAAACCCTATGTCTGACTGAACCGGGTATAAGATAATAATGCAATGGGAGTTCACAGTTTTAATTACATAAAACCCTATGTCTGACTAAACCAGGTATAAGATAATAATGCAATGGGAGTTCACAGTATTTCTTACGTTAAAGCCCTGTCTGACTAAACCAGGTATAAGATAATAATGCAATGGGAGTTCACAGTATTACTTACGTTAAAGCCCTATGTCTGACTAAACCGGGTATAAGCTAATAATGCAATAGAAATAATAATAAATAATAATAAATTTGTCTACGCCTCACCCTTTTGAACCTACATTTTCTTATTTTAGCCCATTGCTTACTGGAACCGGGTGGTCCCTGTGTTATGTCTCTGAGAATTAGATAATCCAATAGTCAAGGGGTTAATTTCAATGACTTTCTATGTGACACAGAAACTAAATCAACCGATTCCAAAATTATCAAAAACAAGTACTGGTAGTGACTGTTTTATGTCCTTTTATTAATCACTAGATAGAATGATTTTTTTTAAATAGATGTTTATAACTACCTTTAGAGGTGTGATGGACAAATCTTATTGTTTTTGTCAACAATATCAAAGGGGACTATGTACTTTTAATCAATTTATCACAGACCTTTTTTTTTATATCAATAAGCCATTTCGTAAATACTATCTGCACATGGGCAGATAAAGGTCATTTCTGATAAAATTGTAAACCCACTGAGATGAATATGTGCTCATGTTATGTAATCATTATTCATATGTGCACCTACGGTACATTCTATGATACAAGAGGGCAAACAAAAGCTTTTCATGAAGCACATACATGACTTTGGCATTGATTATTCTAGAATACACAAAGTGGGACTTCTCCATGAGTAGAAGATCTGTGGATATTTGGGGTCATTTTAACCATGTGCTAACTACGAAATGGTCTATTGACCTTGGTGCAAAATGTCTTCTATCTTTACATTGTCAGAAAGCCAATGAAAATATGGGCAAACACAAATAGCTGATCATGAAGACGGTGGATGAACTAAATGAATTCTAAGAAAATTAAATAGAAATGGAAATAAATGCTTTTTGCTCTCTCTCTCTCTCTCTCTCTCTCTTCCTAGTCAGAAGAGGATCTGCTTGACATAATTATATTCTCCTTTGTAAAATCTCCATAAAAATTTCATGCTAAAAATCACAACTAAAAACCACCGCATGAAATAAAATCATTGCATAACCTGAAGGCTTGTAAATTAGCATAAGAACTACAGACTTTGTCTGCATACGTGCAAGTGTAGTTCTTCAATAGTAAAATAAAATTCAGATGCTTGACAAAAGTTTATTTTCAAATCAAATATCATTTGATAAGGGTGATTCGCATTATGCAAAACAGATGTGCATATTTGGGCAGTGCTTTGTTTGCAAAAATCATAGAAACTTCCTTAAATGAGCAAATACCATAATTTCTTTATCTCGAAATAAAAGGATATTAACATGGTCTATATATGAATAATATTGCTTTCATCTCCATTAAAACAGATGCAGTTAAATGTAGGTCTCCATATACTAATTTTTTGTTCAAACATATCTGTAAAAGAGTATTCTTAGTGAAGAATAAGGATTCAAGTAGGTAAGGAGTTCAATTGTTAATAAAAGCTGCTGGAGATTTAATCATGAAAGCATGTGCTGATTTAATCTTATCATTCATAACTCCATTTAAACATAACATTTATAGTAGTTAGCATTGGTATATGATATTGTCAGACTTTTGAATATAAAGGTACAGAGCAAAGCCTTATGGGAACAAATACATGTGTAACAAAAGTTGTTCTGCATTAATTGTTCACATTGAGCTGTTCAATACAAGCAAACATAGTGTGGACAAAAGATGAAGGCCGAGTTGATATGCACTGCCAACACTTAGCGCTGAATTCAAACATAAACAAGATGATTAGTCAAAACACACTTCATAAATGACAACATTAACGCAAGTTAGTCAGAGTAAGATAATATAAAACCACTGTTACATGCATATTCCATAGCTGTATGGAAAAAAAATGAAGTATTAGTACATATACATCCAGTGTCTTACAATAATTTATTCTCAGATGTTCCATTCCACGTAACGTTATACACTGTAACATGCAATGGTAATGACAAACTTGTAAATAATGGAAATGTTTGGTAACATTGTAAGAGTCTAAATGTAGAAAACATTGTGAGAATACTTTAAGAATGAAGTTGACTTGAAACTGATACAATCAGATCATTGTCATACATTCCCCCCAAATTTCACTCTTCCTGGGGTAAAAGAAGCTTAAATATAATGAAGTTAGGCATTAAAACATTTCTTGTTATGCAGGAATATGATGATTAGATCAATTCAAATGATATGTGTGTTTCAGAATACACAAGACAATTACATGTAACTTTAACACACTGATACTGTACCTGTATAAAGTAGAGACAACGAATGTGTAAATTTTCAATGAACTTTGTAGTCTAAGAAATGATATGATATTGATGTATGTTTGCGCTCCACACAGTAAATATGAACATGCTTCTTTACATATTCACACTACATCCAAACACTTAATAAATTACTTGAATCACATGCTATTACACAATATAATAACAATACATCATAGAACTAAACGTCACTGTACATTGATTCAAGAACGTCTTAAGTTATTTGCATACCAGTACTGTAAAACTGGAATATATTTCAAATAAAAAAAAGGTAAGGAATCTGTTGATGTGTTCTGTAATTAACCAATAACTATTCTTTGCATGTACATATATCAATTAGTGAGTGGAAGAACTTTTTTCTAAAGGTTTAATTCAGTTCCTATTAGCGAAAGTAATGTGTAACAAGAAGAACATTATTAAGGGTTTATTTTGATCAGATAAATGTAGGTGACTTCAACTCTTTGGTGATATGCAACTGAATGCGTACCGATAGATGCTCTATTATCTATCCAGGTTTCTGGATATTTTTGTTATTATACACGCATTATTCAAATGAATGACAGGGCAGCATAGGATACTAAAGGTTGTTGAATGAGCTTCCAGGAGGGCGTTTCACAAAGCCTATTTTCAATGACAAATGACAAAAAGCTGTGTCAACTCTGCTGATAACCAATCAGAAGCAAGAATTTCAGTAGCTTATAACAAAAACTGTCATTTATCACTGATGACAAGTTTTGTGAATCGCCCCCCTGTTCATGAACAAATGATGACCGAACCTACCCAGGAAGTTATAATTTCAATATGGATAACCACAGTTCAATAAATGGAGACTGCACCAGCTCTTGTGATCCTATTTTTTACGATGGCTCCTGATTTTTTGTTGAATGCATTAATCGTACTTGTAATTGGGAATCGCAGAAAATTTATGTTAGACTACCTCAGCCAATTCTGGGTATCTGTACACCTGCAAATTGTGAGGACTTTATATCAATAAGAGTTCAGTCAAAAGAGTATCCATATCTTTGAAGAAGAAAAAATGGATGTCAGAATCACAATACAACATAAATATTCATAACATATGATTTACACAAATATGAAAAACAGACAAGTCAAAACAGTGGCATGATGCAAACACAACTAATGAATATTCTAATTGTGGACAGCACTCATGAATAAATGAATAAATGAACAGGACACGGGATGCAGTGATTGGTCAACCTGTCTTGGCTTGGGAGCAGTGGTGGGCGGAGCTGATCTGACAGGGGGCGGGGCATAAGAAGAAGGCGTCTCTACAGACGGAGTACTAGGGTAATTAGGGAACGTTTTCAGCACAGCGTCCAAGTCATCTTGTATCTACATGGTAACATAGTGTGCAAGCAAACGTGATTGGTTGGTTAATGTGATGTCATCAGCTGAGTGACCAATCAGATGCTGAGAGCTTTATCCATCCGATAGTCAGTGCTGATGAGTTTCTACTGCTATAAATATGGAAATACATTTCAACTTTTGCGCATATAACATATACACATATTTTGATTAGTTCTACATTTAGATACAAGTATATTTTTTAGTAAACTTCTACAATGTACATGTAATACTATTTGCAAACAAACTGTTTTTCATTAAAAAAAAACAGTAAAAAGTGCATTTATGAGTGATGTGTTGATACTGTTATACATAACTGCATTTTCTTTGGTTTTTTAACTTTTTTCAAGACATACACAATGTATTTTAGGGCTAGCTTATAAGCTCTATACAATGAACATGTATGCATTGCAACAAACAGGATTATATATGGTAAAGTGACTCTTTTCATTTTGCTCACTTGCAATAAAAGTACTAAAAGATTGTGTCTTTAAAAATATTAAACTCTATACAACTGCTGACATTTCATTACAAAAAAAAGGAAAAAAAGAATTTCTCTTCTTTATGGTAAAAAATCAGATACAAACTGTGTCTACACGAATGATATCTGGCAAAAAAAAGCATGATGTACTCATAAATTTACAATAAAAAGGAATAAGAGGAAATATATGACAAGGGGATAATTAATCATTCATTATATACATCTACTCATTCAGGAACCGAAATACAATAGAATACTTTAAAAGCTGCAAAATTAAGCCATGCAGTTTGCGGATGCTTTGATGTGGACATGGTCACACAAACATTCTGAGAAATCAACTCTTGTTGATGTAGACATGTATCTTAAAACATATAAAACTAGCTACATTACAATTTAGTTGCAAATTGAAGGTCAGTTTGTCCTGTATTAGTTCATCAATGCATTTCCTAAGTCTAACATAATAAATGTCTCAAAAATAGTTCTCAATTCTATCCCTAATAAGAATTAAGATTGGATAAACACCTTGGAAGACAATAGATTATGATAGAATGGGTGGATGTGACTCTTTATCACCATGTACAGACACGAATGCATACATGTTTAGAGTTTACTGATTAAAGGTAATACAAAGTTTTGGTATGGGGTCGTAAATTTGGTTCAAATGTACATATTAGAAGCATATGCGATCCTACAATATTCAGTGATCGTTGTCTCAGTTGAAATCGAGTCTAAAGTTATGAAATTGTAAATAATACACTCTTTGTGTTGTATAGCTCCCCTCAAGGTCAAGCTATTAATTAAGCTATAAAACAATGTTTCTTGACTAAAATTGACCAATTAGCTAACCCCGTTTGGAAATTATATATTACAACTACATATTCTGAGATTTTCACGATCGCAGCTACCATTGTACTGGCCGTAGGTGCTATTTGAAATTTTCATATTCAATTTTTCTCAAAAGCAGAAGTGTTTTAAGGGCTAAATTTTCTAGTGTTTATAATTCAAATATATCAAATTTGTAAAGAATCACTATCCAACCAATTGTCAAATTTCCCAAAACTTTGTATTACCTTTAATAACCATATTACCTGGACAGTTTATAGTAAATAATGTATATACTCGGGGATAGTAACACATTTCAATTTATTTCAGCTACATTTAATACCTTGCCAATTTGAAAATAATGCTTTTGTGTTTCCAGTAGAATAAAATAAATTGCATGATATTTACAGGACAAACTAACACTCAATTTGACTGTTATACAATTAGTACTTTGCTGCTACACATTCATATCACCATGTATACATTCCTACACTTACAATGTATCATTCCTCTAGTACACCTTGGCTCATTGCACAAAACTTAGCATTGATGGTAACTTTGCCATCAATGGCAACTACCATGGAAACCTTGATTTTGATTGGCTGTTGAGCCCTGTTACCATGGTAGTTGCCATTGATGTCAAAGTTACCATCAATGGTAAGTTTTATGCAACACGACCTTTGACATGCAAGCTAGTGAATATACATGTACATACGCTGCACATTGAATGGCTCTCATTCCTCTAGTACACCTTGCCCCATTGCACAAAACTTACCATTGATGGTAACTTTGCCATCAATGGTAACTACCATCGAAACCTTGCTTTTGATTGGCTATTTATTGAGCCCTGTTACCATCATGGTAGTTGCCATTGATGGCAAGTTACCATCAATGGTAAGTTTTATCCAACGCAACCCTTGACATGCAAGCTAGTAGATATACATGTACAAACGCTGCATATTGCATGGCTCTCAGCAATACTGTCCTAATTTTCCAGCTCTAGAAATTACCATTAGTGTATATAAGTGATAATGATATGGGTATTCATATAACCATTACTTATTTTTATTCAGAGAGTAGGAAATAGACGACAACTTTGCTTGGAGGACACGCAAGCAACTACACATAATCATAACTTTAAATTCAACACTTTCAAACAAACACACATTTATAAAGTTGATCTACTTTGTACATCAGTAGCATATTAAGCATCTTCATACACAAGTAACTATAATGTCTTCCTACATTATCTGTGATTATAATGCATCTGAATTGGAAAAGGAGATTAAATACTGGGGGGGGGGGCGTTTCATAAAGCTGTTCGTAAAGTTACGCATGACATTATGAACGACTTGTATATGAAAAGCCAAATGGGATGCTCAATCATTAACTGCATCAAATAAAGTTGAACTGTGCAGATATAGATTAAAAATTCTTATTATACCAACCATTTATACCGGAGTGTTGGCTCAGTCAGTAGGGCGTCCGCCTCACAACCGGGAGGTCGTGGGTTCGAACCCCGGCCGCGTCATACCAAAAGACGTTAAAAGATGGGAGTTGTTGCTACCTTGTTTGGCGTTCAACAATAAGGGATAGAGCAACGTCGATCTGCCGCTGCTAAGTGGCTGCCGGGCTCACGATCAATTGGGCAAAAAGAATTTCTGTTTCGGTTTATTAAAATTTGGAGTGGACTATTAGGCTATTATTATTATTATTATTATTTTTAATGCAAAGTATATTTTTTGCCATAATTTAATTGAGGTTATTGGAAATATCAGAAAAAAATTTGGGCTTCCTATCTGGCACTTCATATACAAGTCGTTTGTAAAGTCATGCGTAACTTTATGAACAGCTTTATGAAACATCCCCCTGGTCTCATTGAGTAGTTATAGTGGTGGTGCCTAATGAATTTATCAACAATTTCTGCATGCAGACATGTGGGATGGGGTGTTTTAAGACTATTAAGGTAGTGTGTGGAAGACTATGCTAAATTGACATGTATATACAGTGTGTAAAGCCACTGAGATTAGGGTTAGATTAGATTAGGCAAAAGGGGATCTTGGACCATTTGGGGTTTGGTACATAAACGTTTCTAATAGTATGGAGGAGGAAAACCAGAATATATAACTTGCAAAATGTGCAATGAAAATATCCTTCTACAGTGTACATGTATATTGGCATCAAGCAAGTGTCTATTGTATGAGTTAAGACACAAATAAGATATCTATGCTTTTATTGATATGCATGAAAAAAATAAAATGGGTAAATCTACAGCTAAGCTGTGTGTGGGGGTGTGTGTGGGGGGAGGGGTGTGTGTGTGGGGGAGGGGTATGTGTGTGGGGGTGTGGGGGAGGGGCTGGTGTTAGGAAGGTCTAAATATAATTTGTTATATTTCATTTTTCATATTCTATTCATTAAATTTTGTATTCATCATCCTAAGTGATATCAAAATTAAAAGTAAATGGTGGCATTTGTTAATAAAGAAAAGTGATCAGATTAACAGTGTTCTTGAATTTTAACACTAAAATTCTACGGAAGATTACCCATAAAATAAGATAATTTACTTGAGAAACATATAATTACAATGTTTAAAATAGTATCCTGTACAGTTTAATGACATATAGATACATGTACATGTAACAAAGTAATGTACAGACATACACACAGACATTATACACACACACATACACGCACACACACACAGGTACAGCACAAAGACGCACTCCATCGTGTACAACTAATACTTCTGACCACTTACAGACCTCAACAATACATGTTACAACACAAATCAGCCAATCACGTATGAGCTTGCATCCACAAATCATTCTCTTATTAATTGCTGGAGTGCAATGACCTATTCACACAGACGATTGGTATGATCGTCAGTAGCCAATCAGCAGCCTGCTTTCATGGTTAATAAGACTCAACATGGGTGCTTATGTATGGAGTTCTGCCATTGGTGCACATCTGCTCATCTGCAAATCATAGTTTTTGTTGTTAGTGTGCGTAGTAAAAGGGGAAATAATTAAAACAAAAAGGAATTGTAAAAACATCAATGTGCAACATGTAAGGAAAATAATTTAGAAAAAAGATGAATGAAAAATTTCAGAATATGAAGAAGGGAAGAAAATGATATTGAAACCTCTTGGGGAATTGTGAATGATGGACCCTTATGTTGACTTGCTGGATCATGGGCGGCGGAGTGCCCCCTCATTGGCGCAGATCCATGGCCGAGGGGGAAATTGCGAGAGGTACCTAAAGGCTGTTAGGAGAGAATTCAAGGGTAAATAGAAAAAATATAATAATGACAATTTTCACTGGTATGTCATCATGCCTACATCGGTGTTATGAATAAGATCACAAATATAAGATTATTAGTGCAAATGTAGATAATTGTAAGTAATCCTTTTAAACTATTGTCAGTCTTCCAGTATATTCCTTATAATCCTGACTATCATCTTTGCATCTCTTGCTCTCTCTTGCTCTTTTTATCCATTCTTCTTTATTTCACTGATATCACTAATATGTTTACAGTTATGTAACACATAATATTTTAAATGATCTTAAGATACGTAGAATTATGACAAGAACACAGAGACGCACCCACAAAGTCATCCACAAAGTCACCCACACATTCACCCCACACACACTCATCACATATACAATAAGAAACCATGGAATGGTACGTCCCAAAAAAGGGCTTGTTTCCCTGAGCTATCCACATTTGAAAAAAATGTTTATCAAAAATATGCATCAAACTCTATGTAAGGGACTACATAAAGATTGCTCTGTTGCTCACTGTTTACAACACAAATATTTTGGGGTAGTTTTGGGCATTAAGGTGATTAGTCAAAAACTCTTTAGCTCAATGGAATCGAAGAAGTTTGCAACCGCAAAATACAATCAATTGTCATAAACAGAAGTAAAATAGCCAGTGAACTTTTCACAATACAGTCAAGCCTTTAAACATCTTCAACCCTTCCAGATCTGGGGGGGGGGGGGTGTTTCACAAAGATTCTAAGTTGAACTTATCTCTAAGTTGGACTTAACAATTATGGAAAGCCGTTAGCATATTTTAGAATATTTGTAAAAGTTATTTGATTCAAATCATTCATATTTTCTATCATAAAGGAGATTTCATGTTCTTGATGTTGAATTTATACAAAGTCTAAAATACTTGATTTTTCGTTTTTGAATATATGCTATTTTAAGTCTACAAATGGCTCTCCATCTTAGAGTTTAGTCCAACTTGGAGATAAGTTCAACTTAGGATCTTTGTGAAACACCCCCTGCACTGTCAATCAATCTCATAAATCACCTGAACACTCTTAACAAACACAAACCACAAGACAAAGTTAAAGCATTCAAAGGTTAATGTTTAGAGACCTGGTAGCCTGCTTGGCCGTCCGAAGAAGCCTTTGGGGGTGGGGGCGGGGGAGGGGGAGGCGCTGCAGCCTGCTCACCATTCTGTTAAGAAATCAAGACACCGTTATCAGCACTTCAAGCTCAGAGGATAATTCAATGGTGATAAAGTGTGTGAAAGAATTGTACCACACTTGCTCTTGCTACTATAGCTCTGGGTCAAATCTACATTACAGGCATCGTTTAACAATGTTAAATCTGAGATGCATGGCCTTACGTGTTATCAGTGTTTGTAATATTGAAGCTCTAAAAAAATTGCGCTTCAAAATGATCATGAAGAACCTCAAATAGAGCATCTAGATGCTGAACAGGCGTTGATGAGTATTACCATAGAAGTAGAGTTAAAATCTTTGAGTGACCAGTTTTACCATACTCATTTCCCCGAATAGACTGTAAGTGTTATAAAAACCGTTAGGAAAACAAATTTTAAAATTTTGATTTCCAATAAAATATATCTTGATAATCAGACAGGGAATCGGCTTGTAAAAGTAATGTGGTTTCTGACTGACCTTAAGGTTTATAATTATCATTGTAACATGAGCTAAATCCAGGATCTTGTTTCAGAATCTGAGACAAAGTTACCCAATCCCTATAACCAAATTCAGAAAATGAATCCAGAGCCAACACATAATGGCTAATCCCAACCCTTACTCCTAGCAATAAAAGTCTGGAGCTATTGTCACAGGAGAAAACATCTCATCACTGTGTAAAAGGCTCGAAAAGTGGACTTATTCATAAAAAGAGATACGACTTGTACATGTTTATGTGTACATATAGAGGCAGATGCATTATGTATAAGTATGCAAATTAATCATAGTGGTCTATAGCCAGTGAAAAGTAATGTTTTGCTTGGAATGTAAGTCCCTTATCCGTCAAGAGTTGGAAATTATTTTCCCCCACGTATAGCAAAAGCGTATTTAGAAATATGAATATTATCAGTAGAAACAAAAGTTATAGAAATTATTTGATATAAGATGAAAGAATCATGAATAAATAGTTTTTGTGACTATTTTTGCAGTACCTAATCTTCAATTAGTCATATTGGCTTTTTTGTCATGTAATCTGTTTGTGTTTTTTTTTCTATTGTTTATGAAGTCCTCTCTGTTTTTTTAAATAATTATTTGGCAACACATTAGAAATGCAAGGATGCACCAAACAGTCAAGTTCATTCAAGAGCTAGGACGCGTAACTAAAGTAAAATAATTTGATATGGTATATATCTTTTCACAAATGGTAAAACTATGTGATATTTACTAACATTCAGTTGTGTTTAATTGTCTGCTGTTCTGTTCCAAATGAATGTTATTTGTATCATCCTAGCAAAGTAGTATTTATACATAATTTTGGATGTATTGCTCAATATCATGGTAGCCTTAATAACACATACACGAATTTTACCAAAAAAGGGGTAACAGCAGGTATTTAACAAAGATTAAGGAGCAAAGTTTGTTTGTATTTGCTCTATTATAACTGTTGATCATATACATTTTTATGCACTATACTGACCTCGAGGTCAACTGGGGTCATGCTGAGGTCATGAAGGGGTGAAGAGGTCACACCAGATTCATGCAATGGAGAAGGGTTCAAACGGATTGAGGAGGTTGCGACAAAGTGAGGAGGGTTGGGGGTTGAGCCATTTAGGGTAGGATCAGAAGTTAGGGTTTGGAGATGAGGGGAGGTTGAGGCTACAGGGTGGCAAGTTTGAGGTCGAAGGTCAGACATTGGGGTCACAGAGGTCAATGGATCATGATATGGGTGAGGAGGGTTGGGGGTTGAGCCATTTAGGGTAGGATCAGAAGTTAGGGTTTGGACATGAGGGGAGGTTGAGGCTACAGGGAGGCAAGTTTGAGGTCGAAGGTCAGACATTGGGGTCACAGAGATCAATGGGTCATGGTATGGATGAGAAGAATGCAGTGGAGTTTTCTGTAAAGAGGAAAGGACATAGACACAAAACAGATGTTACTAGACAGTGACTTGAAAATAGTGAGTGGAAAAAGTCATAGAGAATTGGTAGTTTAATTCATCATTTGACAAAAACAAGGGATTTTTAATTTCAATTTTTTGTAAGAATTGCCATAAAGTTATCCTTGTACAAAAGATCAATAGATGGGATAAGAAACTAAGTAACAAATATAAGGAATACACTTTGTGGTATTTTCACCCAAAACCAAAAATCTCGCCAGTCAAAGATTTGGCTGCATGGCTAAAGGTAAGATATCGGTTCTTTGTCAGTAGCACTTTAAGTACCCATTGAAACTGATACCTGCCTGTCATGACTTTAACCTACTATGTTGTACATGTTTGATTATTATTATGATCTTTACCATTGTCACCATTAATGATTATTATCCACAAAGAACAAGAGTGATGGGAAAGGGATAACAGAAAAAGGGTTAATGATGAAAGACTAGTTAACTCATATCCTGCAATAAGGATGCATGCACGCTACCGTTATAGTGCTTTGTACACGCGAGCGCGCTATCGATTGGCTGCTTAATTCACACGAGCGAGCCACAACTTAGCTGCTTTATGAATGCATGCTCGCATTCATAATAGCAGTTATTGTTCATTTCGTTGTACTGTGCTGAGTGCTTTGCATGCGCTATTGATTGTACCATCGCGTGCATCAGATTATCTCAAAATAAACTTGGCACAGGGGGGATTTGTGGCTTGGCACAATGGGGATTAGCCCTGTGGCACTGGGCTATATTCATTATGGCAGGATTTGAGTTAAGAGCACACAGAGAGCAGCAGGAGGGTAACCTCGTCCTGGAAGTAGGCTGGAGGGTGGGAGTAGGATTCAGGTTGGTTGTCATGGTGATAAGAATGGCCATTCAGGGATGATGTATATAACTGAGGAGAAGGAGGAGGAAGAGGAGTAGGTTGGTCAGCTTCAAGGTAAGGTAGCTGTGAGGTGATAAGATGAAAAGAAATGCAGTAAGTACACTGATCATTTTCAAATGCACAATTAATGCTTTCAATTCTCTTTTCTTTTCACTTAGTAGAAGCGTTGGTCAAAATCTGTTAGGATGCGCACTCCATGATTCTTTTTTTTATTTGTTTTCCCTTTTTTTTTGTTAGGGGGTAGGGGAGGATTTAAGTTTGTATGATTTTATTTCTACATAAATAGAAAACAAGAATTTCTTTGTAAACAAATATGAATTAGTTAACAAGTTTAGATTATTCTTTCTTCAATTTCACATTAATTAGCAAAATGTGGTCTTTTATTTCTTACAATAAATTTATTTTTCAAAAATGATTTTAACTAATTGATACCAATGGTCCTACTTGTATCTAACAGGGGTGATAGTGAGCACTAAAAAAAAAATAGGTTTTTTGTTTTCCCCTCAACCACGCCCCCCTTGAGTAAAAAAAAAAAAGACGATTCGCGGGGAAAAAATGGCATCTAACAACATTCCCCCCTTTCGAGTAAGAAAATTGAGACAAACTTGGGAAAATTGGGGGAAAAATAGGGAAGAATAGAGATAATAAGAGGGAAATCGGGAAAATCAGGATAAAATTGGGAAGGAAAAAAAAATTGGTTAAAAAAAAATATTTAAAAAAAAATGATTTTTTTTTTTTTTTTTTTTTTTTTTTTTTTTTTTTTTTTTTTTTTTTTAAATCGGGAAGAAAAAAAAAATCGGGAAAAAATCGGGAAAAATAAAAAAAATCGGGAAACCGATTTAAATCGGGTTTTTATCAGGCCTGATAATTCTAAAAACAAACAAAGATAAAGGCAATTATGGATGACAAGCCAGCCAATCCACTTATGCCACAGACCCAGACAGTCAGTATCTCAAACAGAAACATAATCTGCTTCCGTGATATAATCACAACGTATATGAATATTCAACACATCATAATCAACCTGGTAAGAGGGCGTGGCTTGTCTGGAGTAGGCGGAGCCTGGAGGAGGAGGAGGCACAGGAGGTGCACTCTGGGTAGAGTAGCCTGACGATGCTTGTACTGGAGCAAAGGAACTAGGCCCTCTCTATGGATAAAACCACCCAATCAATCCATCATCAATAACTTTGTCTGTCTTCATATAATCAGTATCATTTCATGCCTTTGTTTCAACAGTTTATCATATGGTTGTATAGCAAATTCTACAACTTTGAATGTCAATCAACAGTATATTTCTAATAATATCCCAATTAATAGTAGATTTCTAATAAAAGTATATCCCGATTGAAATAAGTAATTTCTATTAAATGACTTAGTAGATGGCCAAAGTAATTTCTTCTTCAATACTTTTTTTCGCTAAGTGATCATATTTTTTTCTTCTGAAAAAAATTCTTTGTATTGCATGCCTTTGGATCTAAACTGCACAGTTTTTAAAAGACTTTCAAAACACTGAATTATTACCATATTCACAGAAGAGTAAGGCTATCAATCAAATTAAATCTCTTTTTAATACAAAAAAAGGCAAAATTGAATATTAACTTTTAATTGTTTTTTTTTAAATATGAAACATTAAATGAAACATTAAATGAAAGTTCAGAAACAAACTAAATGCATATTTTCAACGAGAGTAGAACAATTAACTGCACAACAATTTCATGCTTGTCAAGTGAGTTTCATGTACAGTGCATTGTAAAGTGCCAGTATGTAGTCTCATGGACCTTTAGGATTATGTGCAATTGTGCATCTGTTAATAAATGGTCTATGCAGTATATTATTCCTTCACACAAAGTAAAAGGAATACCTTTAACAATGATTAAGATTAGCTGCTTTTTTTCCTCATAAGATTAACTTCGTAACTGTTTTCTTATTTTGGGCTCCAAAAAGACAGCTAACTATTTAATGAGACTAAACCTCACAATGCTATTGATAGGCCATTTCGAAATTCTCTCTGAACGTGAACGAAAAATAAATTGCCTGGTTTTCATGCAAATGGCATAAATTTCCTAAAAAATGAAATACAAGTAGCAAAACTTTTGTTGTTGAACCTTACGGATAGCACAATAATGAATCTCTCCGTCATTATCATAATGCATGTTCAGTCAATAAACACATATACACACACAATCGATAGCACACTGATCGGCCATATTCACAGACCAACACATCATCATCATGATAGAAACAGGTTCACAAGCATTCATACAACAATCTCAATTAATCAGTTTTGCATTTCTTTTCCAGTACCATTAAAGACAAAGTTGAGTTCTGGTCATGCGATTGCATTGTTAAAAAAACATTATGGAATCGATCAGAAAAGGTTGATCATCTAGCATATAAGTATTGGTGTGTACTGCAAGATTCTGGAATCATCAAAATGATAAGAAATTTGGCCCAGTCTTGGTAAAGTTACAAGCACTGTACACAGAAAGATGTATATGGGACTACACAAACATGTGGCATAAAAATCTGTCCCGATTGTTATGCTGCTACATGCCATATTTAGAATATTAAGGTATTTGAAGAGCCATGCTTTTCAGGGAACATTTGTTATCTGATGTTCTTCAGCACTTGCATAATACAATGATAACTGTCACAAATTATTTTTCACCTCTTCCCAGAACTCAGCCTTCTCTTTAAGAATGTGTTTAAAAAAGAAAATGTCTTAAAATGTTAGCAAAGGCGAAAGTAATTAGCAAATCAGTCCATCATAACTAAATAGAGGTACAATACCTCTTAAAACAACACTTGAAAGGGTTACTTCAAATTTGACTTGTGTCATATTTTCTTTATAAATACCATCCTTCCCACACTGTTTCACGAATTTTATCCATATTTATGTCAACTCTATTTGCATTTACATATGTCATCATATTGACACAATTAATGTATCTTTTGTTAGTAGGTGCATAGAAGTGACGTCCATATATGGATATGTGTGCTGATTGAGTTTGGTCTACATACATACTCATTAACATGCTGTTAGCTAATTGGCTGCTCCAATCCTGAGCTACATGAATATTCATCAGGTCATCAGACATGCTGTGGACAATAGAGATCTAAAGGAGGAAATGGACGATGACCTGCAAGTTAGTACACAAGAAAACTGCATGACTGGCGGGAAAGAAGATTATTAAGGCTAAAAACATTGATATATCTGCATAAATTTGCATATGATTAACTATCATATCTACATATTTCATGTGCATTCACTCACAATGACAACACAGTATACATGATTAAGACAAAACATGTACATACAATTAAATGGGCATATACTTTGTTTTATACAGCTACACATGCTACAGAGAAAATGCAATTTTGTTTATTTGGTTAGCCAGCTACACTTCTTATGAATGATTAATGAAAGAGGGAGGTACATAAGGGACTCATTTGCATATCATTTGCATATGATGGGCATGAATGAGGTCAACAACCTGTGGCACTGCGGAGTGTTCCATTGCTCCCATAGGGGGGAGCGGAGGTGGAGGAGGAAGGGACTGCTCCAGTGGTATTTCAACGGTGAGGGGGATACGCACTGCTGCAACTGACTTCATCAACTATAGGAGAGATAAACTCATACATATTCATTGCAAATACACCATGAATATTCATCTATATGTTAAGAAATAGATCATATATACATAAGAACCAGACAAAAGTGATTGTCTTACAATTTATACATGATGGGGGCATTGCCGACAGACACTCAAACTCTTAAATAATCATGATATACAAAACAAAACCAGAATCCTCTTTTTAAAAATTCATTCAGAACAAAGCTGAATTACCTACATGTATACTGATTATTTAAGCATTATTATACAAAATATACAAACTGTAAGAAAATAATTTCAAAATTAAATGGATATACATGTAGTATATAAAACTCTTGCATTACAAAAAAAACCAAAAGAATACAAACCAAAATCTGTAGAGTACAATACACTGTATATCCATTTCACAGATTAACATAAGTAAACAAATGTATTTCAAAGATTAACATAAATAAACAAATGTGTTTCACAGATTAAGATAAATAAACAAATGTATTTTGCAGTAATGTCACCTTTAAGAAAATGTAGTTGAGGGAAATACATTCATAATTGTAATAAACAACTTATTTCAAATAAAAACATGTAAGGAGAGAAATCAAATATGTTTGTAAAGACATCAGAACAATGAATGAATATGTTACATGTCTGAAATCCCTTGTGTAAGATAGTATCTGTGAGATATTAACTGTGAGATAGTAACTGTGAGATAGTAAAGGAGATATTACCTGTTTGTTAGCAGTGAACCACTTGTCTTGGGCGTTGCGATCAGCGGGGTTAAGGGTCACACCTTTAGCTGCCGTCACGGATGGAGGGATGTCTAAAAGGGCACAACAAAAAGACAAATGCAATTAAGTATCTCAGCGAAAAGTACACTTGCTACTCTCCACCCAGGGGGGTGTTTTATAAAGCTGCGCGTAAAGTTACGAATGACTTATACAAATGATTAGAACATGAAAAGCCAAATGGATGCCCAAAGTTTTTCCTGACATTTTAACAAAGTGTGACTGTATTTCCCATAATCTCAATTATATCGTAGCCAAAAATACACTTGCATTAAAATGTTTTGTTAATAAAGATAAGGTTAATCTACATCTGCATATTTGAACTTTAGCTTATGAATTTTAAGGATTTGAGAATCCCATTTAGCTCTTCATATTAAAGTTATTTGTAAAGTCATGCGTAACTTTACGCACAGCTTTATGAAACACCCCCAGGTGTTAAAATGGTTACCCGGTAGGATGGGACCATCATTGTTGGTCAAACAGTTTTTGAGCGTCAAGTAACGCCTGTCTGGAAAGCTCCCCAGGGAGTGGAGATTGTGCACACAATGTGCGAGGGCAAGCACTGAATCCAACGACCGAGGTAATAGTATATCTGTAAAGCACTTAAGAGACGTCCGAGATGTATTAAGCACTATATAAAAGCTGAATATTATTATTATTATTATTACAGGCATCAGGAAGAAATTTGATTAGTGTTGTGTAGCCATCATGGTATTCATGCACTGTACTCTCAATTCAAAGGGTGAGGGTTTGAATACTAGCCCGGCACTCACATCATTTGGTGAGAAATTAGGGATTAAAATTGATGATAGATTATTTTGGGATACCCACATTATATCTCTTAGCAAATCGTGAAGTTACAAGATTTTTACTCATAATATAAGAACCTCAGTAAGTGTTTAAGCTCTTCCATCTTGAATCAAATATACAAATGTACCATACAGCCAATCTTTGATTATTCTTGTTCCATGTGGGGGAACTGTTCTTTACAAAACGGATAAAATGTAACTTGACCTTTGAACTATGACCCTTTGACCTCTCACCTCCTGAAAGCTGATTGGCTGCCCTACTGACATCTTGGACAAACTTGGGGTCCTCGGAGTTGGCAGCTTCCTTGGATGCTACCACGGCAACCCGCTGGGCACGCCTAGCGATGCTAGATGCCTTGGCTGCGATGACGTTGGGGTCGTTCTGCTGGATGGCTTGTGCGACCTTCTCGCTATCCCGCTTGATCGCCTCCTCTAAGAATCAAGAAACAAATTTTTTCTTTCATTTATTAGGTAAGGTAAGGTATTTATTCATCAACATATTGCAGTCAATGGCTGAATTGCATGCATGATTTACAGAGATTTGGTTTGAATATATTTAAAAAAACATCTATTTACAATTCATTATTTAACAATAATTCAACGAAAAAACTCAGTAAAACTCAGAAAGGGAAGAAAGAAATAAAGGATAAATGTGGAGCAGGAAAATAAGGAGAAAAGGAAAGGAAAGTTGAGGGAAAGGGAGTGGAGAGAGAAGGGGAGAAGAGAAGGGAGAGAGTGAGAGAGAGAGTGAGAGAGAGAGGGAAAGAGAGAGAGAGAGAGAGAGAGAGAGAGAAGGGGTGAATAAATTGGGGGTGAAGAAACAAAATTATTTATTAATTGCAACCAAAAATTACAAATTAAAAACTAATTATGAAAACTTTCTGCTGGATGGCTTGTGCTACCTTCTCACTATCTCTCTTGAAAGCCTCCTCTAAGAATCAAAAACAATTTTTGTTTTCTTTTATTTATTTAGTAATGTCCTTTGGCAAGACATTGATCTACATTTGCCACACTCAACCCAGGTGATGTAAATGGGTACCTGGCAGGAATTAATTCCTTGAAATGCCAAAGCGGCGCAGTGGCTACCTTGCTGATTAAAGCCAGGGTAATAATCGGTGCAGCACCAGGAGTGTCACAACGTTTAAAAAAAAAAATCACAGATGCTAACGGCTTCCCATAATGGTTAAGTTCAACTTTGAGATAGGGTCAACTTAGGATCTTTGTGAAACACCCCCCTGGTCTGCTAAGTCAGTCAGAGTCTCAACCTTCCCCATGTATTCCTCCTTCAATTCATTCATTATCTGATCCTTCTCATCATCATTCCATTCATCCTCTTCTATTCTCTCTGGGCCCGCTGCACTACTTGTAGCTACTTGCTCCCTCTATATAGAAAACAATGCCTAATCGGTGACCATTGGTCCCACATGATCCTCTTTTTCTTATGTTAATTGAGAGCTGAGTTGATGAGATAGCCACCTGTCAGTGACCTTCCTGGGTGGTCTAATCCCTCCTGGCTAAACTAGTAATGATGGGTTTTCAGTCTTACCTGATGCTTTGACGAACTCCACTGTGTCTACAGCCTGGTCTACTAGGTCAGTCAGAGTCTCAACCTTCCCCATGTATTCCCTCTTCAACTCGTCAAAGTGAGAGACTGCAGTCTACATATGGAAATAACACAGTAACTTGTCAAACAACTTTCAATCGGGCAGGTTACTCTACTAAACATCTCTAAAACTCTTTTCAAACTTGGTTAACCCCACCTATAGTCCGGGGTTAAGCGAAATTTTGCCAGTGTGAAAACAAAGTGGAATAAGCTTCACCCCGGACTATAGGTGGAGCTAAGACCCCCCTTTAACCCCACCTATAGCCAGGGGTTAAGCAAAATGTTGCCAGTGTGAAAACAGTATAAGAATCAGTTTTCAGCACAAGGATTTCAGTAAAGATTCAATCCATTGAATTATTCAAAACTCTTGTCAAAACCCACCTCTTTTATCAATTATACTATACTGGAGGCGCACACAAGTAGTTAATTCCATTCAACTGTCTATTATCTTGCTGTGGGGGCGTTTCACAAAACTTGTCATCAGTGACAAATGACAATTTGTGTTATAAGCTACTGAAATCCTTGCTTCTGATTGGTTATCAGCAGATTTGTCACTGATTTTTGTTATTTGTAATTGAAAAAAGGCTTTGTGAAACGCCCCCCTGGAGTGTGGCATGGCAACGGCCACACCCCTCTGGCTGTCCTTAGCATGATTCATTTGTATACAACTATTCTCTTTTGTTGTTGTTGTTGGGTTTTGTTTTTTTCTCTCTGGTCATCCCCTCCTTACAAGTCCTTGAGGCTTTTTTCGGGACACCCTTTTCTTTCATTTATTTGTATTACTAGCTCATATGTACAGTGTATGTACTATTCTGTTATCTTGATGTAAACATGAAATTATGCATGACATACTGTTAAAGGTAATACAAAGTTTTGGTATGAGGTCATGAATTTGGTTCAAATGAACATATTGGAAGCATATGTGATCCTACAATATTCAGTGATTGTTGTCGCGGTTGAAATCGAGTCTAAAGTTATGAAATTGTAAATAATAATCTCTTTATATTGTATAGCTCCCTCTCAAGGTCAAGATATTAATTAAGCTATAAACAATTTTTCTTGACTCAAATCGACTGATTAGCAATTCCCGTTCGGAAATTATATATCACAACTACATATTCTGAGATTTTCATGGTCGCAGCTACCATTGTACAGCTGTAGGCGCTATTTGAAATTTATCAAAATTTACCGGGGGCACCGGAAAAATTTTATATTTAATTTTTCAAATAGGCAAAAGTGTTTTAGGGGCTTAATTTTCTAATGCTTATAATACATCCACAGGGGCATCCAAATATATCAAAATTGTAAAAAAATCACTAACAACCCAATTTCCAAAATTTCCCAAAACTTTGTATCACCTTTAACTTTTTTTTTTAATTGTACATATTGGAAGAAATAAATGAGAGCTATATTTCCCCCTTATTCCTTTCTCTTTCTTTGGTTGGGGGGGGGGGGGGTCACAAATCAATTTGAGGCACATGCTACATGCCCCTCCCTCCTTGCTGGACGCCCTTGCCAAATAAAAACACTACCTACCTGTTCACCAGGGTTGAGAAGTAAAACCTTCCCAGCAGCCACCACCTGAGGGGCGAGGTCCTTCACTTCCTGTGCCTTGTTGTTGAGTTCTTCAACGAGAGGCCTGTCGTTGCTGGCTCCGGCCTCAGCCACTAGCTTAGCGGTATCTGAAATCTTGTTGGCATGAGTCAGGAAGATTGTGGCCTTTGAAGTATAGGTCTGTTGCCTATTAGGGTCATCTACATGCATGGGTAGTAAACAAACAAAGGAATATTTCTATGTATAATAATAATAATAATACACAGTTTTATAAAGCACTTATTACAATCCCAAGTGCTTCCAAACTTGGAGATTATTACCCGGCTTTAGCAGTGCTGCCATTACAGCGCTCTAGCATTTGAGGGAATTAGTTCCTGCCAAGTACCCACTTACATCACCTGGGTTGAGTGTGGCAAATGTAGATCAATGTCTTGCCAAAGGACATAAGTGCCGCGGCGGGTCTCGAACTGCGAACCTTATGATCGACAGTCTGGCGACTTAACCACTTGACCAAGGTACCTCTATGGTATGGGACTACAGAGAAAAAAAGGAATCTTTGGGTTGAGTTCGACTAGAGGCCTTTCGTTGCTGGCCCCAGCTCCCTGCAACCAGTTTAGCTGTGTATTTTGGTAGCATGGTTCAGGAAGATAGTGGCTTTTGAAGTTTAGCTGTTCCTGCAACCTTGGTGACTAATTGTAGCTTTTGAAAAAAGGTGATTGTTTCCAGCATCTATTGATTATAGAAAAAATTGAGGCAACTATACTGCACCTCTCAATTTTTTTGATGCTGCTATCAGTTCAAAAGGAGGGAATAAGTGGAGAAGTTCTAGATTAATTGCTTTTACTTCACCCGTTTTGGTAAGATGCATATATGCCTGCCCAAAGTGGAGGCATGGTGGTTCATTGGTAGAGCATTGGTCTCATAACCTGGAAGTCCCAGGTTTGAAAGCAAGTCAATGCACTAGGGCACTTTTGTAAGGCACTAAACCTCCCTACCAAGGCAAATAGAGAGCCCTTTAAGCTGCTAAATTCCTGGTTGTTGTAGACAAACCTTAAAGCCCCACATGCACTACTTATAGCTTCTTTCGCCCTCTATATAGCAAACAATATCTAATTGACGACCATTGGTCCCCCATGATCCTCTTTTTCTTATGTTAATTGAGAGCTGATTTGATGAGATAACCACCTGTCAGTGACGATGCAGGGAGGTCTAATCCCTACTGGTCAAACTAGTGCAGTGGGGTTTTTAAGACCCTGTCGGAAGTGAAAAATGAAATAGATGAATTGTATATCAAAGGAAAGCTTACAAGCCATAGATTACGATCAGGCGTGTACGCAGGATTTTTTCAGGGGGGGGGGGGGGGTTGGGGTAAGAGGACATTTTTTTTTTTTTTTTTTTGGGGGGGGGGTTTAGGGGGGTTTATACACATAAAAATACCAAAAGGGGGGGGGGGGTTCAACCCCCCCAAACACCCCCCCCCCTGCGTACGCGCCTGATTACGATAATACCAATTATATGCTACTTTAGTGCCTGTCAGATGAGTAACAGCTCTCTGAAAACTCGAAATCTAAAGCTTTGAAAATCAGGAGTTGTCAACCTAAAATAAGCTATCGAATTGATAACATCATCTTATGTGGATTACGCATATTCACAATGACTTTGCATTCATTAAGCACGGCTGATTGCTTTAGCTATATAGGCAAGCCAATCGGGTGCACATATTATGTCGTCACTGTAACTGCTGCAAATTTGAACCCTCTTGACCTGTAATTTGGAGAGGTGCGGAAAATAAGGTTTTAATTCGCTTTTGTGCAATACTAAAAGGGAAAATATTTTGAATTCCTTTATATTTGTACTCTATGTTCATTCAGCTTTCCATTGAAAAAAAGTTGTATTTTCATTGGATAGAGTGTTACCCTAGGCAACAGGTCCGGTATTCAATTCAATACTTAACATAAGTAAGAAATTTACAAAGTAAATGGCTAAGCTAAGAAATTTACTTATCTCATATTCAAATCGCATTTTAGACTTATACTTACATAAGACAAAATATAAGTAAATACTAACTGAGAAGCATTGCAATGCACAATTAATGCGTTGCAATAAATGCGCGCTGATATAATTGTGTGCAGGTTATAATACTGCGTAAGAAAACCACATGCCTGCCTATCAAGGCCTCCAAATAATTGGCGTAAGTCTCGTAGGGAGCTGTCTTAGATTTAGGGTAAAATACTTAACCAAAAATTTTAATTGAATACCAAAATTGGCTAAGTATTTTATCTAAGCCAAATACTAAGTAAAAGGCTTAAATTTTGTACTTAAGTATGGAATTGAATACGGGCCTGGGTCATCCTGAGGCTTTCAATTTTATTTGAGGAACACTTCTGAGGGTCTTGAGTGTATCTTACCGGCGGGAGCCTTGGCAGCTCTTTCTAGCTCCTTGAGAGGTGTGGTGGTATCCATGAAGACTTCAGCAACCTCCTTCGCCAACGCATTCTCAATCATCTTCTGGAGGGATGGCAGTCTTTCTGCAAGGCGCCTGGCTGCATCCAAGCACTGTGGAGAATTACCCTGTAATAGAAATCACAGATATGGTTCTAGATTGTTGTGCAACATACAAGGAAAATGGAAGAGGTGATGATGATGATGATGGTGATGATGATGATGATGATGATGATGTTGATGGTGATAATAATGATGATGATGATGATGATGATGATGATGATGATGGTGGTGGTGATGATGATGGTGGTGATGGTGATAATGATGATGATAATGGTGATGGTGGTGATGATGATGGTGATAATGATGATGATGATGATGATGATGATGATGATGATGATGATGATGATGATAATGATGATGGTGATGGTGGTGATGATGATGATGATGATGATGATGATGATAATGATGATGGTGATGGTGGTGATGATGGTGATGATGATGATGATGGTGGTGGGATGGTGGTGGTGGTAGTGGTGGTGATGATAATGATGATGATGATGGTGGTTATGGTGATGGTGATGATGGTGGAGTTGGTGGTGATGATGATAATGATGATGATGGTGATGGTAATGGTGGTGGTGGTGGTGTTGGTGACGGTGGTGTTGGTGATGATGATGATGATGATGATAATGATGATGATTAGAATGATGGTCAGAATGATGACGATCCTGACTATGACTGTAATAATCAAAGGGCATTCCAACCTTTCTAATAAGTTTATTTGTATGAAGCAGAAAAATAAGAGAAACAGAATGACGAAAGCTTAAATAAATTAAAACAATAATAAGAGTGTAATGAATGTTTGTAATATGAGATCACTATAGCTATGCGAATCACAAATTGGCAATTTTGTAAGTAGATTGTGACATAGTCACGCTTAACTATCCTGTTTGTCATGTTAAAAATATTATTAATTTCTATTATTCTCCAATGTGACATCTTCCTTGAGGCAGAACTACAAATATATTGTGGGTAGTATATCTTTATAGGTCCTCTAAAAAGGAGAGACCCTCCAGAGTCATACGTGTTTTGAAGAAGAAAAAAGAAATAATTTTGTGTGTTTGAACAAATGGGAAAGTTGTCCGGCACTAGATAGATTAGATAGATAGATAGATAGATAAATGGATTTTATTAAGATCTTCGTGTCTGGCAGTTAAAAACTGAAATGAACATGAATTATAATACAAATTTCCAAAGAACATTAACATAATATTAAGAGATACATGTACCAATTGTTCACTTCCGCAAGGACAGTGATTAAAACTTTCAAAAAGTTCATAATTTTCATATTTTGTGTGCAATTTCATTCAAGCTAAGTTTCAGCCGTCTGCTCCTCTGATTTTGTACTTTCTTTTAGATTTTCCTTTAGGATATCCATCTCAAACATTTTGTCATTACACTGCTGATATTCATACCTTCTGTAATTATTCCTAAGCACCAATTTAATGACTTTAATAAATCAGGGGGTGTTTCACAAAGATTTGAAGTCAAACTTAACCCTAGATTGCACTTTCAAATTATGGAGAGCCATTTGTAGCCTTAAAATAAAATATATTCAAAAGCAAAATTCAAGTATTTTAGACTTTTTATAAATTCCACATGACGAACATGAAATCTCCCATGATAATAGAAAATATGAATGATTTGAGTCAACATTTTAAGCCTTCTAAAATAACTTTTACAATTTTGTTTCAAAGATTTTAATAGCTTCCCATAATTGTTAAGTCCAACTTAGAGATAAGTTCAACTTAGGATCTTTGTGAAACACTCCCCGGAAAAGAAATAAGTTGATAAACCTACTTGTCCCCTGTTGACGAGGTCAGTAATCTGTTGAGAGAGAGATTCTACTTCATCACAAAGCCTCAAAAGCTCTCCTCTCTCCGGTTCAGACAGGTTCTGAGCCACCTTCCTTCCCTGTGCAACGATGCCGGCGACGGCTCTGCGTCCTAGCAAATAAAAAGCAACAAACAATAATAATAATAATACTCAGTTGTTATAATAATAATAATAATATTTAATTCTTATGTAGCGCTTAATACAAATGTCTCTAAGCGCTTTACAAATATGCTATTACCCGGTCATTGGATTCAGTGCTTGCCCGCACACAATGTGTGCACAATCTCCACTCCCTTGGGGAGCATTCTAGCCAGGCGTTACATGACGCTCAAAAACACTAAGCGCTTCCAAACTTGGAGATTATTACCCCGGCTTTAGCTGTGCTGCCATTGCGGCGCTCTAGCATTTCAAAGAATTAATGCTTGCCAGGTACCCATTGACATCACCTGTGTTGAGTGTGGCAAATGTAGATTAATGTCTTCCTTAAAGGGATCATTTAACAATGTTAAATCTGAGATACACGGCCCTACGTGTTATCAGTGTCTGTGATATGGTGTAATATTGAAGCCCTAAAAAAAATTGCGCTTCAAAATGATCAAGAAGTGCCTCAAAAAAGTAAAAATCTTTGAGTGACTGGTTTTACCATACTCGTTTTCCCCAATAGACTGTAGTGTTATGAAAACCGTCCGGCGAACGGTTTTCAAAATTTGTAATTCCAATCATAAATATCTTGATAATCAGACAGGCAATCGGCTTGTAAAAGTCATGGGGTTCCTGACTGACCTAAAGGTTTATAATTATCATTGCATCATGAGCTAAATCCAGAACCGCGGACCTTGTGATCGACAGTCCGGCGACTTAACCGCTCGACCACGGCACCTCTACAATGGGACAGATTTAGGTCCCATGAAACATGCTGTGGCAACAATTGTAAATTCACTAGCCCTAACCTAAGATAATAATAATAATAATAATATAATGCACTTATATTGCACCACCTTTCTAGTAAAAATATTCTGAGGCGCATCATGAAATTCCGAAAGTTAGGAAGCAGTACAAAAAAAGTCAAAAAATGTGTTTATAATTACAATCAAGTACTGTATGCTTTCGAAAACAGGACTGTCTTCAAGTAAGACTTAAAAGAATCATAAGTTTCTAAGGAATGTATAATGAACTGGGAATTGATTCCATGAACATGGTGCGCCAGCTGAAAAAGCTCCGTCTCCAGGAGATGACCTTGCTCTCCGGGCTACAATAAGGTGCTTACCAGAAGAACAGAGAGTTGGAAAATAATTATGGGCCTAAGCAATGAACTTGATACTCCTTTAACCCGGTATGAAATCTTTGAGTTACACTGTACATGTTGGTTAGAGCAAATATCACAGTGATTTTACACTTAACCCTTTGCCTACGGGTACCTGGTGGTCCTTGTGTTAAGCCTATGGAACCTATACCATTCAGTAGTCAACGGGTTAGCTTGTATTCCTCTGTGTGCTCTATACTATTTGCAATATTTGGAGATTGCTTGGTAAGACTACTGAATTCTCGCTACCCTAAATAGGTACGAAAATCTCGAAATTCGCGAGACGAGGTAATTTTCACTCTCTCGGGTCGTCACTACAACTTCCGGTATAGAGTCCCATCCCGCTGGCGCTAGCGCCTGTGTTCGCTGTGCAGAGTTTTCACGCACGCTAAAATCGATGCCAATCAGTGTAATTTGTACAGATTATAATATGCAATGGAAAGCTTCGGGCAGAATTAGTGACTTTAGCACAAAAGGCCGTTAAACTCTACCGTGAAAGAGAGGGTTGTGATCACGAACGCCTGCACAGGAAGCTGTAATGTCGAAAAGCTATCCCATAATGCAATGCGCGTTTTCAGGATTTTCCCCGGATCTCGGCAGAATCGCTATTTGGGGTAGCGAGAATTGATTAAGGCTGAGCATACACATACATTGTATGGATGTGTTTGCTATAGAGATGAAGGCCCAAATTCACAAAGGAGGTTCAGATTTAACCCATGGTTTAAACTCTCATTTACATAACCCATGGTTTAAAATAAGCGCAAAATAAGCGCGACACAAGTCAGAGGTCCAATATTAGACGCGCGCAAAGCAAGGTAGGCTTATTTTGCACTAATTTTTAAACCATGGGTTATGTAAATGAGGGTTCAAACCATGGGTTAAATCTAAACCTCCTTTGTAAATTCGGGCCAAACACTCATTACCTCATTACAAATTACAGGATTCATATCCCTATAACCACCCGTTTTGACAAAGGATCGGTCCAACTCACCCACTCCCTTGTCATCTTGAGCAGGGTTCCTAAGCCACTTCTGGGCCTGTTCCACTTTACCAGCAAGGGTATAAGCAGTTCTTGTTACCCCACTCTTGACGGCATCCTTGACAGCAAAGTCCACTTCTTGATGGAGGTAGCCAAGCTTCTCTGCAATCTGCTTGGCAAGCTGCAGAGCACGGGGGGAATTACCCTGAAATGACAACAGAAAACGAATTCAGGGCAGCGTTTCACAAAACTTGTCATCAGTGAAAAACTTTATTTTGTTTTTTTCTTTATTAAAAAATCACACCTATCATCAGACGGCCAGCCTAAAAAGGCCTATGAGTGATACATCAAAAATAACAGTCATAAACAATTTGACATGGTAACATAGTATGAATATAACATGAAATGACAGTCTTTGTTATAAGCAACTGAAATCCTTGCTTCTGATTGGTTATCAGCAGATTTGTCACTGATTTTTGTCATTTGTCATTGGAAAAGTTGTTCTGTCATTTTCTCATCTAAGTAACACCTAATTTGTCCTATCTTATATAAGGAGAAGGAGGCTGCATGGCAAACCTTACTTACTTGATCAGTCAGTAATAAATGCTTGTCACATAAAACACCTATAACCTTACCTGGCCCTTTGCCCTAAGAGCACATAATTCATTCATCATGACTTCAATCTCGTTGATGGTTGCAAGGAGATGCTCTCTCTGGGGTCCCTCAAGGCGATCTGCTACCCTCCTGGCATCCCTCAGGATATCCCGCACTGCTTTCTCACCTGTATTGTATAACCAGAAACTTTCAGGTGCATTCAACTTTTGCAAATGTCATGAGTGCTTGAGATACAAGAAAGTTCCATGCCATGAAATAATGCAACTTTAATCACATTCATCACAACACAATAACTGGCCATGGAAATTAATGTCATTAATAATTCAAAAAAGATTATTGTCATGACATTGTCTGTTTTTCTAGGGATTCAAAGTGTACCTTATTCAGAAAGTAGTTAATCAGATGATCCAAGTTAATCCCATTAATATAATGCTACCTCCAAATTGGGCTGTCTGTTATGACATATATTACTGTTACAAAAATGTGTACCGGTAATTGTTTAAATATGGGAAAATTTGGTTTGTCCCTATAAATGTTTCTTGAGACTGTGACATATCCACATTTTATCAACCAACCCCCCTTGAGTACAAAGAAAAAGGATTCGGGGGGGGGGGGGGAATGGCATCTAACAACATTCCCCCTTTTGAGTAAGAAAATTGGGAACAAATCAGGAAAATAGGGGTAAAATTAGGAAGAAGAAAAAAAATTGGTAATAAATTTATTTATTTTTTAATCGGGGGAAGAAAAAAAAATCAAAAAATCAGGAAACCAATTTAAATTGGGTAATTATCAGCCATGCATATCAAAGCTCACATCTAAAAGTATTCAAGTATTAACCGTTCTTACCCAATCCACCAGGTTCAGCATTTGAGTTGGCCAGCCAGGTCTGAGCCATGTTCATCTGATTTGTGATATTCAACAACGATTTCTTCATGATCGTCAGGTCATCCATCGACCAATCATCATCATCCGCTGAGGTCAACTGGAGGATTCTGATGATCTCGTTGACGTCATGTGACATACGACCAATGATGAAGTTGCGATTCTGCTGGGCCTCGTCCCGCCCTGCTCCTGAAGTATGTAAGGAAACACCGGGAAAGCCTTGACACAATGTCATACAAAATGCAGTTTCTTTTTGTGCATAATGGGCAATTATACAGTAATGGAATGAGACAAAACATTTTCTCTTAAAGGCAGGCTTTACTACTTCAGCCAGAAGGGATTAGACCACCCAGCAAGCCAGCGAGGTCACTGTGACAGGTGGCTATCTCAACATAAGAAAAAGAGGATCATGGGGGACCAACAAGCACCGATTGGGGAAGTTTTCTATATAGAGGGAGCAAGTAGCTACAAGTAGGACAGTGTGCCTTTAACATGTACCAGGGACCCGTTTCACAAAGCCCTTTTTTCAATGACAAATGACAAAAAACAGTGACAAATCTGCTGATAGCTTATAACAAAATCTGTCATTTGTCACTGATGACAAGTTCTGTGAAACGCCCCCCAGGATTGGCATGGTTTTCTCCAGATTCTCTGTGTGATTTATAAATCCATTGGCATGTGTCAGTTCCTTTTTTCAAACACCCAATACCATTTACATGTACTTCCTCTCAGTATATCTAAAACTACATATACCTAACATCAAACACCACTCACTTCATATGTTGTGTATAATAAATCTTAATATTTTACACCTAACACTAAGCACCATACCTCCTTTCTGCAATGTAGTGACAAAGATCTTGATGGAAGAGACGAGGATGGGCGTGGTTCTCTTGAGGTTCTCTGTGTGGTTGACCAGTCCATTGGCATGGGCAGTGTGGGTCAGTTCCTTGCTCCTACCGGTCACCTTGTTGGCCAAGTTGGCCATACCGGGGGACAAGTTCTGATGAATCAAAGATAACAACAATAACAATAACAATAACAATGACCATAACAATAATAATATGGTTATTTATATAGTGCCGGTAAACGTCAGATTCTGATGCTCATGGCGCTTTACACATATTTCCCTGGTCGTAGCCGAGCTGCCAAAGTAACTAGCGCAAAGCATATCACCCATATACACCTGGGTGAAGAGTGGCAAATGTAGATTAACGTCTTGCCAAAGGACATTAGTGCCGCGGCGAGACTTGAACCCTGTACCCTGTGATCTGCAGTCGGGTGACTTATCCACAAGTCCACAACACCTCTACAATAACAATAACAATGACAATGCCAATGATATGTGGAGTTTGAGTAAATTCCCTGCTCCCTGCGGTTACTTCGTTGGCCAGGTTGACCTTACCAGACGCAGGGTTAGGGAACGATTAACTGTGCAAAAGCTTTCGTCCTTGAAGCCTAATTTGCATAAAGTAGACAACTTGTTTAAGCTTAAAGGCTACAAAAGAGTCTCGGCTAAACTGTAAAATCTCGCTTTAAAAACCACCAAATGAAATGATTAAAACGTCAAATTAAAGAAGAAGAGTTTTTTTTAACTCATAAATATTGCAGTTAGTTGTCAAACCCTGTTTAAAAAAGCGAAAACTGTGCGAAACGAAGCGCCATTTTTTGTGTTTCTTTCTCTGAAAATATTGCAGTATTTTCCATATTTTCCGTCATTAATACGCAACTACAAGACTTTCGTAAATGATAAGACAAAGTATATTAAAGCTTTCCGCCGAATATATTTTGATGATTTTACGTCCCGCGGTTATACCGGGAAAATATCTAAGGCAATGTCATCAACGAACCCATGGCGAAACTCGGATCTGTAAGCTCAGACTAATTCCATTTCATAATTTTAATTTCATTTTTATTTTTTCATTTCCAACAAAATACAATACATAATAACGAATACAATGTAAAATGTATACAAAAAATAGTTACATTTGTAATAAACAAATCTTAATAATTATTTATACATTTTAGGAAGACAGAAAATGAATTTTAAAATTTAACTGCATTCATATTTTGAGGAAATGGAGAGGTCCACTGAAAAGCAGAGCTTGTAAATTGTGGACCCCTCAGATAATAATGAGTGCGAAAAAAATATGGAATACATAATCAATGAAAGAAGAATAGTGGCCAACAGAGAACATTTATTAAAACACGTAATGACTGTAAACAAGAAGACGTAACAAATTACATGACGAAGAAATAACAGAAAAAAATGTGTGGGCTGTGTTTGGAGGGATTTCATGGGTGTGCATTGCTAATGAGACTTGCAACTTCAAACATGAACCATTTCCCAAGAAGCACTGATGAATCTTGAAGCTTGAACTTGCCTGCACTAGGAGACGTACATAATGGATGGTATTCTCAAAAGCAGACTAACTTTAGTCCATGGTTTACTCCACCTACTAAGTATGGAATGCCAAGTGTCCATATGAATATGTTTTTGAACAATTTAACCTGTCACTAAATTAAAATAAAATGTAAAAATATAATTACTAAACAACAATATATCTATGATATGATTATGTTATCATGGTAATATAGGGACATGTCAAATTATTCAAAAATATATTCATATAGACACTAGGCATTCCATACTTAGTCTGTGGATTAAAGTTAAACCATGGACTAAAGTTAGTCCACTTTCAAGAATACCACCCTTTATGTACTTCTCCTAGTTAAGCTTCAAGATTCATCAGTGCTTCTTGGGAAATGGTTCATGTTTGAAGTTGCAAGTCTCCACTAGCAATGCACACTGAGCTTACAGAGCAATATAGTCCCGACTAAAGTTAGTCCGCTTTTGAGAATACCACCCAAAGAATTAGACATTGCTGTGAGTGAGTGAGTGACTGACTGACCTTGACAAACGTGACCAGATCCTCCATGGATTCGACCACTTCAGAGACTGCTAGGTACTCCAGGACTCCCTTGGCCACCCGCACAATCTTACGGACCTCAGACTGGTCAAAGCACAGCAGAAGGTCAGAGGTTCCACTGAGAATTCCTGACAATGAAAGGAAAAGGAAAGCTCTTTACAGACAGGGCTCTCGATACCATAGGTGGTGATACAACACTTGCTCCTCCTACATTTGCTCCAGATTTTGACTGAAACACAGGGTTAATTTTATACAGTAGGCTTGCGGGTGCACCATGTGAGAGAGAGGGAGGATTGAGGAGTCCTGAAAAGGACTCTCTGTAATCTTTCTTGAAGGTTTGTAGTCCTGAAAAGGACTGGTGGTTATCTTTCTTAGCTTATAGTTCTAAGGAGAACTATAGTGGAGTGACGCTTCGAACAGGTTGACTATCCATCGTCAGGAGTTAAGTTTGTAATCAGGTTTTGGTTAAAGGGATCCGGTAACTTTGTCTCAGATCCTTAAACAAAATCCTTGATTTAGCTCATTGATAGCTCAATGATAATTATAAACCTTTAGGTCAGTCAGGAACCCTATGACTTTTACAAGCCGATCGCCTGTCTGATTATCAAGATATTTATGATATCTACAGTGACCGCCCATGGGAAAAAGTGGTCTTTGTAGACAGGTTCCTCGAGTACATGTTTCACTGAGAAACCATTTTCAAGGGAAACAAAAAATGTGCTTGTTGTAGACAGGTGGTCTTTGTAGACAGGTTCCTTTAGAAAATGTTTCAATGAGAAACCATTTTCAGGGGAAACAAAAAACGTGCTTGTTGTAGACAGGTGGTCTTTGTAGACAGGTGGTCACTAAAGCAGGTTTACCTCTTGCACCATCAATGAGCATCTTCCTTGCTGGGGAGGAGTAGGGGTCCTCCTTGAGCATCATAGCCGCTTCATAGAGTTTGGTGGCAGACTGTTCCACTCCCTGAAATGCTGGCGGCATCTCCTGCTTCAAGATCTTGTCATCGGTGCTGTTGGCAGTATCCCTTCCAACCTACATTGAGAAACAGGTACAGTTCAAGATTATGTGGAGGTCAGGGCCCCCGTTTCACAAAACTTGTCATCAGTGACAAATGACAGCTTTTGTTATAAGCTACTGAAATCACTGCTTCTAATTGGTTATCAGCAGATTTGTAACTGATATTTGTCATTTGTCATTGAAAAAGGCTTTGTGAAACACCCTCCTGGAAACAATCAAAACTAAATTTCAACTCCATGAAATTTATCACCAAATATATACATGTATACAAAATACTAGCAAAGTAGCAGCTGCTAAATGATTCTGAAAGAAAACGAGTAATTGCTATAAAGTAATAAGCAAAATATAAAAGGCATTTCATGGAATGGCCAGACTGTTTTCAGGTAGCCTGCATTGCATGACATTTTGTTCCTGCAGTATTAGGCCTTAGAGCCACTCTAAAGTGTTGAGAACCCAACAAATGTAATGTGAAAGAGGGTGTACGTCATGTAAGACACATTTCTGCAAGGATTTTCAAAACAAATGTGTTTGAAGTCGAATATTGATGAAAGGACACAAAATTTGCAAGCCGACCGCCTGTCTGATTATCAAGATATTTATGATTGAAAATCGAAATCAAATTTTACGGTTTTCATAACACTACAGTCTATTAGAGAAAACAAGTATGGTAACACTGGTCACTCAAAGGTTTTTACTTTTTTGAGGCACTTCTTGATAAGTTTGAAGCGCAATTTATTTAGGGTTTCAATATTACACTATATCACAGATACTAATAACACATAGGACTGTGCATCTCAGATTTAACATTGTTAAACGATGCCTTTAAGAATAATGATTACCTTGACCAGGTTCTGGACAGCAGCACTGACCGCCATAACTGGTCTGGAGAGGTCTGGCATAGCGTTTCCATCTTGTGCTTCTTCATGGAGGATAACCAGTTGGGAAACCTGCAAAAAAAGACACAATAAAATGAAACAGATGAGTAAATATATAACCGAATTAATGGTTGAACAAATACTCTAAATTTGATAGTTATTTGATTGATTTATTGATTGAGTGATTGATTGATTGACGGTTCAGAGAAGTTTTGCATGGTGTTGCCATTTTGTGCTTCCTCATAAAGAATTAGCAGTTGGGATACATGGAAGAAAAGAGATGATTCAAATACATTACATTTAAACAAGCATTTGAAATAATTCACTTATTTTGTTTGATATTAACGTAAGAAAGCTTTCTGTAAAACCCTAGGGTCCATGTTGTAAGTAATTGATTGATTGATCGATTGATCTATTAGATAGTTGACCAGTGTGCAAACCTGAACACAAGGAAGGAATAAGAAGACTTATGAATGAATGAAATATAAACTGATAATTAGAAATTAGATTGGTGTAATAATGATTTATTCTTTCACTCATTCATTGGTTGTTTGTCTTGCCTAATAATTGAAAGCTTGATTGACTTATCGACTGATTGTTTGACTGATTTATAGACAGAGTTGAGTAAAAGTTGTGTAAAAGTATTATGTTAGCAACTTATTTAGCATGTGAATATGAAGCATATCTATGAAGTGAGTCCCTTGTTCAGTCCCACATGAGTGCAAGTAGCACAGTGTATGAGCTCAGGTGATGTGATTACTGTACCTGGGGGTGTTTCACAAAGATTAAGATCAACTTTAAGTTGGACTTAACTATGGCAGGCCGTTCATGCCACTAGTTCCTCTAACCATTCCTGGCATTGGTTTCTCAAGGGACATACAAATCGTGGTCACAGAGCTACATAATATACCATTTTTGATAGTTCATTATTGAGGGGAAAAGTATTACATGTATCTAAAGATCATAATTGAGAGACCAATGGTGGGAGCAACCAGTGGCATGAATGGCCTGCCATAGTTAAGTCCAACTTAAAGTTAAGTCCAAGTTAAAGTTGATCTTAGTCTTTGTGAAACACTCCCCAGGTCATGATGATAAAGATGCGGTCGATCATTGTTTATGACTCAGGCTCGCCCTAAATTCAATTTTCCCATTACCAACATCGAGATCAACCTTGAAAGGTGTAAAAGAGGAGGTCCACAAGAGAAATTTAGACCAAAAAATGGAGAGAGACAGGGAGGGGGAGGAAGAGAGGGAGTCGATGAGAGAAATTTAGACAACAAAGATGGAGAGTGAGAGACGGAGAGGGAGGAAGAGAGGGAGTAGACAAGAGAAATTTAGACAAAAAAGCTGGAGAGAGACAGGGAGAGGGAGGAAGAGAGGGAGTCGATGAGAGAAATTTAGACAACAAAGATGGAGAGTGAGAGACGGAGAGGGAGGAAGAGAGGGAGTTGATGCATGAGAGAAATTTAGACCAAAAAAATGGAGAGACAGGGAGGGGGAGAATTATGAAAGAAGAAGAGAGAGGAATAGAAACAGAAAGAGGGAGAGAAACAGAAAGAGAAACATGAGGAGAAACATGAGGAACACATAATAATAATGATGGTAATATTCCGCTTTTAAATGATGATTAATACATCTACGATGTCTCTAAGCGCGACAGAGAGGGAGAGGGAGAGAGCTCTAGAGAGAGAGAGACAGAGAGAGAGAGACAGAGAGACAGAGAGAGAGAGAGGGAGAGAAGGAGTACTTGGCACCAGGTGAAGAATGTAGATAATTGCCTAAATGAGTTTCCCATTCAATTACCATGTGCCATCTTTAATAACATCTACCTTCCATTTAATTGGACCCTGTCAACGTAGGGTGCATCCCCTGTTCATTCAGCGTACTCTAAAACAACAAACTTTCCTCTCTATATACACTGTGCACATACTATGTACATTGTAATATAGGTATTAAAGGGATAGTTGAGTTCTTGATTCAGACTGCAAATGCCTTCAGAGTGCATGGTTATTGCTTTTATTCTTATTTATGACATTTCTAGTGCTCTTTTAGGACCTAAGATTGCTATGAAGGTAATTTTAGACCCCAAAATGTGTGAAATGTAGCCAACACGATCATACCTATTCAGCTCCATTTTCCAAAAAATACATTGACCATTAATTTTAATTAATTAATAATAACAATACAAGGGCCAGCTGGTTGTGTGTATTATAACCAACACGAAAAAGCCTACAAAATAACCAACATCGAGTTGCAGTAAAATAAAGGTCCTTTACAGCATGGATTTTTGAACACGGACCTGGCTTGCTGCCTACAGCTAAAAATAGGGGTGCGTCTTATACACAGGTGCGTCTTATAAACGGAGATTTACGGTACATGTATATACTGTGTATCTACTATGGGTATGATACATTTGAAAATATATCTAGCAGTAATTAACGATACTACTGTATATGTCCCTTTTGCAGCCAACATCAAATTCTGTAGAACTTTGCAGGAATTATGAATATGTCATGTATGTCCTATCTGTGAAATTTCAACGTTAGCAGTGTCCTAATGGCTTTTTTTTTCTTCTTTGGTCATGACATACAATACATAAAATAAGCTGTAAAGGGAACATGAGCATTTGTCTACATCAATAACCCACTTCTTGTAATGGCCAAAATTAAACTGATTGAATCTTTGTGCAGCACTAAAGGTACGACCATTCAGTACAATGGTCTGAAATCAGACTATTACTTACTGACTTAGTAGCACTTGAGTCGATTCAACAACTACCGGTAATAGTTTGTTTTTTCCCACTTAAAGATAATTTCAAGCCCCCCCCCCCCCCCTTTTTTTTTTAGGGAAGTTCTATTAAAGTAGTATTATCTTTCAAATGCCGTTGGAATTTAACCTTTTCATTTTTGGGGGCCTGGAAATGGGACATAGTACCTTTAAAGCTCCACTCGCCGTCTGATGTTTTTGCACACAGTATATAGGCCTGTAACTTGTAAGGCTTTAGGAATAGCCTGTATAGGCTATATAGTATGTTTGATATTTTGTTGGTAAACAAGTGAACCCCTGCTATATCTGTATCTGCATGACTCAATGGAAAAGACATCTAGCTGTAATCCATGCTACTAATCACCCATAATTGTTTATCTATGGACATAAGACTTATCAGCTTATTTGATAGCCTGTTCTGGTATAATGAAAGTGGACTGTAATACGCACTCCCCATATGAGGGCATGGTATGTAGGCTGCCATGGGCTGTGTGTAGTCTGCAAGCACAGACCCTGGTCAGTCGTAAAAGTGAGTCTGCACTATAAGACTACCATAGGCCATGTACTGTAGCTGCTCTGCGAAATGCTTAGAATGGCCTGAAACGTACTCTAATTTGATTAAAAACCAGTCGGTAGCTGGGCTAGGCTTCTCTCAAGGCACAATGATTCGTCGATAAAGTGTCAAAATAGGGTCTATGCTTGCAGACTAGGCTGTGTGTGTCATGGTTGGACAGTAGTCTATAACATGCAGACACACTAGTGCGCTTGGCTTGAGAGGATTTGCAAAGTTTCAAGGACTTCACGGTTTTTCCTTGTCTTCCGATTGTCAGCTTGACTTGGTTCCATGTTTATGCCTGTACATGCATGTACATCAGCTACATTGCTGTTCATCCTGCCCTCTCACAAGAGCAGATATGTTCATCATTTGTTCAATCATGGACCTACTACAAATGGTTCAATCAGGTTGGTGTGTTCAGAGATGGCCGATAGGACAAAACTTGAGCAGTCAGAGCAAACAACAGTGCCACAGCTTCTTGGATTGAGACCACCCCCCCCCCCCCCCACCCCCCTCCCTGCCTCAAATTTTGAAACAAAATCCTGGATTTAGCTCATGCTGCAATCATAATTATAAACCTTTAGGTCAGTCAGGAATCCCATGACTTTTATCAAGATATTTATGATAGGAAATTTAGATTTAATTTTTTGTTTTCCTAACTGTTTTCAAAACACTACAGTCCATTGAGTAAAATGAATATGGTAAAACCGGTCACTCAAAGATTTTTACTTTTTTGAGGCACTTCATGATTCTTTTGAAGCGCAAATTTGTTAGGGCTTCAATATTACACCATATCACAGACACCTATAACACGTAAGGCCATGCATCTCAGATTTAACATTGTTAAACAATGCCTTTAAAGCACCTCTTAAAAGTGTTGGGAGCCCCAAATTTGCCAAAAATGTGATGGCAAAATTTCACTTGAATGGTATCATAATGTGAAAGAGGATGTCATTCAAGACACAAATCTGCAAGGAGTTCCCAAAAAATATTGATAAAAGAATAAATTTGGGTTTTCTGTTGTAAACAGAAAACCTAAATTTTGTATTTTTTCATCACAAATGTGTCTTTTAAATGACATACTCTTTTACATTATGAAACATTTAAGTGAAATGTTGCCATAATTTTTTATTTTTATTTTTTTTCGGGGGGGAGGCTTTCAACACTCTATAGAGGGGCTTTAATATTAACCCTGATTATGTGCTTCCGTGCAGTTACATACGCGTGTACATACATTTAGGAGGTTTATTTCGTTGAGGGATGTGAGGAGACTTCCTGTCATAAGAATAGATGTAGACATTATATAATACTATGTCTCACTAATACTGAACACATTAACTGATTAACTGATTAATACTGTTTGCATGTTTGTGTTAAAACCAATCCCCTTGCTAAAGTAAGAAGTTATCATCAATCTCCATTCTAAAATTGTAAAAAGATCTAGAGACCTGAAAGTATGTGTTTGCTTATCAAATGTCAGATATCAAACATGAAAAAGAGAAACTATATAAATGTATGCTGACATACATGTAACTCTAATTTTCTTGTGTCAACAATATAAATGTCAAAAAGGCCTGTCAACTTATGGGCTGACAAGGGTGGCCCTACTTATTCATATATTTCAATCATTATTGTATTTTTATCAGATGTCTCTTTTTCTTTTTTCCAAAGCTAATTCTTCATCTGCTCTCCAGTTTTTCCTCTGTCATAGTGTCATTATATTATCTGTGCAAAAGCATTAACAAAAATA